GCACCGGGCAGTTGACTATTCCAAGCGGCGTATACCCAACCGATTCGGCAGCGGCAGGTACTGGATCTACGACTACCGATGGACTTCTGCCTCCCGTGGGCAGTGTGATCTCGCAAATTACTGGGGGCACTGGTGTCAAAAGCATCATTCCCAGTGTCGTGCCCGAGGTGACAAGCGAGATTCCTGTCGTGGGCACCATCATTTCTGGTGTTACCAGCGCATTGTCTGATGGCGAAACCGTGGTTTCCGAGGTCACGAGCGAGCCGTCTACTCTGCCGCTGACTTCTGATGTCGTCTCACCGACAGGCACGAATCCCTCTCCTGGATTGCCGCTGACGACACCAACTTCTCTGACTCTCACTGCTGGCGACGCTACCGTGACTGTTCCTGTTCCGTCTAACCCAGCAGCTACTTCAGTTGTCATTACCGGAGGCGATGGATCTGAGTCGACCATTGTGACGGTCCCATCTCCAACCGGATCTGGTGGAGACGCGCCTGTGACCCCGACGCCACACAGCTCTGAGGCCTCACCACCATCTAGCCCGTACGATCAGCCAACAACTACGACAACTCCCGATGACACCACGGTAGTCTCGACGCCAACCTCCACTCCTGCGGACAGCGACTCGTCTGTGCCTGACAGCGGTTCCACCATCTCGACGTCGGTTGGCTTGAACACCGGAACGACCATCAACATTGGCAGCACGGGGGTTGTACCATCTTCGTACGTCAAGCCCACGTCTGCGGCAGCTTCCAGTGGCCAACCGAGTGGACCTATTGTGCACCCTGCGCCTTCAGCGTCAGCTTCTGTCACTGCGTCACCTCCCGCATCGGGTCCCGCATCAGGCTCTCCATCGCCTACCGTCTCGCAATCAGGCTCTCCATCGCCAACTGTCTCTCAGCCTGCAGCGACCCCGCCGGATGCTTCGAGCACTGCCGTCCAGTCGCAGACATCTGTGGACACGATGCAGCACACTACTGCCCCAGAAACCATCAAGCCCACTGGAACAGACACTCGCACTGAGATGAGCCTCCCAACTTCATGGGTGTTTGCTCCAACCAGGACGAAGGATGGCTACGGCATCTCGACCGCGCCTTCTGACTCGAACTCTGAGGTCCACGGTCTGCCGACCTACATCCCTCAGCTAGTGCAGCCACCAGGAGGCATGCCAAAAGCGCCCTCGAACGCTACGCTCATCCAGCTCGGCTTCGACTACGGCTTGAACTACCAATTCGTCGTCAGCCAGCCAGAAGCCGCCAGCCAAATCTTTGAGTACCTTCCACAGGGTCTGGCGTATGGCATGGGCATCTCTAAAGACCAGATCTTGATGCACGCGCTTATGCCTTACGACACCTCTGACCAGCTGAACTTCATCACCACCCTTGCCCTGGCCTACATCCCCTCCACCATGGTCAACGATCTGCAGAACAGCCTCCACGTCCCTGTGGCGGAAGTCTACCGCAACCCTGATCGTCCAGTCAAGACGCTGATGAACATGATCAACCCCTCCATCCCCATGCTCCCCGGCTCTTCAGTCGGCAACACGCCCTCCTCCGCCTGGTACAACCCAGCCGCGACCGCCACTTCCTCGACCGGCGACGGCGCTCCCATCGGCGGCGACTCCGGCTCCTCGAACAAAGTTCGCGGCACCAGCGTCGGCATCGGCGTCGGCGCCGTGTGCGGCGCTGCCGCCTACGCCGCCGCTATGGTCTACGTCGCCCGCCGCTACCGCAAGAAGAAAGCCGGCCACCAGCGCGCTTCCTCCGTGCCGACTATGGGTGAGATGAGCCAGACTTCTCCTGGCGCCATGGGCGGGCTGTTCATGAGTGGTGCGAACGGACGACAGAGCGGCGCTGGAAGCGGGAGCACGGGACGAGGCAGCAGGACGAGCGCGGGTAGTGGTGGCAGCAATGGGAGGAGTGTGCGCGAGCAAGGCATTAGTGCGCCGATCTTGGCGCAGAATAGCCTTGGATGGCAGTGAGGAAGTGTTGTTTCGTGAGCGTGTTAAGAAAGTCCTCATACCCCGTGTTTTTGTTTGAAGAGATGGTTGGTGGTTGGTTTGGAGGAGATCGAGCAGCCCGGGCGCGCGCAACATCAGAAGCGTTGCGTTGCCGCCGCCGCGGAGAAGAGATCTCTGAGATGATATGGCTGTTGTTTTCTATTCTGATATCGCCTGAGCTTTGGTGATGGGTGATTTGAAGGGAGGGAGAAGGGCGAGGGGGGAGAGGGAGAGATTGTAAATAGATATGTATGCGGCTGTGGATGAAATGACTATGTGAAAGTACCTACTTCGCATCTGCTTTTGAGATATCTGATGCTTTGCTTCTGCTTTGAGATCTTTCTGTTCCTTTGCTTCTGCTGTACGGTGTGGATGGAGAGACGTCGTGTAGGTGCCATGAGGCTGGCCTCCTGCTATGAGACTGCCCTTTTCCGGCTGGCATTTCGACCCATGGTGACCCTAGCACATCCGCGTTGGATCTGAGGAGTTAATTTGTTGCTGAGAAGTTAAAAGTTGTCGCCGAGTGGTTCCCACGTGATCCGTGCCAGGATTTTCTTGCTAGCGTGGAGGAAATCGTCCTTTGCTCCGAACTTCACCTCGGCCTCAACCTCTTCCGCCTCTCGACCATCACCTCCTGTGAAGACTCACAGCTAGCAAATGCGATGCTCCAAGGCAAGGTCGACAGAGGTGCTGAAGCAGGACGGCTCGAAGACACGACGAGAGTTTTGAGGCCACAGCGAGCATCCCTGAGCGTTGTTCTCCTGGATCGAAAACTCTGAGTAACACTTTCTCGTCCACGGCCCGGATGACTTCATACTTGGCTCCACGTCCGGGGATCTCAATATTGGAAGACTCAGAAGCTTTCGGCCATCCTGGCACGCCTGGGGGAAGCTGACGAGTGTGTTTCGAAGTCTGGAGTTAGGTTGAGTATGGCTGCGTGGATTATGCTGGACTTTACCACGCCGCTGCAGCACCATGCAGTGAACTGGGCTTATTGGCATTTTGTGAATGCCAGAAGCTACCGGACTCAAACAACGAAAGACCTGAAGGACAGTGATCAGTCTCTCTGCTTCGACCATCCTCAACAATAGCAGCCGTTGGATCCCGATCCGCTACCGGGTCCAGTGCACGGGTATGAGCTTATTTCGACCGCACGACGACACTGCTGCGCCATAACGTGGGGCACCACGAAGCAACTGCATGGCCGCGCACGTTCCAAGAACACCTCTGAGCCGTCAACTGCGCGGGGCTCAACTCCGAAGCAATCATGTGCTGGCTCCCCTCGATGCGCATAAGCTCTCCTTGTCTATACCCCAGAGACGCGCAGGTACCCGCTTCTCTCGATACTGCTTTCAGTAATGTGGAGTGAGCGTGCTGCCGTGCCTCACTCATCGATCGCCAGGCACACCAGAGCCTCAACCGATGTTTGATACGTGGGTCGAATGCTGCAACAACACTGGATGGTCGAGCTCTCGTGGAACTTCAACATTCTCTCAGCGCGTCACATTCTGGGATCTCCGTATGCGCAACATGCACCTCGTCGAGCTCTGCTTGTCCCACTCACGGACAAGTGCCCGCGGCGCGTCCTGGATATAAACAGGTAAGCCATGCTCTCAGTCCATCTTCTTCCTCTCCATCCGCCATCTTTCTCTCAAACTCCCACTTGACTGTCGGGGGTCATTCTATCGTTTGTGTTACTACCTTTTCACCTTTCCTATTACCAAGATGCATCGCGTCCTCGCCGCGGGCAGCTTCGCCCTCGGCGCCCGCGCTGCCATCCTCCCGCGCAACCAGTGCTGCTTCTCTTTGACAGCATCTGGTGGTGACGCCTCCGGCTCCGTCGGCCAGCTCAGCGACGGCCAGAACCGCATCGGTGGTGGCTACCAGGCTGGCTCGTACTGCCTCAACAACGGCGCCATCACTGATGGCCAGGGCCGTGGCTGCATCCTCACGCCCCCAACCACCCAGTTCCAGTGTGATGCTGGCGCGTCGCCGGACAGCGGCTTCAGCGTCAACGGCAACGGCGAGTTGGAGAGCAACGGCGACAGTACCTTCTACGCTTGCCCCGCTGACAAGGGTGAGTGGAACCTCTACACCCAGCCTGTTGACGGACAGGACAAGTGCGTGGAGGTCACCTTGAGCACGGGCGGCCAGTGCTCTGGCTCTGCTAATGGCGGTTCGTCTGCGCCTGCCTACGGATCCACTGGCGCTGCTTCGCAGCCAGCTCCATCGTCTGCTTCGGTCCCGGTCTACGGCTCTTCTCAGTCGGCCCCAGGCTATGGCTCCTCACAGTCGGTTCCGGCCTATGGATCTTCGCAGCCGACCCCCGTGAAGTCTTCTAGCAAGAACACCCCTGGATACAGCACTCCTGCCGCAACCCCGGCGGAGAGTGCCTCAGCCAACTGCGATGCTTGCCCTCAGGCTGTCTCGACCACCACTGCCTACATCACCAAGGAAGCTCAGGATGCCTCGCCCACCACTGTCTACATCACCAAGGAAGCTCAGGCTGCCTCGCCCACCACTGTCTACATCACCAAGGAAGCCCAGGCTGAGACTGTCTCGCCCACCACTGTCTACATCACCAAGGAAGCCCAGGCTGAGACTGTCTACCAGCCCGCCAGCTCTTGCAGCATGGCCGTCCCAGAGGAGGGCAAGGGTGTTGACATGCAGTCCGGCCAATATGGCCACAAGGGCCAGCACGGCGGCAAGAACGAGCACCACGGCCAGAACGAGCACGGCAGCAAGAACGAGCACGGCTGGAAGAACCAGCACGGCGGCAAGCCTGCCGAGACTTCTGCTAAGCCAACTGAGTCCGAGAGTGCTCCTGGTGGCTACGGCAAGGCTAGCGAGACTCCGGCAAAGTCATCTGAGTACGAGAGCACGCCGGGTGGTTACGGCAAGCCCTCAAAGAGCGAGAGCAAGCCCGCCGAGACTCCAGGTGCCTACCCAACGCCATCGGAGAGCAAGTCCGCGCAGCCTGAGACATCCGGACAGCAATCTTACGGCTGGGGCAAGCATAGCAAGAGCTCTGAGGCTTCCAAGGAGTCTTCAACCCCAGGCGCCTACCCGACCCCAAGCCAAGAGTCTGGCAAGCCATCTTACGGTTGGGGCAAGCCCAGCAAGAGCTCTGAGGCTCCCGTGAAGTCGTCCAAGAGTTCTGCTCCTGGCGGCTATCCCACCCCATCCGAGAGCAAGCCCGCGCAGTCTGAGTCGTCTGGACAGCAATCTTACGGCTGGGGCAAGCATAGCAAGAGCTCCGAAGCTCCCGTGAAGTCGTCCGAGTCTTCTGCTCCAAACGCATACGCGACTCCATCTGAGAGCAAGCCCGCGCAGTCTGAGTCGTCTGGACAGCAGTCTTACGGCTGGGGCAAGCACAGCAAGAGCGAGTCTACTCCAGCTCAAACCACACCTGCGAAGACTTCTGAGAGCGAGTCCGCACCTTGGGGCTACCCAACTCCAAGCCAGGAGTCTGGCAAGCCTAGCATGAGCTCCGAGGCTCCTGTCAAATCTTCTCAGAGCCAATCTGCGCCTGCTTACCCGACTCCAAGCAAGGGCGAGCACGGCAAGGGCGAGCACGGCAAGGGTGAGCACGGCAAGGGTGAGCACGGCAAGGGTGAGCACGGGAAGGGCGAGCACGGCAAGTCTACCAAGACCACCGAAGCCCCAGTAACGTCTTCTGCGAGCGAGACCGCGCCATGGGGCTACCAGACTTCCAGCAAGGGTGAGGAGGGTAAGCCTAGCAAGAGCTTTGAAGCTCCAGTGAAGTCTTCTGAATCCGCTCCTGGTGGCTACGGCAAGCCCAGCAAGAGTGAGTCTGCTCCTGCTCAGACGACACCTGCGAAGGCCTCTGAGACCGAGTCGGCTCCCGGTGGCTACGGCAAGCCAAGCAAGAGCGAGGAGGTGCCCAAGGAGTCTGGTCCTGCTGGTTACGGCAAGACCACTAAAGGCGCTCCGGCTGCTTACACCACTCAGTGGTAGGGAATGCAATCACGAACGCGAATGAACACGAGCGTATAACGCTCATCTGCTTGCATTCAAAAAGTTATGATACGATAAGATGGAGGAAAGTTGAGCACAGCATGTCACAATGTTCCTTATCTCGACCAGCATATATGGGTATAATAGCAGATACGACTAAATCCATCACTCCTTTCCACAACACCTCTTTCACCCATTTTCCTCCCATTTTCCTCCCATGCCACCAAATTCCTTGACACATCAAACCCCCTCTCGATCACAATTAGACCAAATTACACCCAGATCCTCTCCCGGCGGTCAAGTCGTAACGCCCCATCAATTCGGCTCAGGATCCGCCTCCCACAGCATACAACACCTTCGATACCCCGGCCGCACCAACCTCCTCTCATCCGCATCTTTGGTCATCTTCTCCACATGCCACGGCCCAACCTCACTCGCGTCCAGCTCCACGAAGCCAAACTTCTGATACCACGGCCCATTCCACGGGATGTCCGGATACGTCGTCAACGACACTCGCGCCCGCGGCTTGCCCTCGAACTTCGCCCGCTCGGTCGTCCATCGGAATACTGCCTTCAATAAAATCCGCCCGATGCCTTTGCCCTGGTGCTCCCCATGAACGGCAATCTCGGCGATGTAAATCGTGTTGTCCATTGGGTACGCGGCGATGAAACCAATCGCCAGCTCGTCTTCCGAGACGATGTAGATGTTGCCTAGTGCCAGCCGTTGCTGGAAGATGAGCGGCTCGTCATAGTCATCTGCCAGGTCTGCTAAGGTCGGGATGGTGGCGAACTTCTTGGTCGCGGAGAAGGAGATGGCGCACAAGCGGGGGATGTCGTCGATGTTGGCCAGGCGGAGGTTGCGGTGCGGTTTCTGGTCGATGGAGTCGAGGCGGACGGCGCGGGCGAAGGCGGTGGGGAGTTCGGCGTACTGTTTTTCAGAGTCTTCCATATAGTAGGAGTCCGGCATTTTCGTTTCGATTTCCCGTGATGTTTTTCTTGTTTCCAGAGTAGATGTTTTGTTTTCTTTTTGTTGCTTCAATCCGGATCGAGGCCAATCATGTGTTTTCACGTGCAATGTTGCTAGAGTCGCGGATCCCGATAGAGTGGTTCAGGTGGAAAAAAGGTAGAAGCTGACCATCGTTCTCCTCTTCATTGGCGAGGAAGCGTTTCCCTTTTCGAGAGGGCCATGATGATGGTGCCTCCTCGGGCCACCGGTTTCTTCGGAGTGCAGATGGCTTGGCGGACCAGCGGTGCAGATGACCGATCGCCGTCGCCTTCGAAGGACGTCAGTCTCAGCCGCTCGTCCATCGTCCAGGGGGGTCAGGTGAGCTTCCTGCTGTCGTGCAACTCCAACGACATCGAAGGGTGTGATGAGAAGTCGTCTTTCCTTCGGAGCGTGTGTGAGATGGATGATGAAGGTCTTTGTCGGTGTAGATGGTCCACGGCAACTTATCTTCTCGCCTTGGCAGCCAGCCACCGGAGCCTTTATCTCTCTGCCTTATGGCTCCTTGCATGCAAGGCGATTGAACCAGTACTGTAGATCAGGGTGATTGGCCTGATCGGAGCCCTCCGAAAGATGTGAAATGGCACATCATTGTAGAAGCCTGAGAGGTGTTGAAGCTATACGTGTACAGGAAGACGCACGCTCCGAATGAACGGTATTGCTATGATTCCTACATCCGATAGTTGAGGCACTCAAAACTGTATCCTGCATACATTGCTTCGAATCAGCAGCAACAGGTCTCGAGAAGTCAGCGAAATGGCACCCCCATTCACCCCAGCTCTTCCATCTCTCCTCTATTGCTACCCCTGGATGCCGTTCCCTCGCCGCATCACCATCTACCTCCACGAGAAGCAGATCTCCTCTACCCTCGTCAAGACTGTTCGCGTCTCCGATCCGCAGGACGGCGACGAGGTGGTTGATAGGTCCTTCCCATCTAGACCGCGTGGCAGTCTGCCCATCCTCGCCGTTCGGTCTGACGCAAATGACGAAGACGGAAAGCCCAGCCAATGGTTCCACGTGAGACAGTCCATGGCCATTATCAACTCTCTGGAGGAGCTTTGCGAGCAGAAGCTTTATGGCTTTGACTCGCCAATGGGAAGTCTGTTTGGGAGAGACCTGATGGAGCAAGTGAGGGTCAATGAGGTACTAATCTTGGCTGAAGAGCTTACTGTCATTTGGTATGGGCCTTCGCTTTCCCAATCCTTGCTACACCATTGACTTAATGTACAGGAACCCCGTCCGCACCTTCGGCACGAAGGCAGGAACCATGTCCTACCCTCAGGGGGCTAGAGAAATGCTCCGTTGGGTGCGTCGTCCACTCCTGGCCATAGAGAAATGGTGGCAAGAGTCCGATCGCGATGTCTGCTTCTCCGAGCCGGGAATTTCGACCCTGTGACAATGGCAGATATTGTGTTGTACCAGTTACTTGAGATCACAAAGGCTGCTATGGAGTTGATATGACAGTCGGCTCTGGAGAAAAGATGAAGGATGTGTACGGAAGGGACGTTGTGGAAAGTTTCCGAAGCTGAAGGAGTTTTACGAGGTATTTAGTAATAGGGACAGTGCGAGAAGAGACGAGGAGAACAGTGAGATGCCGGGACCTGGACCGGCGAAGGCATTGGGGACGTGGGCAGATGGTGTGTTGTAGTACAAAATGAAAGGGATTGGGTACTTGTGTCTTGCTGTTGTCGTTTCTTCTCGCCGGTGCCGTTTATCCTACAATCGCCAATACAGCCACGTAGTAGTCTTCACCCATCTTTGGATACAGAGAGTGCCTCTAAATCACATCATCGTTGGCGAGGCGTTAATGGAAGAAGTCAACAAGACCTTCTCATGAAGCCACATATATCTCCGGACCTGCGCGCTGTGATTGGCTAATATTTCACGGGCGCTTTCAACTTCCTCAAGACAAGATTGTCGAGAAGCAATACCGGACGATGCATACTCAATAAAAGGAGACGGCACAATGGCCGACATAACACCCACTTTCAGCACATGCCTGAAGGACAAGGGCGCCAAACCCATCTTACCCACCCAATATGACCTGAACAAGATCAACACCTTCCTGCAAGAAGCACACAGCATAAACGCTCGAATCGCGGACCTGACGCGCGAACTACGTTCCATACGACCTGCCTACCTCTCGACTGCACCGCCAACAAGAAGGAGGAACCAGGCTCATGAATCTCATGACCAGTCGCGCCGCCCGTTGACGGACAGCGAAAGAGAAGCGATCGATGCCCAGTCTAAGCAGCTACTGCGGCAGCTGAATGGTGGCATTACTGGTCTGAAGCAGGCGGAGGATGTGCGCAATCAGACGGCGGACTCGGTGGCACTCTCAAAGCGGGCGCGAGGAGGATTAGGTGCGCTAGGACGATGGGCAGCAGGCGGCGCAGTGACGGCCAAGTCGCCGGAGGAAGAGCAAGAGGAGGCGGAGCGGAAGACGATCGCTGCTGTGCGGGAGAGCATTATATTGTATCTGCAACGAAAGCTGGAGGAGGCTGGCAGGGTGCAAAGCGAGATGATGGAAGTGCGATTGGGGAGGGAGGTGGAGAAGTCGAAGAGTGTGCTCTACAAGTCTAGGGTGTCGGGTGGAATACCGTACGCTCAAGACGATAACATGGATGCTATGAACATGCCTTCGTCGGCGCGGGGGACGAAGAAATCACGGCCGCTGTCGGCAGATCTCACGAACGGCACGCCGGGCCAGGACGATTCCACATTGTCGGAAGAGCAGATACAGGCTTTCGAGACCGAGAACGCAGATCTGCTCAAACACTATGAAGACCAGCTCGACCAAGTTCGAACCGCTGAGCGAAGTATCTTGGAGATCAGCGAGCTACATTCGACGCTCCATGCGAATTTGCAGCAACAGAGCGAGCACATCGATCAGCTCGTCCAGGATTCTTATCTCACGACTGAAAATTTGGGCAAAGGCAACAAGGAGCTGAAGCGTGCCAGTGAGAGGCGAAGTACGGCACAGGCTGTGTTTTGGGGCACAGCTGGATTTTGCACGTTCTTGATCTTGTGGGATTTTGCATTCTGAAGACAGTCTCCGCTCGGCAGGCCATCGGCCGCAATATTGTTACAACTCAAATGACGTTAGCATTACTCCGGCCTATTAAGAACGGTCTACACCACTTCGATCTCGACCCTATGGACATGATTCCGCGCCTCGCCCAGTGGCTGCATTCTTCCATCTCGACCTTTCGATCTCGCCAGCAAGGTATGTCGGCCCTTGTTCAGCTTCAGCTCCGCGCGAAACCTTTGCCAACTGAATCCCTCCCGATCCTTTAATTCTGCGACCACCCACGACTGGCCCTCATCAGCACTGACGCCTACCGCCTCTACCTCGTCTTCACTCCACGCACAGCCTTCGACCGCTACTTCCGGGCCTGCCACCTTCGCATCTGGTTGTGGTCTCACGATCATCGAATTCGGCTGTACGCCAAACACTGGCTTCGACGGGTTGAGCGGATCGTCAGGCGGATACTTTTCATTATAGAACGTCATTGTGAACGGTCCCGGCGCTCTTCGATCCTGCACTTCGATCTTGCAGAGCCATTTCGTGGAATTCGTGCCAAACCAGCCGGGCACAACCAGCCTCACCGGCCCACCCCTGTTCTTTGACAGCGGTTCACCGTTCATTGCGTACGCGACCAGCAGTTCTGGATTCATTGCTTTAGAAATGGGCAAGTCTTTCTGATAGCGATCTGCGGAGACGTTGGCGAAGGCTCCGCGGTCGAGGCCGGTGGTCCAGACGTAAGATCCAGATTCATGAGGCTGGGCCTGGGAGAGGAGCGTGCTAAGCGGCACGCCTGTCCATGTCACATTGCCGATACGTCGGAGGGCTTTGGTCGGAGGGACGAGTGGTGAGCCGTAGCATTCCATGAATGCTGTGATAGTCTCGGAGGGGAAATTTCGGAGTTGACCAAGTGTGAGGGAGAATGGATTGGATACGAGACCGGAGACCACCAGGCGCCACTTCGATTCATCAACGACGGCGGCACCCATGTGGATCGTTTGGAACAGAGAGTCATCGTCTGTGATGAACGAGTCAAGCTCATGCGGTGGAGGCGGATGCCGAATGAAGAAGCCTGCTGGGTCGAGTTTGACGAAGGCTGAGCGTTCTTCATCTTCAGCGAGAGGCGGCGCGGTTGCGTGCTGGTCTTCGATCATCTCCATGGCACAAGGCACTCAACACCTCTTAAGAACGACTTTCGACTCCTGGAAAGCTCCAGAGATACTGGTCAAATGAGGTCGGCTCGTCATACAGTTGCGAATGCGCCTCAAGATTGCTGCACCGTTCTGCTGCCTCGTGGAGGGCTCTCGTTGTCTTGTCAAGGGCGGTCCTCGAGCGGCCGAGAGCCTCTGGAGCGGCAATCAAGCTGTCACCGGCCTCTTCGTCTTAGATCTTCGGAGGCCTCGACTTCAGTCTCTCAGCAGCATGAGTTTCAGCAGACCTACGACGGTGCCTACGTCTGCGAGTTTTGAGCTTCATCGCATCTCGAAAGCATCTGATTTCGACATACCGCCGTGTATTTCATAGATCATGTTTGCCACCTGTGTCTTACGATAAGGGAGGTGTTTGCCATCATTGAAAGACTCCAACGATCTTCAAATGCAGAACTGAATCATTGCTGAGTTTCGCGATGCTCTGTCGCCTCTGGCCCTCGAGAGACTGCGGACATCGAAAACCCCGCCTCCTCGCCAAGCTCTTTGTCGCGAGCTTCTTCTAAGGCGGTTACCGCAGACATGTGCGTATACCTGCGACCTCAGCATGCATTCCGCAGGATGAGGTGCCACGATACGCCCCTCATCCTCCGCCATTGACCGCGGTTCCTGCAGCATGGCTTTGATCATACTTAGGGCGCCCAGCAGGCTTCCCAGCAATAGTACGCGTCCGAGAAGGTAACATTCCGCGCCCGAGGGCACTTTTGCTCGAGCTCACTCGGCCGGAGGATCCTTCACTGCTTACCTCATTGCTAACTGTTGCAGTAGTAACTGATAGAGACCAGCGCACTCGTATGTCACTGCGCCCATTTCCAGAGGGCTGAGGATCCGCCTTTCGCCGCTACCGTACGTTGTGAGTGTGTCCGGGATACCAGCACCTTGTCGACGATTGCGAGTGCGACTCTACATTGCCACCAGGTCGGCCTACGTACGGCTCCCTAAGGTAGCTTCGTGGCTTACTCCAGGGAATCTGCATCACATACCTCTCGCGCAGGCAGCGCTGGTCGGCGACCTTGGCATGAGGCCAGAACAGATGCTGTTGTGCGCTCCAATCATACAGGATCCCCGTGTTTGCTGGCCCAGTCGTGCAAGATCAGATCACCTTCCTCTTACTGTTATTGCGACACAAGGTGCGAGGAGCATCCTCGTCAGACGTCCTAGCCGTATTTTCGCGGCCTACGGCCGTAACACCGTGTCTGCGCTGGTATTGTGGCTTCTCTGTACCGATAGTCATCAAATCTGAGAACGCCAGATCAGCTCGTTTTCGCATCAGGTGAGATCGAGATCAGATCTGTACCAGCCAAATGGCTACAAGTACGCTCTGCAATCCTGTAAAACGGAAGGTTCACTTCTCTACCCCCTCCCGACAAACACAGCTCACCGGCACTACCCATCATGTACAAGACTCTTCTTCTACCGCTGCTAACGCTAGCTTTGCGGCTGGTACACGCTCAGGAGGAAGAAAAGATCTCATGGCCGGAACCCCACCCCGGCAACTACACCATCTCCAACTTCAATTTCGACCAAGGTCGGCAACTTGACAAGCTCGTTCTCGCTTACCAAACTATTGGGGAGTTGAAAATTGAAGATGATGGAACCACCAACGCTGTCCTTCTCCTGCACGGCAGTGACGCCGAGAGCGGGCAGTTTCTTGTAGACTCCTTCGCCGGTACTCTCTTCAATCCTGGACAGGTGCTAGACGCTGAGAAGTACTTCCTCATCATGCGGGACGGCATCGGACACGGCTTATCCAGCAACCCTCGCAACACTGGCCTGCACGCCAGCTTCCCCAGTTACCAGTACTCGGATATGATTCGTGCGGACCATCGGCTTCTGACCGAGCACTTTGGAATCAACCACGCCAGGCTGATCATGGGTGTGTCAATGGGTGGTATGCACTCGTGGATGTGGGGGGAGGAGTATCCGGATTTTATGGACGCGTTGATGCCGATTGCGTCCCAGCCTGTGCAGATTGGTGGCCATAATAGGTAACGTCTCGCCACCCTGCCTGAGACATGTGCTAATTGCTTCCAGGATGTGGCGGAGACTGATGATGGAGGTCATCCAGCGAGATCCGAATTGGGAGGGAGGTGATTACAAGAAACAACCAATGGGCAGTCTGCTGGGCGCCTTAAGTATTCTCCAAACCATGCTCCAGGGGCCGCTGTCCATGGCGGAGGAGTATCCAACCCGCGATGCTGCAGATGCGTTTGTGGATGGGCTACTGGACCTTCTGGCTGAGAATCCGAACGCATTCGATGTGAACAGTCTGCTCTACGCCTACAACGCGTCCTACACTTACGATCCCGAGTCACGGCTGAAGTCGATTAAAGCTCCGCTGACGGCTGTCAATACCGACGACGACTTGATGAACCCACCGCAGCTCGGGACGATAGAGCGTGCTGTGCAGGACCAGATGGTGGAGGGGCTGGGTAGGGCGGTGGTCGTGCCCACAAGCAATGAGACGTTTGGACATGGGTCGTACATTGATGCAAATCTGTGGAAGGCGGAGCTGATGCAGCTGCTGGAGAGGAGCAAGTGTCCTGGAGAGGGTATGTGAGATGAAACGAAGGTAGCGGAAGGTTTGTGAAGGAGTGCTTGTGGTCACATGGATAAGAAGAAAATGCTGTGAATGGTTCTGGCAAGCACTCTTGTTGTGTCGTATATTGTACGTAGACATTGACACTCGGCTGTCGACGCTCCTTGCTGTCACACATTAGGGATTAAGGCGAACGACAACGTTGAACGAATCTATCCTTCGTCAAAGTGATTGCGTCCTCGGCGAGGGGCGGCGAGGGTAGGTGGGAAATCTCACGGCCCAAGGACTTCTGCTTTAATACGATATTTCTCGGCGTGTAACGAACGTGCAAATTCAATCGAAGCTGAAATACAATCGCCAGAGTCTGCCTCATCGATAGTCCGGGACAAAAATTTGTTTGTGGTCCAAAACCGCTTGTAAATATCGGTGTAAGGTGTGGCTGCTGGGCCCCCCCTTCACATCCCCACCCTCGCGGGCGTCAAGAAACTCCACAAAGCTTCTTTGCTGCCACATTCCCGTCCTGGGCAGTTCCATCCGGCTCGCATCGGTACGCCGTGGACCCATGCGGGTACTACGTAACATCAGACTGCTGTTGAAATACCACGCCAGCCCCAGGATGTCGCCGGCGTCTCTCGGTGTGCGACTTGTACGTACGTCGAAGCCCGCCCGACATTCATCATGAAAGACGACATCGCCGACGCCGACGCTTTACGCCTGGCGCAGCTTGGCCATGCGCAATCTTTTGAACGGCAGTTCAGTCGCTGGACGATGCTGGGGCTGTCCTTCGCTATCTTGAACTCATGGACTGCGCTGGCGGCGTCGTTGTCGCTGGCTCTGCCCTCTGGTGGAACGGTCTCTGTGATTTGGGGACTGGTGACTGCAGGCATCTGCAACTTCAGTCTGGCGGCGAGTCTGGCGGAGATGCTGAGCGCGTTCCCGACGAGTGGAGGGCAGTATCATTGGTGTGTCAAGAAAGAGCCTCATCGCTGCTCCCGGCCAAGTGCATTGCAACCCGGCTGACGCTTCCTATCTAGGGCCTACATGATCGCGCCTGCGTCCATCAGGCGCGGGACAGCCTGGGCCACTGGCTGGATCAACATGTCAGGATGGGTTGCTCTCGTAGCGACGAACAGTTCACTAGCCAGCACCTTGATCATCAACATGATCAGCTTACTTCATCCTGGGACCTACGAATACCACCGCTGGCACCAGTTCTTGATCTATCTCGGCATCACATCCACCTCCTTCGCTGTGAACGCGTTCATGCAGAAGTTGCTGCCGCAAGTCAATGGTGTAGCTTTGGCGTGGAGTATCGCTGGCTTCATGATCATCTCCATCACCGTACTGGCCTGCGCAGCACCAGATTATGCCACTGGGGAGTACGTATTCGCTACATGGATCAACGAGACCGGCTGGCCGGACGGCATCGCTTTCCTACTCGGCTTACTGCAAGGCGGTCTCGGACTCACCGGGTTTGACGCTGTAGCACACATGATTGAAGAAATCCCCGATGCGGCACTTGAAGGGCCAAAGATTATGCTCTATTGCCAGTACATTGGCATCAGTACCGGACTCTGCTTCCTAATCGTCGTCCTCTTCGTCAGCGGCGGGATGCAAAACACAGACAGAATCATTGAATCCGGCGCTGGTCCATTGCTGGAAATATTTTACATTGCCACAAACAGCCGCGTGGGTGCGGTATGCTTGCTCATGTTTCCGCTAATCTGCTTCATCTTCGCCGGCATCTCAGTGCTTACCACCGCGTCACGCATGACGTTCGCTTTTGCCCGGGATGGGGGTCTACCTATGTCAGCTACCTGGTGGAAAGTCCACCCAAAGCTCGGTGTCCCTCTCAACGCTCTCTACTTGGACTGCTTCGTCGTGCTCATCTTCGGCTGCATCTATCTTGGCTCGAGCGTGGCTTTCAACGCCATCATTTCCGCCTCCGTCACTGCATTAGGAGTCAGCTACGGCATTCCGGTCTTCCTGAACGTCATTACGCTCCGACGAAAGTTGCCTGAACGACGCTTTAGTCTACCTGCAGGGATCGGCTGGGCAGCGAACATCATTGGACTGGTGTACACGATCATAACGACGGTGCTGTTCGTGTTCCCGCCCTTTTTGCCGGTGACAGGGACGTCGATGAACTATTGCATCGTGGCTTTCGGGATCATCTTGATTATTTCGGGGTTTCAATGGATTGTGGATGGGAGGAAGAACTTTGAGGGGCCGAGGATTACGATCGATCAGAGTGCGCATCGGGAGTCATTGACTTGATCGCCTGTATGTACGCTGCGGTGTTCGCGGGTAGGACTCAATAAGAACCAACGATTTGGTACGTTAGACGCTTTATAGGCTATTGTGCGCGTTCTCTCGTAGACTGCTACTTGTACTGCAACGTTGATCGATGAACTAAGCCATTTTTGGCGTCTGTTACATGCCATTCTGCAGAAGTGAATAGGTCCTGTCGATTGACACAAGATAAAATACCTTGCTTGGTAGATCGCTGCCCCACCATCCGTCCGTATAGTGCTCTCTCATCAGTCCATGTGATGCGCCATGATCCTTGTTGGCTCGGCAAATGCTCGGTGCATTAGGGCTCGCATTATTGAGCTATCATATATGGAATTGAAAACTTACCCTCCATCGAAGCATGGTCGGTAAGTCATTACTTCTACAATCTGTATCAGCCCTACCAGATTCTAATGAAATAACAGGTTAGCTCAGTTGGTTAGAGCGTGGTGCTAATAGTTGCCCAAACACTATAAAAACGCCAAGGTCGCGGGTTCGACCCCCGTACTGACCATTCTTTTGCTGCTCATGTGGAACATATATGTTTTTATTGTTGTTGTATAGCAAGCATGTGAAAGTTTTGCCTCGAGTGTGTTGCATTTATCGAATCTGGCGAAGTTGGTCCAAATCCGAAAACGCCGAGCAGACGCCGAGCTTCGACCGCACTCGATTCCTCTGGGAAGTTGCAGGCTGTTACAGCAAGGCCGCCCGGATGTCCATTATTGTTGCGTTCGCCGTTTACAGGGGACGTTTCTTCAGTAGATGGTGGTGGCCAACGAAGAGACTCAACAGGCAAGGGTGAAGCGCCAAAGCGGGGTGAATTTAAATCGGAAAATAGAAGGAGGAAGACATTGTGGATGAGTAGAGTAGATAGGTAAGGTGCATCAACAGTTGTCACCACATAGATGACAATGCCATCTTGAGGTGAGATCAAGAGGCGGAGAGGAAGGTCGAGAATGCAGCACGGGTTTGTGGTTTACAGTTGAGCTTGCATACACAACTCCAATAGTACGCTATCCACTCGCATTCGGCAGAAGCTTCAAAGCAAACGCTCGTAATATCAATCGCACTGCAGTCCTTCACACATTCTCCGCTCGCTCAGTCCTCCTCCATCTCGCCATAGTACGGCACCCGCTCATGCTCAGGAGTGAGAGGCGGGTCGTAGCCGTCGTCGGACTTTGTCGTCCTCCTCACCACCCTGGTCGTCCTCACCCTCAACAGCCGCCCCTTCACCATTACCCTCCTCGCAGTCTTCCCACTCATCGTCATCCCCGCCATCGTCCTCATCATCGACGTACCCATCCTTGCTGAGGCCTTCCATGCTGTCTCCTCCAAGCACCTTCTCCTTCATCGCACGACCTTCCTGCAACAACTTCATGATTGCCTCCTGTTGTGGGTTCAACGGAGGAGGTCCGCGCTCGCGCATAGAAGTGCCGTCGTCTGCGTAGGCCCCCTGGCTTCCGCCCCCAGCTCCCTTCCTCCCAATACCCCTCTCCGACCCAGCAAGTCCTCCCATCTGCAACCCCATGAGCGCCGTGCCTTGCGAGCGTGACGGAGAAGATGCGCCAGCCATACCTGCCGGTCCTCCAAGACCAAATGGCGCAGCTCCACCACTGACCATCTGACCCATCTGCTTGTTGTCGCTACGGAACACTGGTCCCTCCACACTCTTGACGCTCCACCTAGGAGCACGAACGGTCTTCTCCTCCTTGGAAAGAGGCGCCTTACGTGGCTGCTTGGGCTTCGACTCTTTCCCACTGCCGTCGCCCCTGGTCTTCACGATAGCCCGTCCGGTCCGATCCTTGGTGATATGCTCAAGCTCCGCTTCTGTGATCGCCTTTCCGCAGACCAAAACCACATCCTTGATCTTCAGACCCGGGAACTGCTCGTTGTGAACATTGCTCATGTGACCTTTGAGCCCACTCACCCCGTTGTAGAACTGGAGGTTGTGCTCTCTCGTGTTGCTCGCTCCTTTCTTCTTGCGGGCGTTGGCGCCGCAGACGGGGCATCGAAGCTGCACGAGGATATCGTTGTAGCGGACGATGGTGGTGTAGTGCTTGTAGGGTATGATGCCGGGAGGTACGTATGGCTCAGCTTGGTGCTTCGTCGTCTCCGTGATGACTTTCTTGATGACATCTGCTCCATGACCTTGCTCGATCAATTTAACTTCGGCCTGGGTGAGAATCCGATAGGCCACTCTCCCCGTCTTATCAGTGGTGGTTTTCGCATCGTCGGGCTTGGAAGTGTTTGGCGCAACGAAGACGGCCTTGTGTATCATGCCATGGTGTTGAAGGAGGGCATCGTAGCCTTTGCAGAATGGGTAAGGCGGACGTGGCTGGGAGTTCCCTCCGCATTCTGCACAGGACAGTTCCAGGTACTCGTCCTTGTGGACGATGATGTGATCGTACTCTCCGGGGAACGGTGCGTAGTCGTCGTTGGCCATCGTGTAGAGCAAGCAAACTAGCAAAAGTTACCGGGATGCTGGGAGATTGCGCAGAGGTTGTGGTGGATGTGCTGGGGTTTGCTCGAATGCTGTATGTCGGTACCAGAAGAGTAGGTGAATTTGGGATGGCAGAAGTATTTGAGCTAGCCCACGGGTGCAATGCCAAGCGCGCGCGGGCCTCAGGGTACCTTCCGCCAACTTAGAAGCGGCGACGCAATGACTTTGTCTCGCGGGACTGGCGGTACTCTCCGTGTTCTAGCATCTGGTGCAGCGAAACTACCATGAAGGTATCTCGACCAATGAGCAACAGACGTCACAGAGTATTGCAGAGGAGCATGGGAGCTGCTGCGAGGAGAGGAACTACTCCCAGAGATCTTTCGCATAGCCCTCCGTCACCTCCTGATCTTCTCCGAACCTGGGCGAGCAGGAATGTTAGCAGATGTCATCAATACTACTGGTCTCAGCGAGGAGAAGAGATAAAAGAGTCTTCCAAACATACTTCTGCTGCCATTTGGAGAAACCACCATCCAGGACGACCACCTCCTGCGCAGACTTGACATCCTTGCCATCTCTCCTCTGCTGGATCTCGCCCTTCTCGGCCATCCGGTCACGCTCGCGGAGGTATCGCAGCGCACTGCCAGGCCCACGCTGCTGGGAGAGCGAGCAGTGGAAGACGATCTTGTCCTGATCACGAAGGGTGCGGATGAGCTCCGGCATACGGTAGTCGTGGGTGTTGGTCGGCACATTCATGCAGCCCTTGATGTGCCCGCCGATGTAGTCACTGTCGCGGACGTCAATGACAGTCACTCCAGGCTTCCCAGAGCGGACGGATTCGGCGAGGTCCTCGCGGGTGATCCAAGACAGGTCCGAGAAGGTGTACGAATACATGGCCGGCTTTAGGTATCAGATCGATCACGAGCTGATGATCTCGAGTTTGGACTCTCGAAATCTGGCGTCTCGCGGCGTATGAGCAACAGCGCGCGTTACCGGACCCCAGTGCCTCCCTCGGTGCTCGGCGCGGCTTCAATGGCGGCGCGAAGAATGGCAGACTTTTCCTGGGAGTGCCCCTACTGCTTTCCTTGGCGTGAGGCTGGAGATGCTGTTCAGTGGGTCTGCGATTGTGTTAGAAAAGCTCTTCGTGAAACGTGAGGCTGCTCGCGAGAAAGATCATCGCCACGTTCATAGTAATGTGGAGGAGCAGCCGAGCGCACGAGGTCATGATGCTTACAGTTCTGCGGTGGTTGTAACGTGAAGGTGATGTCGAGGGTTGAAGAAATGAAGAGGTGAGGTCTGCTTGGAGTCGAGACTGACGTTGGCGTTGAACGCTCGGGCCACAACCACAACTGCGCAACAGCAGAGGCGGGCAGCCGGGCGTCTACCTTACTTTCAGCAAGACGAGTTTCATGGCATTTCTACAGATCAATTACATTCACAACTTCGACGGCTTCCACTGTGGCTTCCGCTTCTCCACAAACGACGCGATGCCTTCCTTCAAGTTGTCGCCGGCCTGTAGCCGTGGCCCCCACTGACACAAACAGTTAGCACGCGCTTCGGGGCGATATCGCGTTCTCACTTACGATCTCATTCGACATTCTCGTGCCATCCTCAGCACCGACCGCCTCCCAGCCCAGCTTGATGCTCTCCCGAGTCACAATCACAGCATCTGGACTATTCGCCGCGATCATCTTGGCGTACTCGACAGCAGCATTTACAACCTCCCCATCCCCATCTCCCACCACCTTATTAACAAGTCCCCATTCTCGTGCTTCGGCGGCACTGATCGTGCGGCCCGTCAAGGCCATCTCCATAGCTCGAGGCTTTCCAACAGTCCGGATGAGTCTAGGCAAAGCTCCTGCTTGAGCAGCTACACCAATTTTCACTTCCGGCAGAGCGAAGGTTGCCTTCTTGGCCGCTACCACCATATCGGCGTTGATGATCGCTTCGCAGCCGCCGCCGTAACAGATCCCGTTCACTGCAGCAATCACTGGTTTCCTGCCACTGCGTCTCGACAGGGCACAGAAGCCGCCTGGAGGGTGCGCTCGCTTTTGGCCGGTTTGGTTTGTGTTGTTCCATTCTGCAAATAATCGAGTCAGCATGGTACTTCTCAAGCAAACGCTCAAGTACTCGCCCTTCAAATCAGCTCCAGCGCTAAAGGCTCTACCCGAGCCGGTAAGGATACCACATGCAAGTCCAGGCTCAGCATCCATCCATGACCAAAGTGCGTCGAGCTCTCTGTGGCCATCCATGTTTACACAGTTCAAGTCCTTCGCCCGGTTCAATGTTACCAAGAGCACATTTGAAGCCGGAAACGATACGATGCAGTACTTGGCTTGCGGGATGGGAAGCTCGAACTTTGGCTGTGCCATGGTTGTCTGCTGTTCTGATCCTTTTCCTTTTGTTCGTTGTGGGTTGGTATACAATGAACAGGATAGCTCACATTCAGTTGTTTCTGGCAACTTGCCGCAGCCGAGGTTGAAGTGTGGAGACGAGTTCTTCAAACTTCATTCACGAATCCATCTTGGCTACGAAGGCAACACAACAGCTGATGGACAGGGTTGAGCCCCTCGAGCAACCACAGGGCAGTGACTGTAAAATAAGGTATAAATACACGTCTATCAATACTCCAAGCAAGCTAGGTACACTTTGTGCTACTCCTTCAGCTCGTCCCCGCCTTGACCCTCCCGATCTCCATGTCGATGAGCTCAATACGAGACACAGCAATCAATTATCCATTTCCTTTCCTTCTCTTCAAACCAATCTCAAGCGTTTACTACCTAACGACTTCCTGGGAACAGAATCAACAAATCAATCACCATGACATCCCATATTCAGCCGCCTGTTCCTTCATCGAGAAGATTTGCTTGCGAGACGAGGGTGGTCTCCGGACTCGGCTGCATCAGTACCCTTGCCAACGAGATCAAGTTCAACAAGATCACAAAGCCAGCACTGGTCGTCGATGCAGGTATAGCGAACGCCGGCCTACTGGAACAATGGCTCACCCAGCACGTCTCAAGCATCACCCCTTGTATATCCTGCCCGGTGAACCCCAACCTTGATCAAGTCCAACAAGGAGTGAACGAAGCCAAGTCTGACAGCTGCGACGGCGTCGTCATCATCGGCGGCGGATCAGCCATATGCATGGGCAAAGCCATCGCCATCTGCCTGGCCAACCCTGGCCACATCCTCGACTATGAAGGCAACGAACGCCTCAAAGCGTCACCGGCTCCCACCATCTGCGTCCCAACAACAGCAGGATCCGGTTCCGAAGTTTCGAGGGTGCTGGTCCTCCACGAACGGGGTCGACGACAAGAGATCATTGTTCGAGCAATGGGAAGCGAGCCAAGGGTAGCGTTACTGGACGGCAACCTACTCAAATCTGCCCCAAGACAGCCACTTCTCGACGCCGGTCTGGACGCCGTCACACACGCCTGCGAGTCGCTCTGGTCCCGCAACCGATCCATCATCACCGACGCTCTGGCTGAGAAAGCTTTGGAAACATTCCTCGATCGCTTTCCAACTGCACTCAACTACCGCGATCCGAAGGCGCTGCAAGACATCATCGAAGCCAGCTGCGCAGCGAATTTAGCCTGCGGCAATACCGGTCTCGCTCTCTGCCACGCCATGAATACAGCTCCTGACGTGCCGCTGGCGCATGGGTATGTGAACGGGTGTACTCTCCCCGCTGTCGCGGCGTTCAATCGACCACATATGGACGAGCGACATCAAAAGTTAATCGATCGTCTTCCAAAACTGTACAGGGAGCTCAATTGTTCGGGCAGCTTTGCTGATGGAGAGTGTGATGAGAACAATACTGAATTGTTTGTTGATGGGAGCCGGGACCATCCGTTCAGGCACAACAATATCCGGGAGACTACTGGTAGGCAAGGCGTTCGATCGGAAGTGGATTATGCTGACGATCTGACAGATGCGGAGTGCTACGAGTTGCTACGGCAGTCTGGGGCAGTTGTTGCGGCCGCTAGCTAATAGCGCTCTTGATAGAGGTTCCAATCCCTGTTCACAAGGTATGGTGATTAACTTCCTTCCTCGCTACTTCGTAAGCAATCTGGACGTTCCCAAGTGTCACCGAGTCACGTCCAAAACCTTTGATGACTCTAGACTAGTACGAACGACCGAGGATATGCCCTCGACCTCAAATCAGCCGCAGAAGGAATAGGGTCTTCCGCAGGAACCTCATTAGGGAGCCACACAGCCTGGCCCACAATGTGACACACTTCTTGTCCGTCTGCCATCGAATGATCCGCGTTCTGCACTTTCCGTGGTGCTATCAGCCGTGCAAAGAGCTCACCTGAGCAGATACAGATGGGATCGCCTTCGTGCAGCCCATAGCCTTCACCCACCATAACACTAGCCGACCGAGGGGCTCTTATCGAGGTGTTGCTGATCGAAACACCAGGTCCCGGGCCCGGAGGCGCTGTGCTAACGGCGGTCATGGCGGCTTCCGAGACATTCGGGCCCAGCTCGGCAAACCCGTTGTGGAATGCTACCTGGCCAAGGCAAGGCACTGTGCAACAAAGCCGACCCAGTTCGTCGACATAAGCACTCCGGTCTTGGGCCCCGCCACAGTCTAAATGGTTTGAGCTGAAACCGTCCTGGTAGTCTAAAGCGCTGAAGTCCAGCAGCCATGATGGCAGGGTTGTATTGCGGGTTTTGCGCAACCGGAAGTTACTCATAGGTGCGGCAGAACTTCTCCAGTGCACTCGCTGCCCGACCTCACTAATCTGACTGGCGCTTCTGTCGAGCAAACAGCTCAAGTGGCCTTCGGATAACAAGACGGAATACAAGCGAATCTAGACTTTGTGTAATGGTATCGAGTAGTTAGGTAACATGGCCTGAGGACTGCTGAATGCGAGCAGCGCGTAGATCTGGTCGCGAGGATCTTGACACTTCGTCTCATGCACACTTTCGAGTCGAGAGAGCAAAGTCATGCCTGGTCTGCAGTGTTGGGTCTGATGGGCCCGGGAGTCGCTGGGTCTGAGGTACTGACTGAGGTACTGACGTGTCATCATGCCAACGTCGGGAGGCATGTCGAATGTGACTTGGTGGAGGCTAGTAGCAGCAGGCTTCGCGAACTCGGTTATGTGCGCTTTTGCTCTCATGTTTACCATAAGTTGGCGCATGCGGACGTGAGCGGCGGTGAATTTATTCCAGTCCATGTGGTAATGTCCGCAGAGGATTGTTCCACGTGGCGCGTGGAATAGTTCTTGGAGCACCCACCTGCGTTCGAAATAGGTTCTCCTGGAGAATCGGAAGAAGCTTTGCCATATGTGTGCGGTCGCGGAACTTCTGTCCTCTTCGCGCCAGTCGCTGTTGAATGGTGTGGCAATCTTGAGATCCGGTTTGCTCAGCAAGCGTCCGAACAGTCCAAGCTCACGTAGGACAGGGTGATCGGTAGCCGTAAAGTACTGCGTGAGAGCTCCATCCAGGGTATCACAGGGTGTTAACTCCAGTCAAGCTTGTCTGCGAGGACGCCGCAGACAGCCACTTGTCGAACTCGTTGAAGCCGGACATAGGGTCGACAATGCTGCTAAACAGTGGCATGATGATGCTTACGTCCAGCTCTAGCATTTCTTCACCAAGCCAAATCAATGCCGAAGTACACTGCTTGTAGACCTCCGACATGATAGACACCTGCTGAGCCCGCTCTTCTAGGTCCTGTTGGTTAATACACAGAGCGTCGACCCATAAAACTCTAGTAGTCTCCTTCGAGCGAAAGCGTAGCAGACAGTCATAGAGATTGCTTTTGACACCCACTTCTTGGCCTCGAAGAGTGATTGCTCGTGGTTGCTCATTGTAGCACGAGAATACGATATCGGCGTCGTCGTGAGATGGGTAAGGTGGGCCCCATGTGTACGACAGGGCTTCGTAGGCCGGGCCATCCCCGTTCAATGAACGAGTCTCCGGGTCACATTCGATGGGAGCCGTGGGATCTGGCGAAGGTCGTAGCAGGAGAAGGCGGATCTCGTTGTTCGCCAGTGGACGGTCGTAAAAAGACATGTGGCTAGTTCACCTTGCGACTGCAGCAGTGCCAACCAGTTGGTACGCCTATGCCGTGCCCGCGTTCGAGGTTGTTGCTTTAAAATGCGAGATGTGTGGCCAGGTATGCTGTGATTTCATAGTCGAGAAAGGAAACGGGGCAGCGGCGTGCATCTCCAAGGTTCCGATGCAGCTAAGAACACCTAAGACTGCCTGAAGAGCTTGTTGCCGTCGCGGACATCCTTGCGGACATCAACTGAAAAGCTACGGTTGTGGCGCGGCTCTACGATTAGGCCATGAGGCCGTGGTACTTTGGTACTTTCGGCGTCGCTACAGATGTCAGTTTGGGAAAGTCGTCTTTCTTGCCGAAAGTGAGGGTATGCAGGCTCTTGGGCATACGTTATAGCCATACCATCTCATGCCCGGAAGGAGGTGACTACCTCCCAAATCGGACCACTCCGGCTTGTGAAGATAGGCACTTGACTACGTGGGCGGACTTCCTATTCACAAAGAGAAAAAATAGAGTAGTGCGCAGGACGGCTTGCATATCAAGAGTTGAGTGAGCCGTCTTAGCAGCCATTGTTGCTATCTCGTTCTTCGAGTCAGATGTCGTCGGCAATCACGTGTTGTTCAACGCTTTGAGCTTAACTTTAACTCTACATCCCCGCAATTCGCCAATTCGGCCAATCCTACATCTGTTTGGCCTCTGCCATTGACACCACCTCCATACCAACTCTAGTGACTGCGATCGCGAGCAAGTCGTGAGTCACAATCAACACCAAAGCCAAACCCAATCCGCATCGAAGCTGGCGCCTCTCGGAACCCGCACGTCTCTCTTCCGCCGCCCTCTCTTCCTTGTCATCCTCTGCTTGGCCGCCATTCTGGCACTCTTCACTATACTTCCTCGAGCCCGCACCTTCGTGAGCCAGGTTGTTCTACCCAAAGCGCCCTTTCGAACAAGCACACCACAGCGACCCATCACCGCCTCAGTCATGGCGCCGAGCAAATACAAGACCCCGCCTCAGGCGCCGCCAATGTTCACGCACACGCCGGAGAGCCTGCTCAAAGACACAGAGCAGATACTGTCGCAGAGCAAGGAGCTTCAAGATCGTATAGTCGCCGATGTCAAGCCGGGCAGTGCAAAATTCAAGAATGTCTTACTGCCATTTGCGCAAGACGACAACAAGATGAGCCTAAGGACGCACATTATCGGTTTCTACCAGGCCGTCTCTACGGACGAAAAGCTGCGAGATGCCAGTACGGAGGCGGAGAAGAAGATGGATGACTTCAGCATCGACAGCAGCATGCGGGAGGATATCTTTCAGCTGGTGGACGAGGTGTTCAAGAAGCAGAAGGATGATCAGAGTCTAGACGCTGAGAGCAGGCGGTTATTGGAGAAGGATCACAAAGGCTACATCCGCATGGGGCTGGGCATACCCGATGGACCGGAGCGTAACCGGTTCAAGGAGATCAAGAAGCGGTTGAGTGAGCTCAGCATTTCTTTCCAGAAGAACCTGAACGAGGAGCAGGGCGGGCTTTGGTTGAAGCCGGAGCAGTTGGAGGGTGTGCCGCAAGATGTCACTGAAAACTTGAAGAAGGGCGAGGAGGGAAGCGAGAATGAAGGGAGAATATTCCTCACATTCAAATATCCCGACTTCTTCCCGGTGATGAAGTACTGCAAGAACGCCGAGACCCGCCACAGCCTGATGGTAGCGAATGAGAACAAAACGCCTCAAAATGTCAAGTTGTTCAAGGAGGCCATCGTACTGCGGGATGAGGCTGCTCGGATTCTGGGATATCCAAACCACGCCACACTCCGCATCGAGGACAAGATGGCGAAGACGCCAAAGACGGTGGACGACTTCCTCGGGGATCTACGCAGCCGCCTTGCACCGGGGGGTTTGAATGAGATTGAGGTGTTGAAGAAGCTCAAGAAGAAGGAGACCGGCAAGGCTGACAACTACTTCTTGTGGGACCACCGCTTCTACGACACCTTGATGCTGGAGCAGGACTACCAACTCGATCAGAACAAGATCGCTGAGTACTTCCCGCTGCAGACCAGCATCGAAGGCATGCTCGGTATCTTTGAGTCGCTCTTCGGGCTGGCCTTCGTCAAGCTGGAGGGTGCTGACCGTGATGCCATATCCGAGACCAAGAAGGGTAGCGATATCGTCTGGCATGAGGACGTGCAGGTGTTCTCTGTCTGGAACGATGAGAGTGAAGGCAATGGATTTGTTGGCTACCTCTACCTCGACTTGCATCCACGAGACGGGAAGTACGGGCACGCTGCGAACTTCAACCTCCAACCAGGCTTCATCAACGAGAACGGTACAAGACGGTACCCTGCAACAGCACTCGTCTGCAACTTCTCCAAGCCCACACCAAAGAAGCCCAGTCTCCTCAAGCACGATGAAGTCGTCACACTCTTCCACGAGCTGGGACACGGCATCCACGACCTCGTCAGTAGGACAATTTACTCCCGGTTCCACGGTACCGCCACCGTCCGCGACTTTGTCGAAGCACCTTCACAAATGCTGGAGAACTGGTGCTGGACGCCCAGCCAGATCAAGTCTCTCTCAAAGCACTGGTCCTACCTCTCGCCTGATTATGAATCAGCTTGGCAGGCCGCGGCCAAACCCGACGAGAAGCGCCCCGCAGAATCCATGCCCGACGACCTCATCTCTTCCATCGTAAAGACTCGCCACGTCAACGACGCCCTCTTCAACCTCCGCCAACTGCACTTCGGGATCTTCGACATGTCCGTCCACGAGCCCGCCTCTCACGACTACGTCGCCAACCTCGACGCCTCATCCCTCTACAACCGTCTCCGCAAAGAAATCAGCAAAATCGACGGACCTGAAGCGCTCGGCGAGTCGTACGACTGGGGCCACGGCGAAGCCACATTCGGCCACTTGATCGGTGGGTACGATGCGGGATACTACGGATACTTGTCCAGCCAGGTGTACAGCGCGGACATGTTCTACTCCGTCTTCAAGAAGGACCCGATGGATGGCAAGGAGGGGCGGAGGTACAGGCATCAGGTGTTAGAGAAGGGCGGGAGTCGTGATGAGATGGAGACGTTGAAGGACTTTTTGGGGCGGGAGCCGAGTACGGAGGCGTTTTATAAGGAGTTGGGGCTGTCGTAGAGAGTAGAGGGGTGAAGTGGGTGTCTCGGGATGGGAGAGCGCTCTGGGAGGGCTTTGCAGGTGATCAAGGGGCTCATGATAATGGCGGCGTGAGAAACGCTATTGAGCGGAGGCTTGACCGAGCGAAAGCTAGACTTACGGGAGCCACTGGTGTTCCACAGAACGCCGAGATAGGGTTGACGCTCCATGCGGAATGTTAAGACCACGATTTTGATGCACTCTTCCGTCTCCTTCGTTGGTTGGGAACTGCTGTGGACTCATCTCTTCCCGCAACCACTGCCATGCGCGCAACGTTAACGTGATGGACTGAGGATCCGGCATCTTTTCCATTCATTGAATCGTCACGCCGAGTTGAAGGCTGGTGTAAATACAAGAGCTTTGAGAGCGGATTTGTTGTACCCATGAAGAGCCTTCCCGAGCTTGGATCATGCAGTCGTGCGGTGGGGTCGCTCAGCGCTATGCGCATTTGCGGGTGGCCCTTGATCGTAGAGAATGCGTAGTGCTGTAGTGACCTGGCGTGCTGATGTTCGGCGGCGATGCCTGGAATGTCGCGCACATGGCTGCAGGTAAGGGATGGAGGGCGTTTGCACATGAAGCAAAAGTGGGTGAGAGGACCATAGCCTCTTTAGCTGAGGGTGTCAAGCGAGACATGGCGGGGTATCGAGTGATGCTGAGATGGTATTGGACTTGGAGCCTGGAAAGGCGAATGCTGAGGTAGTTTGCATTCAGGAGACATGTTTTCGCGACGGAGGCATGTGATGAAGTATTGAAACAATGGTTCAAATTGATTCTGATCCGTAGTCTTCTGGAGAACAAAAGATTGCGCAGTTCAGTAAGATGTGTGTCAGGAGCAAAAAGAAATGCTATATTGCTGTTCAATTCCACCTCCCGGGGGAGAATCGAACGCCCTAAAAAAGTGCAAAAGAATTTCGAGGGTAGGATCGCCTCGCTATGTGAAACCCAGCGAACGGAATTTCAGTTATGATCTCAAGCAATCAACAACGCTGGGTGTGACTCTCGACGGACTGGAGGATCGATCTGTTGGGCCTTGCAGGGAAACCATATGCTATGTCACCCACCGAAGTAGGGAATGCTGGATGTGCAGCTTGAGTACGACTTCATCGGAGGAGCTTTCCCATTTGCAGAAGCTTGCGGGACCGTATGGAAGGATGGAATTTGAGAAAACTATATGAATACGAGAAAATAGCACGCTCACCTTTTACAGGCCTGCGTCGGAATGGGTGTGCATGGCGGGCGTTGGTGCTCGGTGCGCGAAATTGTACTAACATGATGGATGCTCGTATTGTTCCGACTGGTCCGAGGGATGTTGGAGGGCGCGTCGTCGATGCCGTCGCCGGGGTGGTGAACGCGAAGGAGCAGCGTCACGCTTGCTCTCATCTTCAAGCTCCTCAAAGACACGCTGCACCACGGCATCTCTCTCCTCCATGACAAGCGTACGCTCGTTCCTCTTCGCGTTATGTTCTTTGCAGTCTTTTCCTCAAGTGTTTCCTATTCATGTTCTTTCTTCCATCATGTTTCGCCCCGCGCGCCGCTCACTTTCAGCTACATGACCGCGTTCTGCTTTATGTTCACTCTTTTCAGCATACCGCACCGCACCACTGCTGCTTCTGCGGCGTGATTACCTGTTCTGTCTGTGGTCAACATGCGCAAGCAGAACTACTCCGGCCATCGCGCTCCAAGACCGTCCCGGGAACGATGGAGGCCAGCTCTTTGTGTGTCTCCCGGTATGCCTCGATTATGTGATGTTCAGCACCGCCTCTTGGACATTGTCTCAGCCATTACCAAAGTCCAGAGGGCAGTGGGGGGGTGTATCGCTGGGTAGAGATTGTCGCGGGTGTGCAGTCATCAAGGCGCTGTGTACTGCTTCTCAGTACAATCAACGGCCATGTCGAGTCGCTTGCAATCCATTGGTGGCTGACGAGGAGCGTGAGAATGATGTAGAAGATAGCAAACGAAAGGTGCATAAACCACGACCTTACTTGAAGTCAGAAGGCGTGGAAGATCCTTGCCGCTCCATGTGACTATGGCATGAATAGCCGATGTCACTTCAGCCCGATAACCCTCACCCAATCCACTTGGGACTCTTGGACTTGCATACGGAGTATCAGACCTCAATTTAACAATAACAACAACCGCAATGGAACGGAGACAGTCATCAAATTGCTATGTACCAGGCCACCTGGTCTTGACAGCCATCTGTCAGAAGGACAAGACTGTTGCCATGTCCATGAACGGCAGCAGCAGCTTAAAAGACTACTGAGCCGCCGGCCATGGCCACCACAGAACCTATGCATCTGAACAACCATGGTCGTCGGCGGTTCACCGCTTGGAGGAATGGGTGGCGACGGGACGTTCGTTGTACCTAAATGCTATTCTATCCGCGCACAAATTCCACGCTTCAGCACCCTTCGATCCGCTCTCGGGCTTCACGACGCCGCATCTGCAGTGCAACACGAGTCTCTGGTAACAAACAACCCAATATAGAGATTGCACTCTCGTCAGAGCCCCCGTTGATGCCGTCGGCGACCATAGTGGCATCCAAGTTCCTGGAGCAGTGTTCGCCGGGGGTCGCGTTTGGAGGGACTGCTGCAGAACCTTCGCAAAGACATCCTGATCGCTGAAGAGCTGCGAACAGAATGCTGGTTTCTGTTTTTGCAAGGACGGCAGCGCTCTGTTCGAGTATCTTTGATTTGTCCTCGAGTGATTTTCGTCCAGCCCCTCGTCTGTCTGGCGCATCGACAGTGCTCAAGGACGGACGCCTTGAAGACTCGTTCGCCGTCGACAGACGAAGCTGCACCTCCGCATGCAGCAGGTGCCATGGCATCGTAAGAAGACATATCCATTCAGACCGCGGGCTGACTACTCCGGGCAGCGCTTGCTTCACTAGCATCAGCAGTAAACAATGCATAGCAAACACAGCATCGTCGCAAGCATCGTGGGACTGCCTGCGCTTAATGGCCAGGCCGCATTCTGCCAGTGCCAACTGGTTGAAACCAAGCTGGAAGACTATGTCTCTCAGGCTTGTTTGGTTGCGTGTATGGAGTTAACAGCTGGTGGTATATGACTTGGGTGTCGAGAAAGCCAAGTATCTGAACTGATGGTTCTCCGACGAGCACGCCATGCTCCCGCATGATCTCGTGCTCTTGACCTTGCGAGTGTCCCACGATTACCGCCTGATACGGGCCCGCATCACCAGGAGCAGCCGCAGCTCTTAAAGCGTGCACGATAATGGAGTTGATAGCCGGACCAACGTCTTGCGAGCGGTTCCAGGAAGTTCTTCGCTGCGGACGTTGATTGGCTTGTGCTTGTTGTGGGCGCCGTGGAAGCCCTGCCGCCGTGGAAGCATTGACGCCGTAGCGAAGGCGTGGTGCTCCGTGAGTATCTCAAGGCTAGCATTCCGTAGCCTGCAGATGTGTGCCCCGAACTGCGTTGGCTTTCGGACAGTGCCCTTGAAGTCGACCGCAACGAGGTAGAGATCTCGGGCGGTGTCTGTTACTTGCGCTTCGGGTCCATGCAAGCCTAGCCTCTGAGATATATCCTGGAACAACTGCTGAGAGTCCATGACTTTCGACTGGAGCGGTTTCCAGGACAGTTGGCGTAGTGAGGCTTGCCCGAGATCTGCGAACAATTCGAGGGATTTGGTTTGCAGTGAGGGTGGACTCCCCTGCGTGTACGGCGCGGAGGTCGAACAAGAATCTTCCTGCGTTCACGTTGTCGACAAGAAGAGGATGATAGGCTTCCACAAGTTTCAATAGCACTGACGCTGCTATGAAAGCGCAACGCTATCTTGTCGCTTACCTTTGCCTTGGTCCTCGTGTGAAGTGATGAATACGCTACATTATACGGGCACATCGTCAAAAAGTACTTTCCAGACGGTCACCTCTGGAAGAACTATATTTTACGTTACTGGTGCACCAGGTGGTCGTGAAGTTCATCGTGAGGCGGATGTGTTGTAGAAGCGTTCTTTGGCGTTGATGTTCATCTCAATCTAGATTTCCCGCGCATCCCGCCTCGAGCCTCCCTTGATTGGAGCAGATGAATGGAAGCCCGGCTAGCGCGCGCCATTGAGGGGGCATGTTGAAACACCTCCTGCGCGCTTCAGATATGAAGATGCGACAGGCCAAGTGACGACCACAACGGCCCATCGGGTTGCTGGCCAAGGAGACCTCACCGTCGTATTCTACGCCTCGACAATGCGACGACAATAGCGCATTGTTGTGCTACACAACTTCGCGCCGCCTTTAGGGGCAGCTTCCATTCATTATACCACCGACACGCTGGTCGCATTCACGATCTCTGGTCTTCGCGGTATACCTGGAGGGTAGTCGAGGGCGGCCCTTTGTGCTGATTCGGCCACTCACTTCATCTCATTCGCACAAAGCGGCCGGGGCTTGAGGATTGTCACTTCGAACAAAGGGAAGAAAGCCACCTGGACGATGCGAGGAGCGACACTCACTCCATCCAGCCACGCGAGTCGTATCTGACCCCACTACACTCTTTACGCTCATCGAAGCGACACACGATCATTGCCTCCGTGGACGGAGAGCTGGAAGACAGGATTCTGCTGGGCAGAAGTAATACCTCAACGATACCGACGTTGCGCTGGTCTCAAACGGCGCCGCACATCTTGCAACGATACGAAACCAGCAGGACTGAGGAGATAAGAAGGAGACAATAATAATCAATCAAGATGGGCTGCTTTGGAGGAGAAAGAGAAAAGGGCCCGCCCGAGCACAAGCAAAAGTGGGAGTTCATCAACCTCTCCGACTTCAAGAGCCGATCATGCTGGACGCCAATCGCATACTTCTGGCTGTGGTGCATGGCCTTCGTCAGCATCGCAGTCTACGGAGTCGACACCTTCACAGCCGTCAACCTGCTGGTCTTTGACAAGTGGAGCTCGCAGGTCGACCCGTGGATACCCTTCCAATACAGCAAGTGGATCTTTGCGATATGCATCCTGCTATCCTGGGCTCTGTGCATCTACGAATGGCTGCGAGCGATCAGAGTCATCAAAAGAGGTGGTGTGGCGGCAAGCTACATGGACCCGCTGGGCGCCTCTTTGCAGAGCATGAGACCGAAGGGCTGGAAAAGGTTCCTGGTCTTCACGGAACTCACGAAGAGCAAGAAGGGCACCGACTACGTCGCCTTCTTCGTATACTTCGCATTTCAAGGAGCCCTCCGGGTCATCATCTGCGAAGGCCCAAGACAAGTCGTCAACGGGCTGACCATCGGCTCGCTGTTCGAGTCGAAACTCATCAATCAGAAGGCCACGCAAGACAAGGAACCGCTGGATCAATTCTTCCTCAACATCAAAGCTCTGGCGGACGAGAACCTTCAGCAGGTCCTCATTCTGGGGTCTATGCTGTTCACCCTCATCATCTGGATCTTCAGCGCCATCTGCTTGGCGATCGCCGCCATCTTATACCTTGTCTTCCTGTGGCACTACATCCCACAGCGCGACGGAAGGCTGAGGATTTATTGCCGAAGGAAGATTGATCGGAGATTGGAGAGAATCGTTGAAGAGAGGACACGGGATGCGATTGAAGAAGAGAACAAGCAGAAGGAGAAGGAGGAGTGGAAGGCGGAAATGAAGAGGCAGAAGACCGGGGAGCTTGCACCACCCGCGCCTCCGAAGATCGCCAGGCAACCGACCTTGCCTCAGTTGGGTGAGACACCGAAGCTTGAGCAAGAAGCGAAGATGTCGGAGGGTGGCCTGCAGCGGCAAGATACCAGTACCACCGTCTCGACATTGCCGCGTTACACCAGCCGGCCTTCCACAAGCCAGGGGATGCAGAGGCAGCCTACTGTACCCGATCTTGCTTCTGGTGGCGACCGCCCGACAATGTCCCGAAATGCCTCTGGATGGAGTGAAGTGAGCTGTGAGTCCGATGCACCTCTGCTGCCGAATGCTGGCTACGCCGGGGAAGGCGGGAGGGCATCGCCAGCTCCCACGTACTACTCTCGCCAGGACTCCAATGCGTCCTTCAACCGGCGGCCAGCGCCTGGTCGCAACATGTCGCAGAGCACTCAAGCCTCGCAGCGCTCTTTTACTCCGGTGAGCCGGGTAAACACGCCCGGGTCTGAGCGATCTTTCACGCCGATGAATCAGAGGCCACCCATGCCAGGCGTACGCTTTCCTGTAAGATCAAACACCGGCTTCAGCTTCGACCGGGACCAGCGCTCTGCTTCAAGCCCGATCTCACCACCCGACGTCTACGGACGCCCTATGGTACCTACCATGCGCTCAGCAACAGAGCCACCCCGTGCCTCTGGACTCTCACGCGAGGACAGCAATACGTCGTACTTCAACCGCCCCGTAGCCGGGACACCAGCCCCCGGCATCGAGCGCAAACCCACATTCGGCAGCCTACACAGCCACAATTCCTCCTTCAGCAGACCTATCCCACGCAACCCGAGCCAAGCGAGCAGTTTCCACCGCCCCTGTTCGCCGGAGAACGCGCCTCCCGCGACGAATAGCTACGAGATGACTTCGCAACCTTCGTACACTCCAGCTCCCAGGGCGACGAGCGGCGCCGGTGGGTACGTGGCGTTCAACCCCGGCATGCACAAAGCTTCATCGACACCTGCCCCGCAGCAAGCGCAGGGCGTGCCGCCGAGAGCCGCTACGGCGCCGAATTCGAATCGGTTGACGACGGGGTATGCAGATATCTTGGACGATTATGGGGGCGGGGAGGAGGACAGGGGGCCACCTCCAAGGTCGTACACTGCTGGGCCTGCACATACGCCGGGTTGGCAGGGGAGGTTCTAGGAGGGCGAGGGTTGTTGATGTTTGGTTGATTGAAGTACTACAGCGCTGATGATGAGATGACTTGATACCCACATTCGTTTAACAGCGAGCAGGCGAGCAGTTGTGGCGGCAGGCTCGCAAGAGAGGGGCGATGTAGATATGGCGACGCCGGAGGGGAGGCGGCGAGTGTAGTGTTAGATACCCATAGAGCGTAATTGGAAGACGGAAGTTTCAGAGTGGCCTGCCCTGCTATGGGCATTCGGCTTTCTTCTTGACCTTTACGCTGTCAAAAGTGTTTCGTCTGAGTGGAGTTGAAGAGGGGTGATGGCGCATGACTGCATGTGAAGTTGACCGGGGGCATGACTGGCCTCACTTCATTTGGTGAATGTGGAAAACTCGCAAGAAAGCCATCATTCACCCGTTAGACGTTTGACTGCTCATCTTCAACAGGCGCTTTCTCCTCCTCCCTCGACCTCGTTCGCTACCATCGTCCCTCTCGACCGCACACCTTCTGCCGACCATTAACATATCTGACACCGGATCAAGGCCCAAAAACACCGAATGCAGTACCGAATCGACACCACAAATCGAAACGCTCGCTGGCGAGCAATGCTGCCTTCCAACCACTTCGCCGACGCTGACGACATGAACAACGACGATGCGAGCACTGCCGGTTTACCGGACAACACAGCGATGGGCGCTGAATCCCCGCAAGCGAACGGCCGTGAGCCTCCAAACACCTTTGTCTTCACCTCGTCGAGCAGCCAATCCTCTGCTACCGGGCGGCGAATCTTGCTTCCAGTGCGTCCTGGTCGCAGTCTGGTAACCTCATCGCCGCCTCAGTCTTCTGGCACGGCACCGCAAGATGCCGGTGATGTTGGGGTTTCAGAGCCTGTTGCGGGATCCAACGAGTCGCCGGAGGTGTCGGGCTTCTCGGCCTTGTTGAAGGACCTCAACCTGGATTTTGAGATGCCGTCGTGGCGTCAGCCTGCCGCGCAAGCTCATAGAGGTGAACGACCAGCGGCGACTACGGAAGGAGTCCCATTAGCTCTTGGTGCAGCACCTGCGCCGTACAAGTTCCCGGTTTCGACAGTCATGCCAGGCTTCAAATTCGCCCCTCGCAGTGAAGTCCTCACCCCTGAAGCACGACTCGTGGAAACACTACGGGGCATCGCCGCAAACACGCCAAACGCATTCTTCCAACCCAGCATTTCACTTGGACAAGCCGCCCAGCTCATCCACGCTATCGTCAGCGCCTCGAACTACGCCTGTGCAGAATGGTCTGAGTGGCCGAAAGACAAACTCGTCGACCTGTTCTCCACCACCGACAAACCGACCCACCCTCTCCCACGCATGTGCCTCGACTTCCACTATATCCAGCAATTCCTCGAGAAAGGCCGCGAAGGGTGGCACCTCGTCATGCTCCCTGACAACTTCCTGGCGGATGTCGAGCCCCTACTCGCGCATCTGATCTGTCGAGCGGACAACTTGTGTGTGGCGAGCGAGTGCGAGTGGTTGTGCGACTATATGCTTGAGCCGTTGAAGGTGGTGCAGAAGAAGCTTGTGATGATTAGGGGTGAGAGGCAGGCGCTTTGGGAGCAGAGTAAGGCGAGATATGAGCGGGAGGCTAGGGAGGATTGGAAGAGGAAGATGAAGGGTGGTGTGGCGGAGGCGGAGGCAGCTGAAGAGATGGAGTGGAGCAGGAGTATGATGGGTGTTGGTAGATCGTAGAAACGACGCGAGGATAGTAGAGTGGCAGGGGAGGAGCGCGAGATCGCTGGGCACCGGCCGAAACGCTGCGGCAGGGAACAAGGAGCTGGGTTCAAAGCGGAGTTCGGAGAGGTTTGTGGGTTTGCATCTGGTGGCAAGGCTACTGATGAGAAGTAGCGCGATTATCGCCGCTGTGCTGGACGACATGGCGGAGATTGGAATGCTTTTGGATGCCGAATTAGGACTGTTGGAGCAGCACAGGAGCGCAAGAGGGCGATGGAGGCATGTGGTTACTGCTTAGCATGTATCATTATTGACTGGACGACTTTCTGCCCAAGAAGCCCACCATGGGTTCCTCACCACTGTTCTCGGAAACCTGCACATATCACTTCAGCGTAGAGTAGCATAGGTGAGTCTTTGTTCCAATGTGGCAGATTTGCGATTTACTGAAGACAAAGCAGCAGGTCCGCAAGACAGAGCACAAAGACCGAAACACACGCACGAAATTGAGACTGTCCATAGGACTGTGGCCGGCATTGTATCGCCCTATCGTTCTGCTTCTTGCTCAATCTTCAGGGCGTCACTCATTCCTTTTCGAGTATCTGATTTCTTGTCCGAGTATACTGACCCATCAATCGCTACCGTGGCCGGCCACAGATACACCGACTCCATCCACCCCACGACTTTACGACTCGATTGGTCTCCAAGATGGACGAGTCCTGGCTATACGCCATCGCCATCGTCGTCTGGTACGTCCTCGGCCCCATCTTTCGAGGCCATTCTTTCCTACTACTATGCGTTCCGGCCCCTGCACTACACATCATCGTCACTTTGTGCAATAGTACAACATCCCTGAGCGAGCTGGACTCCTTCGCTTCGCATCTGGCAAGCCAATTCGCCTCCCGTTTGTACCGTCCACTGCTGGATCCTTTCTCGCACATCGGACTGTGCCTATTATTGTTGAAATGGGCAGACCCGACCGTTCGTTCTGAGGCGTGCAATAAAAAGATGAACCGGTTGATTGTTCTCGTAAGTTCCCGCCCATCCTCGTCAAGAATGATGTGCTAACAGCTTTCCCCAGTTCCTCACGTTCCCAGTCATCACCGCTGTACGCTTCTCGTGCATGATTTGGGCTTTCATCCAACGAGAGTCCGGTCACACCCATGACCCCCAGGCTGTTCTTTTGAATTTGATATTCTGGCTAATGGTCTCGCTAATCTTTGCAGAAGTTTGGTCCTTCCTTGTGACGGTTGCACCTGAAGTGTCGCAGGCCGCGACGGCACCGACACCAGCTCAGACTTCTACGCCAGCTCCTGTGCAAGCTCCTGCTTCTACAGCAACCGCACCACCTGCGCCCACTGTAGCATCTACAACAACTGCTGCTTCTACATCAACCACAGTACCCACATCATCTGTGACTACACCACCTGCAGCACAGCAGCGGATTCCACAGTCCGCAACAGCTCGATCGCCTGTCCAGACTGCGGTTCCTGCGCCAGCAGCTGCGGCACCCGAACGACCTGCGGCCAGCCGACCGAAGCATCAGGCGTACTGTGAATCCGTTTCAGATGAATGTGACGACCCAGCCGGCCCCGAACGCAATACGCATCACGAGGACCAGGGCACCTGTTCCAGGAGAGCTGCTATTGTCCAGCTCATACGGCGCGTTGTGGCCCAGGGTGGCAACAGCCGTGCGCAGATAATCGCCTTTTGCGAGCGTAAAGGAGTGGACCCCAAGGAGGTTTTCGAGCCGGCGGCATCTGCGCCTGCTCAGGCGGTGGAGGCTCGACAGACTGCGAGCAGTGGGCCGGAAGGCCATATGTCCGGGCAGCCTGGGACAGAGGAAATTACGATCGCTTCTGCCAAAGCTCCTGCCAGCCCAGAGATCAGGAAAGCGAAGCTTGAAGCTCTTATAGAGCCGCTTCCTGCAACCTCATGCGCTCCACTCTCCGCGGCTGAGCGAAATCCGGTACAGACTGTGTCACCACCAACAGCACGCCCGGCTAGTTTCGACGAGTTGTACGACACAACCCCCCCGCGAACCCCGCCCCCTCCGACAACTGACCGCAACGAGGTCGCGGTGGCAGGAGCTGGACAATTTGATCAGCCGCAAGGACCTTTGACACCACCGTCTTCTGACGAAGAGGATGCAGACAAGTCATTCCCCGGACCACCTCTTCAACCTGCATCGCGGGAACACGACGCCGTGAGTACAATGACCATTCTCCAGCAGCGAACTGGCTCTCAACAGAACCCGACACCGCCTGACTCCGACCATGGCAGCGAGAACGAGCTGAATGCACAGATTTGCCGAACCACAACGCAGGCAGCACGGCCCGCTCTGAAGAAGCCAATGCCAGCGCAGGAGTGGCTGGCGCCGATCAGCCCACTCTGCCCACAGGTACGTCTCACCCGAGCCAGCTTGAGCCCGACAGCGTCCTGGAAGGGTCGCCCCAGGACACAAACGGAGACGCGAGAGACGCTCGTCGGAGGCTGTATGGCAATCAAGTGAGAGACCTAGGACTGAAGCTTGAAGGCTTCATCACCGACTTCCGACAAAGCTTCCAGCTTTTGTACTACCACCCTACCCAGTTATGGTCATTCTTGCTATTGTATTCGCAAAGGGTGGTGCATGAGGTCTTGCTGCCATTGAAAGGTGTGACTTAGGAGCTCGCACAGGGCGATCCGATCATTTGGCAGAATCGAAACGAAGTCATCCGTCGAGCAGAGGAGCTTCTGACGGCTGTTGGAGACGCGGCAAACGGAAGGCCCATTGCCATGGACCTTTACGAGCCGGTCGTCCAGAGGGTGGAGGAATTTGGTGATGTCAGCCCATCCACCCCCTCCGCCCGCCCAAGTGGATCCGAGCCAGACATCGGTACTACGCAAGCTCACGCAACGAAAGGCTTGCCCAAATCATCCACTCGGAAAGAAGTTGGAGGAAATCATCAGGAGAAGTGTGACCGGGATGAAGAGGATGCACAGCATGCACAGGCCCCGGTGGACCGACTTACGAAGCTGGAGCTTGATCTCGAATTCTGTGTCCAACGACTCCGCATCAGTCGAGAGGAACAGCCAGCAGACCAATCGTACTGCAAGGAGGTCTATGAAACATTCCACCAGGCCGTGTATACTGGGGTGAGGGCTGAGCTGAAGCATAAAGTGCTCCGCGAAGCAAAGTTGGGCCAAGCTTTCGAAGAACGGCGCTGGCAAGCATTCAGGGACTGTTACATGTTGCTAAGAGCCATTGAGCTTGCAGCAGAAGGAAGACTCCATGAGTCTGATGGCTTTTTGGAGAACGTTCTACTAAGCTATCCCCAAAAACAGAGTAGCGCTGACCAGGAGGTGCCAGATCGTATCCCCTCCGAAGGTCAAAGCAACGCTGAAGCCGCCCCCAACGGAATCGGAGTCAACGAGCAGAGCATCGCCCAATCTACGGCCAACCAACCCAACCCTCCTGATGAGCGACATGCTGAGCAAGTTCGGAGCTCAAGACCTTCGACGGCCTCACGTCGTCCTTTCCCTTCTGTGAATCGTTCTGGCACTGCTCCCCAAAACCTCCACGCCACTCCTCGACACACCGATGCCTCTGCCTACCTATGTCCGAATTAGGTCAATTTCCTCAGACGACTGCCTATGTTAGAGCGGAGCTCAGTCTCGATCAACCCTTCGTCAAAAGATCGAGGTATCAAGGGAAGAAGAGTCCTCTTCTCGCTCCGCAAGACGTCGTATCGGATATCACAGCTCTATCTTGGCTCGACCCCGGAAACGCAAAGGGTGCCCCCCGATATGCTCATTAGAGCGCAGCGAATGTCCGTCAGACTAGGCCAGTTATTGAGAGATTGGGGGAAGAAGTCCGTCAAGAGTCCGAGTCTGATGATGTGGCTGAAAAAGGCGGCGCGCGTCGAGCGCGAAATTCAGCTGAAACTTGCCGCGATGCACAGACGGGCAACACTCCGCTGCATGAGAGCAAAGACCGTTGTCTACGAGCCTCAAGAAGCGCTGCGGCCGGCCGATACGCGCCGGATGAAGGCAAGGTGTGTCGAGCCTCAAAGACCACTCCCGCAAGAGCCGACAGCAGATGGTCGAAGAGCGTCGGACGTCTCGATGTTGGACGTTTTGGACGCTGAGCTTGAGGCTGAGGCCCACGCCGCAGAATGGGAGAGACATCCGACTCGGGAAGACGTATTTGTCTCCAGGGCTGATCCCTCGCATACGACGCGTGAATTCTAGCAATGGCGCTGGTTGTGGTGGGCTCTTTAGATTATACTAACCTAAGATACTTGATAAATATCAGAGCTTTTCCCGAAATAATCCTACTCTAAACTTTCTTGTTCGACGATAGTACTAAACTACGACGTATCGACATTACGACTTCATCGCAAAGTAGAGTGTGGTTTATTCATAGACCTAAGTTGGCGCTCCAAGCGAGGCATCCTCGCGAGAGACGTTACGGTACAATCTACGTCCAGACTCACCTCGCTCGGAGCAGGACGTCCGCAGAAGCTCTATTAAACATGGTCTCAAAACCCGTTCGGCTCCATGTCTCTACCCAAGGCCTGAGTGAAGCCGCCGAACGATATTTGATTCCCCTCGAAAGACATTACGATGAAGATCCCAAGCACTATCATCGAGCTTGCCACTCGTTCCAGCGCGACGAGAGCTATACTAAACATCACAGACGAAGTCCCGATTGCGTTACTTGCCTCGGAGCCACCATTTGCGATACCAGTAGACCCAGGCTTCAACGCCGTTTCGCTGGAGTTCCAGTACTGGCCAACTTATGGGGGCAATGCCACGGGTCAGCCGAACGAGTATATGAGTCAGCTATGGGCGAACATGGGCGAGAGGACGGGCAAGACGCCTCCCATACGCATTGGCGGTAAGTCGTCGTGGCAGCTCGCTATCCTGTACTATGTGTCTCACCCAGACAACACCTAGGTACAAGCGAAAACCAGGCCTACGTCGACACCTCTCTTCAGCTCTGGAACGCGAGCGATCTGACTTATGTCTATGGCCCGTTCACGTCGGCCACTCGGGGTAACACTTCCATCGGCAGAGACTGGTATGCCCTGGCAGGTAATTTGCCTGCCGGCACGGACGTCACCTTTGGTGTCAATCTCTACGAGAAGAGCGAAGTCGCCAAACAGTCTGAAATGCTTGCCGAAGCATTCCAGGGTTCTCGCTCTCTTACAAAAGACATCAACCTTCAGTTCATCCAGGTGGGCAACGAGCCCAACTTCTACTTCGACCACGCGTTTGACTTCGTGTCGCACTGGACCTCACTCGCCCATACCCTACTCAAGCACATCGCGCTCGGCGGTAAAGGCGAGCCGACACTCTGGATTGGATCCGAGGTGCAAGGAGTCGGTTTCCAGCTTGCTGGAACGCTCCAGGCGGGGATCCTTGATGACGAGGAGATCGCTTCTGCAAACTTCGTTTTAGAAGAACACCAGTATTCCGGAGCTGGCGAGATCGGTGCAGTGCCCGGTGGTCCCCCGCCAGGTACGCTTATGGACAAACAGAGCATCCGTGCTAACACTTCACTGCTGTATAACGGTATTTCCAAGACGCACAGTTATAACCGAACTTATTACCTGGTAAGTGATATGCATGTCTCTCTCTGCTGGTGTCTGTTCCGTTGCGAACCTGGCTAATGCCGATAGGCCGAAGCTGGTGACTATGCTGCGTAAGGTCCCACCTCCCTCTCTGCCTGTCTATAAGTGGATGATACATGTTCAAGCTAACTTGTTGGGTAACGAAAGCGAAGGAATCTTTGGCCTTTCCAACACCGGCGAAGCAGCCATATGGGCGGTTGACTATATGCTCATGGGAGCCTCCATGGGAGTTCGCCGTGTCTACTTGCACAGCACTCCCAACCGCATGTTCTCCTCCTTCATGCCCGGATGGGGGTTTCCCAATGGCACACAGATCGAACGTCCTCACATCATGCCCAAGTATAACGGACTGCTGGTCGTGAACGAGATGATTGGCAGGAGTGGCGTCGCCAGCGTAGCGGAAGTCGAAACTGGCAATGCTCAACTGGCGGCCTATGGGGCTTGGGAGCATGGAAAGCTGGCCCGGATGGTTCTCATCAACTCGAATGTGGCCGAGAGGAATGTCACGAGGTCAGCTATGACCGTGACATTGAAGGGAGATCACGCGGCAGGCCGTGCTACCGCTAAACGCCTCTCCATTCCATATACCACCGCCACCCAGGACATGTAAGTTGCTTCTATATTGGTTAACCATTGCTGCAGCGGAGGAAGAGTGGCCACGGCCTGACGATACATATGCTAACATGTGGACTAGTACTTGGGCCGGTCAATCGTTCGAGACAATCGATGGTGCGCCTTCTGGTGATGTTGTCGAGGAACCCATTGATGGTCTTTCGGTGACGATCGCAGCGACAGAAGTTGTTATGCTTTCATTTACAGACTGATCGCTGTCACTAGTATCTTTTTGGGGGAGTGGGGGTAGGTCGGGTAGGCGTTCTGTGATAGAACGAGCTCTACAGATGCTTTGGTAGCTGCACGACAAGGAGTCACGACTTTGTTGTCAGGCGACATGTTCCACAGCAGAGAGGCAGCAGGGCATTGTTACCTACCTAGTCCTTGTGCTTACAGCACATCTGTATAGAATGACACGCCTTGCTACACGATCCCACAACTGTGCAATGGCACACGTTCGCCGCGTTGGTTGCAGTGAGTCAGTATGGCGAGCAACGCATCCGATCGAACTGATAATCCGTCTACGTGAGTGACAGGACAATCGCCACTGCGCTTCTCACAGACATGGAAGCGACGGGAGACATTGCCGAGAGCGTGAGGGGTACATGTAGTGTGGCTCTCATGACTCGCTCACCGACAACCTCAGCCTACAATTCCTGCGCTGCTGATTAGTCTTCCACTCCTTCCACTAAACAAACCTTAGGTAGTGCGGTTTCTTCCATTTGTTGTCGTCCTGGTCAAGCATGTGCTGATGGATCACCTGGAGTCTTACCCGTCCGTGGACTCGTCGGCAGCGCTCTCTGTTCATAATATGCTACATAGGAAGATCAAGACGACAATACATCGGACGCGGACAGGATGTCGTACGTGCAGACACAGGAAGGTGAGCAGAGTCAAGTCTCCCTCATCCACGTCACCGGCTAAGCACTATGACCTGACGTGGGCTGATGGTGCAGGTCAAATGTGATGAGGGCAAACCAATGTGCACTCCATGTCGCAAAGCCGGGCGGACTTGCAAGTGGCCAGGGCCCAACGATCAGAGGGTAAGACCATCGCCAAGGGCCAACTCGACAGCATGCAATACCTGCAGAGACAAGAAGGTATGCATTGTATTCTCACCATGGAGTAGAAGTCGCTCACTGACAATCAACAGCTCAAGTGTGTTGGGGAGGTGCATGCCGTGTGCGACAAGTGTAGTGAGCTGGGCATAGAATGCATACGTTCCACGCCTGTCCACAGGATGGATTCTTGTCGCGGGGAGCCAGTCAATCTTGTCCACGGTGCCAGTAAGACTACGCCGTCAACTTCCCCACTTTGTTCAGCGCCCTCACAACTCAGTCGGCCTCAGACAGGGGCTCATCTTGGTGTTGAGGGCGGGGTTGTAACGCTGCCTGCTTCGTCGTCACCGAACAGTGCGCATCCAGATCCAGCATGGCTTGGACAGCTGCCGTCGAGTGTGGAGCTGGAGTACTTAACACGTTTATACTTCACGTCAGTACATCGTGAGTTCACAACTTGTCCCCTCTCTTGTTCTTCCTTACTTTGAAGAAGGTGAATTATGGCACTGATTACAAGTTGATCAGATTTCGGGTACTTCGCCTTCATCCATCAACCACACTTCAGTCGGCTTCTCGTCAAAGGCAAAGCCCCTCGCGAGTTGACACTACTCGTGATTGCCAGCGCAATGAGGTAAGACTGATCTGCCTTGCGTATCTGTTTGGCCTAGTCGATCTTCTCATGTTCAGTCTACAGGTTTGCCGCTCAGCCAACGGGAGAGAATCTGGCAAGAGCAGATGCTTGGGTGGACGACGCCCTTGGAGCTCTGCTCCCCCGCCTCCATCAAGGTTTCGGGGCAATCCAGCTCATGGTACGTGTTTACCCCTCGGTGAAGAGTATGGCGACTCATTGGTTTGGACAGACACTCCTGTTAGCTCAGCACTACGATCTCAACCGTGGCAACTTCACATCTGCGTGGCTCCTTGGCGCCGAGTGCACGAGGTAAGTGGACAATCTGCTCTCCACCGATGCCTGTTTCACGGGTGTAGTATCTTACAGAAGAATCGCCGTCAGGATGATGCAGATGATGTCGCTGCAGACATTTGATCGCACTTATCCCTCCACGTTCGCTTCCAACGTACAGCTTTCTCCACTGTTATCACGTGAGGCACTGCGTCGCCTTGCCTGGTCCACGTTGTACAGCGATACTATCGTTGATGGAGGTCGATACGGCTTCCATACCGTCGACGAAAAGACCTACCGCCTTCAGCTTCCATGCGACGAAGCGACTTTCCTCAGCAACGAGACCGCTGTGACTGAGCCTCTGTTCTATGACCCCGCCCAGCCTACGAACGACGGCGATGTTCGCCCACCGCTCGACATGTCAGCCTATCTCCTTCGGACAGCCTCCACGCGTCGCAGTGCTCTGCATTTCGCCTTCCGCGCTTCACACAAGGAGCAAACCGTCCAGCAATTATCAGCAGAGCTGACCGATCTGGAGGCCGAAGTCGAAAGGGTGACAACCGCCTTGCCGAGCCGCTTTCATCTGAACAGCGACAACATCTTTCTCCACCACGGTCGAATCATCACATTTTTCTTATTACACATCTTGCGTCACAATCTCTTCATTGTCGTCGGTCGAGCTGCTCTTGAGATCTATCGGCGAGATCCAGCTCAAGCTCATCTGATACCGCACGTGCGACGCAAAAGGATATCACACGCTTTGCCGATAGCTGGCGTATACAGGAAAGCGATAGAAGCGGGCATCGGATTCGACCCACAAATGGGAGTGCACGCTTACGTTGCCCTGGAAAGTAAGCATATGCTTGATGCTCAACTGATCTCAAGACGTCATTCTAACATTGGCAGTCCTCCTCTTCGAACCTCGACGCTTGGCCCAATCAGATCCACTCGTTGACCCTAAGGCTCCCGAGCTGACGGAGGCAATTCCGTATCTTCTTACAGTGATACGGGGTCTTGCGGATCGGTCGGAATTTGTGAAGCAGCTGGTCAGTGAACTTTTTAGAGTTTTAGGGCTGGAGCTGACACAAAATAGCACGTTGAAGCAGTCCATCGCCTCCTGCGGTGCGACTGCACAGATCTCCTTAGTCAAACCGATCTTGATGCATTCCTCAGGTTCATGACCTTCCGCAAATTCGTAAAAAGCGCAAGCTCTCTCTGACTCCGTTTTTAGTGAGTACCAGTTGGTCGGCCAAGACGCAGCCGAGTATGACTTCCGCGACTTTCGGTGGGCCAAGATCGAAAGGCTGCGCCGAGGTGCCTCTTCGTCAGCGAACGTTGCGCAGGATGAGACATTACTGCAGTTCAAGGTGGGCTGCGAGACAGCCGCTCCTTCGGCGAGGACCTCGCCGCGTCTTGATGCCAACGACGTCAACAATGCCCAACCACGGTCTACGATGGCACAGTCTGTGCCTTCGGTGCCGTTGGAGTCACTCAACCTGCCCGAGGCAACGGATATCGACGACCCCAGTCTGGCCGGGACCATGCAGTCTTCTTCAGGACTCTCAGAGACCGAACAACCCTACGAAACATTCCCTCTCGACTGGTCGTGGTTCCTAGGCGGGTCGGGGCCATCGACTTATCAGACTGGGGATCCCACTACATTTTGGAGTCAGCTGTGATGCGGGAAAGATCAATACCCAACGCATCTGATGTATATCAGAATATATCACGTAGTAAGTATTGCAACGATGTATCAATACGCTTTTGTTTGGTCCCGACTGTGGAAGCATTGACAGCAAGTGATGACTTTTCGTACTGCAATAGAAATACAGCATTAGGCCAATTCCTCTTTATTACACGTGTGACACATCTGTCGTGCTCCTCTCATTCCAAGTCGATTCCGGCTTCAGGTCTTCCTTCTCCTTCTCACCCTCCAAGACGCCAACACGGTACTCAGCCTCTGCGTACTGGACCTCGCTGCTGCGGAACGGGTTGAACTTGACCTTGAAGATGGCATCGATCTCCTCAAGCGCACGACCCTTGGTCTCCGGCAGGAACATGAAGGTGAAAGCGAAGGCAACGATGGATATGCTGCCGAAGACCCAGCCGACCTTGAAGTGGATGTTGTCAATCATGAACGGGATGCTGTAGTTGGTTACGAAGGCCCAGACGACATTCCACGAGGTGCCAATGGCCTGCGTCTTCTCACGCACAGCACTGTTGGGGATCTCACTACCCAGAAGGTAGGGAATGGAAGCACTGCCCATCTACACCAGATTGTCAGTATCCAAAGTCTGGGTTCGAACGCCAGCTGCGGGAGTACTCACATTATAGCTAAAGGCGAAAAGCATGAAGGCGGCCACAATGGTGTTACTCTGGGTTCCTGTCTTGTTGGCGCGCTCACCAAGGCCAGCGAGCAGATACATCCAAAAGGCTTGGAGGGAGTAGCTTATTAAGAGAGTCCAACGACGGCTACAAGGAGGATTTGTCAGTTGAGCATGCCGCCGAGAATCAGATGTCACGTAGCTACTCACCCCAGTCGGTCAACCATGTACATGGCCGGAACGACCGACAAGAAGCTAAGGACGGAATTGATGACCGGGTAGAGAAAGGCGTTGCTTGCGTAGCCGTTTTCCCGATAGAAGGTAGTCTGGTAGGTGGACACGAAGGCTTGGCCGGTTGTCTGTGGTTGCAGCACTGGTTAGGCCGCTGGTCACCCGAGCAAAGCATGGCTCAAAGCTTGCTCACCTGCTGGAAGAAATAGTAGACCAAGGTCAGCGCCGTGCGACGGAGGTTGGTCCCCCGGACCAAGCTCCACCACGAAGCCTTGTGGACGTGTTCTTGCAAAGCCTCCCGAATGGCGGCAATCTCAATCTCGCAGTGGCCCGAGTCGACTTCGTGCTGCGACCTCAGCCGCGACAGAGACGCGACAGCGTCTTCGGTGCGATCTTTGGACAAGAGCCATCGAGGAGAGCTGGGAATGAACAAGGTGAAGGCGATCATAACTGCGGGTGTCAAGTTAGAGACGATCAAGTGTCGATGAACGGTGGGCTACTCACGCAAGGGGAAGATAAACTGGATCGCGGTGACAACTTTCCAGCCGACGGCCGTTGTGTAGTCCGAGAATGCCTTGTTGACTCCTGTGGCAAGAATGGTTCCAGCATTGAGGAAGAGTTGCAAGGAGACGACGACGAGGCCTCGGAAAGGAGCCGGAACAATCTCAGCTTGGTAGGTACTGTGGCCGGCTAGTCAGGACGCTGGAGAAACCTTGCAGATTCATGGAGTAACACTCACGTCACGTCCACTTCGACCAGACCGACGGAAATGTAGACAATGACTCGACCAACGATGAACTGGGCAAATCTACCGGACCCATTGGCTGAGTCGGCAGCTGTGATTTCAACTGTACAGGAAGGACTCAGTGATCTGCATCGCGGCTTTGCTTGTTTCGGAGGCGGGGGTCGACATACTGATGATACCAAGGATGGATATGACAGAGAGGCCAAAGAAGACCATGCGGTGCCCAAACCTCTCGATGGCCGGGCCAGCGAGGAGACAGCCGAGGAACTTGCCGACAAATGGAATTGAAGACAGCAGCGAGGTGTCGTTGGAGGCGAATGCCCATTCCCCCGTGGTGGGATCGAGAGTGCCAAACTGGTCGATGAAACCCTAGGCAGAGCCGACGTGATTAGCGCCAGTTGCGAGGAGGAGCCTACCCTAACTCACGACTCACCGCATTGGCGAGGATGCCCCCGAAGCTGGCAGTATCGTAGCCGAACAGCATGTCGCCGATTAAGAGACAGAAGCAAGAGAACAGTAACATGGGTGTCACAACGGACCACGTCGCCTTGAAGCTCCTGCGTTGCATCATTTTGTCGGTCACTCGTTCTTAGACAACAGGCCAGAGGTGAAGGTGACTTGGTGCAAATCGTCGTCAGCGATCAAGTATAACACAGGAACGACAGCAGATCTGGACTGAGGTTCCGTTCAAGAAGGAAGCGAAGACACCCTAGACACTAAGGCAACTTCGTTCGGAGTCGTTTGGCGTTGGCGGAAGTCGCTAGGACTCGCTCGGACTCGCTCGGAGCGACAGAGGAGGGATCCAGCAAGTCAGCGACCAATACATACCTCCTATCACTCCGAGCGAGTCATGATCATCGTGCTCTAGCCCTACCATCGGCCGCGCAAGATTCGCGCGAAGCTGGTCAGAGCTTGGAAGCGACAGTCCTCACTTCTTATGCAAACGACTATAATGTTCTGTATTACAAGACCGCGGGGAAAATGAACGGCACCACGAGCAAACCTCCCAACTTTCTTTTCATCCTGGCGGACGATCTGGTAAGTGGCACCTTGCGGCATCAATCGTGCGAGGGAGTATAGAAATTCACCGTCTCTTTATTCCTAGGGCTTCTCCGACATTGGCTGTTATGGCGCCGAGATAAAGACGCCGAACATCGACCAGCTAGCCAGCGAGGGTATGCGCATGCTCAACCATCATGCTGCCGCCGCCTGCTCTCCCACTCGCGCCATGCTGCTGAGCGGTACAGACGCGCATTTGGGCGGCCTGGGCGTCTTGATCGAGTACAAGGCCAGCGAGAAGGGAAAGAAGCGATGGTCTGGCAAGGCGGGATACGAGGGTTTCTTGAACGACCAGGTGGCTACTCTGCCAGAGCTCCTGGCAGACAATGGTTACTTCACGGCAATGTCTGGCAAGGTCGGTCCCTCCGAAAGCCCGAACGTCGAGTCTGCGCCATGGTGTACAGAAAGCCTGGATGGCTGAGGGCTGAATCTTTTGCAGTGGCATCTTGGACTACGCGCCTCTCAAGGACCTTGGAACCGTGGGTTCCAACACGCCTTTGCCATGCTCCCGGGATGCTGCAACCATTATGGCTGGGAGCCCGTCCAGGAAAGTTTTCCTGTCGGTGGACGTCCAATCCACGCCGAGAAGGGCGTCAAGGTTGATATGTGAGTCAAAGTACATGTAGGGCTTTGACGATCGGCATGGCCCACTGTCTTTCGGTGACAAAATGTTTTACTCATTCTTGCGTTACTACTAGACCACCTAACAAGACTGGCGACCGGAGCGGCTTCTATTCAACAGATACCTACACAAACCGGTTGATCCAGTACTTCGAGGATCGGACTCAAGAAGAGATCAAGAAGCCTTTCTTCGGATTTTTGCCCTACACTGCACCTCATTGGCCTTTGCAATGTTCTAAAGAATCCCGTGACAAGCACGTAGACCCTTGACCATGTGTTGTGTGGCCTCTGGGTGAAGCTAATAGCGGTGTAGGTATAAGGGTGTATACGATGATGGTCCTTACGCTCTGCGACGACGCCGCTTACAGAGACTCGCCGAGATGGGTATCATCAACGCGTCGGCCATTCCACACGACGTCGAGACTTCCAAAGTAGGCGGACGGGAATGGGACTCGCTTACGCCCGAGGAGAAGAAGCTATCATGCCGTGCTATGGAAGCATATGCGGGTATGGTAGATTCGATAGACGTGAACGTCGGTAAAGTGGTCGACTACCTAAAGAAAAGCGGGGAGTATGACAACACCTTCATCGTCTTTATGAGTGATAACGGGGCGGAGGGCGCTGCGTGAGTTCTCTCCAGATGACTTCGAGCAGGGACCTGGCGGCTTACTATTCTGATTTAGGCTGGAGGCTGTCCGCAAGTGATCCATGAACGAGCAGGGAAGAGACACATACTAACATCCTGTCCGCAGCCGTCATGGGCGATAACATTCTGCAGGCTATCCACCAGTACTATGACAACTCGTATGAGAACCTTGGTGCCTGGAACTCGTTTTCATGGTATGTGCCGTTGCTCCCGAAAGCAGATTTGACTGAAGAGCAAGCTGACATTCCTTTCAAGGCTCGGCCCTCTTTGGGCCCAAGCCTCAACCGCCCCCTCGAGGCTGTTTAAGTGCTATCCCTCTGAGGGAGGCATCTTAGTCCCCTGCGTCGTCAAGCCTCCTATCAACAAGATGCCCTGCGCACCACCGAAGGGCTCCCTGAATCGTTCCTTTTCGACCGTCATGGACTTTTTGCCCACATTCCTCGACCTTGCCGGCATTTCTCTCCCACCAGCATCAGCGAAGGAGCGCTCGGCAGCGCTATATGATGCGAAGGATGTGACAACTCGCAAGATGACCACTTTCCGAGGCAAAGATGTGCATGCTGTTCGGGGTCGCTCCTGGATGCCCTACTTTGGCCGAGGAGAGAAGGAGGAGGAGGACGAGACGTGGGCAATCTACTCGTCACAAGAGCCCGTCGGATGGGAGCTGTTCGCCCGTGGTGCTCTACGGAAAGGAGAATGGAAGATTGTGCACATCGACAAGAAGCATGGAGGCGTAGGAGAAGGCGACACAGGGTGGGAGCTCTTCAACATTGCCCGGGATCCCGGTGAGACCGAAGACCTTGCCAGGGCTGAGCCGGAAAAGTACAAGGAGCTACTGGCCCACTGGGATGAGTATGTGGTCGACTGTGGCATCGTCTGGGGAGACTTTGCTTCAGCTCCTGGATTTCGCAAGGACGAGGCGCCGGATTACTGGCAAGACGAGCTGGAGCTACAGAGTTCATGGATGGTTGCCAAAGGTGGTGAGACAGTCCAGTAGCATAGACTTTAGATACTTAATACAGCTATAGACTTCGACGAGGTCACGTCCAAAGGTAATCACGTATTCTGGAGGCAAGCGTAGGACAAGTAGCTATGGCAATAGCGTAGCATGGTCTCTGGAAAGGTCGTCGAGGCTCCGGAGGGCTAGTTTCAGCTTGATATTACTCTGCCTTACTGCTCGGGCGTATACTCCTTCAGCCACGGTTTGTATCCGACATTCACCCGATCCCAGAGACGGTAGCTAACATGGTATGCGTTGTAGCCTACTCCAGAATGAACAGACCAGGCACAACGACCGGGAACTCGTCCACATACGCGAGTGTAGTATCGATCTGGATGAGGTCCTTAAGGCCTGGCTTGTTGTCCGCCTCGAGAACAGAGATATTTGTTCTGGAGGTGAGGCTATGGCATCTACAACGGTGGGTCTGTCATGCCATACCAGCATGGCTTTGTGAAGTGAGCTGGATGTCTCCGTTTCGTCGTGCTGTTCTTTGTACGTTATAGCCAATCTAGTCCTTTGTTTCCAATACTGCATTGCTGTACACCTCCAACTCGTTTGAACAGGAATGTGAGTTTCAACTTTCATGTGACATGTGACAATCACATGCATTCGACGTCACTAATGGTGAGCTTAAGCGGCGGGCCGTCCCACGCTGCGTGACAACAATACCTTGTTGTCGGCTTCAAAACCTCACCCAAAGACACACTCACCTCCTGTATACCTGGACACTCTGCGTCCATACGCACCCACACACAAGCTCGAGGCCATCTTTCGATCACCTCCGCAACCACAATCATACCTGCAAGAAGCTTTCTGAACCATCACCAGCGCACTCAGCAGCAATGCAAGACCATACCATCATCACGGCCATTTTCGCCTGCCTCTCCCTCTTCTTCCTTCTCCTGAACCACGACAAGCCTTGCGCTACCCACAAGGCGCTCACCAGCATCTCGGCCGCTGTGGTAAGCGAGAACATCCTTCGAGTGTGTCATTCCATGCTTACCTTCTCATAGCCCGTTCTCGCTGTCGGCCGCGACATCGTCGTACCCACCACCGTATGGCTCATTGAGAGCGACAGCCTCCCCGCCCGCCACCTCCGCAGCAGTTCTCTCTGGTTCTGTCTCCTGTTTGTGTTCGCCATCTCCTGGATCGGCCTTCCCGAGAACGTAACAGCAATCGCTGTACTACCACCTGCTCTGCCACCGAGCGGAGAGGCAGCAAACATCCTGCCCGCCGCACCTGTCGCACCCGCCCCTTCTCCACCACAAACATCATCACAGGCACCGACCTCAGGACCGGCACCACCACCGCCACCACCAGTGGCGCAGAGAACTGCGCGACAGCTGTACTTCCCTCCTCTGCCGCCAAAGCGCATCACTGGAACGCTTCTCCGATCGAAAAGGCCGTTTGCCGCCAGCACAGCGAGCGCGCCGGACACGACAAGGCGTATCGTTCTCGAGAAGAGGGCAAGCGGCCTGAGATCGTGCTTGGTGCATCCAGCAGCGAGAGCGCAGTCTCTGCAGTATCGGCATCTTCTCGCGCAGCCTGTCAAGAGTTCCGCCAGCGTACGGTTTGAGAAGGTCACCAGGGCAGACGATGGCTCGGAGAAGCCCATCAGCCAGCCAACGCCGGCGAAGGCTCCGGCAGCACCGACCGCGCCTCCTCCCCAGCCGGAGGCCAAAGAAGAGGCCACTGCAGCGGCCGAAGAGCCGACTGTGTCGAGCAAGGAAGGCGGAGAGGAGGAGCAGGGCAGAGAGACCCGGCCGACCGAAGAGCCATCTCCCGAGCAGACTGAGGCCGGAGAGCCCAGTACAGCCGGTGAGAACGGCCTTTCTGGGCGTGTTGATGTTGAGAAGGTGGCGGTACCTCACACAACTGTCCAGTCGGAGCCTGACGCCAAGGAAGGCCCGGGTCTCGAGCAGGCTGGTGCCGAAGAGGCCAGTACAGCGGCCGACAATGGCACTGCCGAGTCTGCTGGTGCGGGAGAAGAGACCGAGCCGATGGACGAGACTGCGGATCCTGCGCGATCCATCCCGGTTCCTGAGGTCCAGCATCTCCGAGAGGAGCAGATGCACGATGCTCCTACACCGACTGAGCAGCAGGTCAGCGGGCAGCACGAGGTCGGAGACGAGGGGCAGATGGCTATGGGTACCGATCTGGAGATCTCGGATGCTCCATCGGGCGTCCAGCCATCCCCACCGCCTCCCAACGACCAAGCCATGCAAGACGCCAGTATGCCGACTGAGCAGAACAGCCAGAGCCAGCAGAGTTTTGGAGAGGACAGGAGGCCAGCTACGCCACCTCTCCGTGAGTATACCATGGATGATGCCAGCCCAGTGCCTGCGCAGATCAGCGAGGCGAGCAATGGACCTCTTCTCGTGAATCGGAAAAGTTTACAAGGCCGTAGTACTCAGCACGGCTCCTTATGTTTCGTTCCGACCCAGGAGAACAAGCCTGCCATGCGACTCTTTCGACTCACCAGAACTGGACCGTCAGCCGCTCGTGGTAGAGCCTCTGCCAATTTCGAAGAGCGGAAGGCCATCAGACTTCAAAGAGAGAGTCAGGGCGCCGATCTTTTTGACCAGACTCTTGCAGTTTTCAATACGACTGATGAAGAGCCTTCACTGATTGCTCAGTGCAACAAGAAGTGTAAGAATAGATACCTCAAAGGAGAGCCTGTTACCTACCACGGTAAGGTCTGGTGCCGTCTATGCTTCCAGAAAGCGCATCCTGGCGTACCTTTTCCGCGCGATCAGTTACGTGAATGCGAACAATGCGAGGAGAAAGATCAGCCGTCAGTTGCGCATAAGACAACCTTGTATTGCCTCGACTGCTGGTCGAAGGAGAAACCTGGAGAGACTCCCGATGGCGATGATGGCTTTTCGGCACCATCCACATATGCTTGAATGCTTGCGGCGACTTCTTCGATGGAATGGAAGACATCTCGCACCAGGACACGAAGACGACAGTGAAAGTGCAAGGACCTGGAACGAAGCAAGTCTGGCGAACTCCGAACGCCGGCACCACTGAGATGAGACGAACCAGAAGCAAGTGCAGCGAGTCCACTTTTCATCGTGTTCAACCCACCGACTTTGTTATCGCAGTGGATGTGGATGCCAGACGCGCAATCGCTGGGCGTCTCAAAAGCATGTCACAATGCATTGCGACTTGCCACTGGCTGCTTCACCTTCAGCGTCCTTTCGCCGCCATGTTAGCGGCGAGGACAACGTTCGCTACTGCTGTGGCATGCAGCGAGCCTCCGAACGTGCCTGCACGAGCACCTCTTATACGGTAGGTAGGGCTCACACATGCCTTCCTTATGAAACCTCCCATTCCCAATGCAAGCCTCGCGAAACCTACGAGTAGGTCACAAACCTCAGAACCAGCAGTCCTGGGACACAAACTCCGACAATACCTAAACACCATCACCCTACAACTCACCACATTCTTCTCCCATTCGAGACTTACACGCGAAGAATAACAAGCCAGAAAGACAGCACCGGCTGCGAATATGGCACCTAACGTCCACTGCGTACGGCACGCACAAGGCCACCATAACCTCTCCGTGGCCAACCACCAGATGCACGATCCTCTCCTCACACCCTACGGCGAAGAACAATGCCGCAACCTACGCAAAACCTTTCCGAACATCGACAAGGTCGATCTCGTAGTAGCATCGCCTCTCAAGCGGACAGTGTACACTGCACTACTATCGTTTGAGTCGGTGCTAAAGGAGAAGAAACTTAAGATCATTTGTCTGCCCGAGCTACAAGAGACGAGCGATCTGCCTTGTGATACTGGGTCGGCACCAGATGAGCTGGCAAAGGAATTTGAAGGCAAGCCGGTCGATCTGAGCCTGGTCAATTGGGGCTGGAACAGCAAGCGCATGAAATGGGCGCCGAATGCCCCAGCGATCGAAAGGAGGGCGAGGGAAGCGAGGCAATGGCTGATGGCACGGCCAGAGAAGGAGATTGTGGTCGTCTCGCATGGTTCGTCTCCACCACTGCACTCACCAATTGCCCGTCCACTGACGTTGTGCAGGAGGCTACCTCCACTACCTCACCGAAGACTGGTCGGATAGCGCACGATTTGCAGGCACCGGATGGGCCAACACCGAGTTCCGCTCTTACTCCTCCAGCACGTACCAGGCCGACGAAGCTCACTTTACCGAGACCCAAGAGTCGAGACGACGCCGCTTGGGCGATGAGAAGCCGCTCGATCACAACGAGGCTACACAGCTCAAGCGCACTTCTACGAACGAGCGCAAGCAGGAGACGAGCGACTACCTGGACAAGGCGGCCAAGACGAACGATGTACAGGCGATCCAGGCGAAGGTATAAATATTCCTTTTCGCCGAGCGCTCTCTGCCGGTGGGTGTTCATGCATGCGAGGTCTTAGACTGATGTTGTGGCATAGCTTAAGGAGCGTAAGAGGGAGGGCGTTGCAGATGCCTATTGTTCCCTGTAGTGCTGGTTTGCTGAGTAGTATGCTGGAGCTTTGAGGGGTTTGAGGATCAGGGTGTGATGCGCAGATGCGGCATGATCACGACTTCACTACAGACATAGACATAGATCATTGAGAGATGAATGACGAGACCATCACCATTCGACGAAGCGCTCTTTCGAAATCCCCTCGTGACTTCCAGTCTGCTTTAGGCACTCTTCGACCTCACCTCTTCCTCCAAACTTCCTCCAAGTAGGACTTCCCCTCTCACCTCCCTCTACCGTCCTTCCGATTTCAATGGTCCCGACTGCGGCGACATGACTCGAGCGAATGCTCAACCTATCTTCCGGCTTGCTGAACTCAGATCCTGGAGCCACACCATTACATCAGGCACTTTAGTCAACATACAATGAGCACCCAAAGCCTGAATCGAATCGCCTCGACCTAACTTACCACGCCACCAGATTCAACCGCATTTCACCAACCCCAGGCCTCTTCTCTTCACTCCAAAGGTTTCCGAATGCGAGCAAAGGTCTTGATCGACTTGCCTCATCCGGCAGTAGCACACGCGCCAAGCGAGCGGTATGACGCTTCGCCTACTGATAAGACTCGCTCAACTCGCCTTATCTCGAGCTTCGAGAGCCTTGCCATCCCAGCCATTGACGACGGTTCCTGCGTCTCTATCGCCCGCTAATGCTGCTCGCTCGGCTCCGATGGACTGTAAAGAAGAAGCAGAGCACCAGGCACGTGGAGCTGGAGAAGGTTTATTAGAGTGAGGTAGGTCATGGAGCTTCGAGAGATTTTTCTGAGCTTCATCTCGTTGATCTCTGTTTCAATCATACAGCAAGATGCGTTCATTCCTATCTATTGGTGCGGCGGCGAGCTGCCTGCTGTCCAATGTCGTTGCTACTCGCATCCCAGCTAGAGTAGGCGCGAGAGCGGCGGATAGCGTGGTCAAGCCGAAGGTCATGATCGTAAGCATGTTCGATCCGGAAGCGGACGTATGGTATGGCATCCCGGAGTTCGATGTGTTGGCGATGAACATCACCATTCCTGGAGGGAGCCCGCTCTTTCCTGATGTGCACTGCACGGCAAATGGTGACGTCTGTCAGTACACCATTGGCGAGAGCGGTATGAGCTATATCATCCATGCTGCCAGCATGCTATATGCTAATGAAGGAGTACAGAGATCAACGCCGCAACCTCAATTGCCTCTCTCGTCCGCTCTCCGCGCTTCGATCTCACAACCACCTACTTCATGATCGCCGGCATCGCCGGGGTCAACCCAGAAGTCGCAAGCATCTGCAGCGTCACCTTCGCCAAATACGCTGTCCAAGTCGCCTTGCAATACGAGTTCTCCCAATTCGAGATCCCAACCAACTTCACAAGCGGCTACATCCCTCTCGGCGCTCACTCACCGCAGCAATACCCAACCTCCATCTACGGCACCGAAGTCTTCGAGTTCAACCAAGACCTCCAGCACTGGGCCGCCGAGCAAGCCCGCACCGCTTCTCTAAACGACAGCTCCGACGCCGTAGCCTACCGTGCCAACTACGGTGTCAACGCCGCCTACGCCGCCGGAGCCGCTCCACCAGCCGTCTACGAATGCGACGTAGCGACCTCAGACGTCTACTACTCCGGCACCATTCTCGGCGAGGCCTTCGGCAACTTCACCACCCTCATCACGAACGGCAGCGGCGTCTACTGCACCACTGCGCAAGAAGACAACGCTACAGGCGAAGCTCTGCTCCGCGCAGCCATCGACAAGCTGCTCGATTTCTCCCGTGTGATTGTCATGCGTACGGCGTCCGACTTCGATCGTCCGTACCCTGGTGAAGCGGCGACGACGAATCTGTTCTGGGCGGAGCAGGGAGCTTTTGGGCCTGCGATCGAGAATATTTATCTGGCGGGGATTAAGGTGGTGAATGGGATTTTGGATGGTTGGGATGGGCAGTTTGCGAGGGGTATGAATGCGAGTAATTATGTTGGAGATATCTTTGGCTCGTTGAAGGGATCGATTGAGCCGGACTTTGGGCCTTATACTTATAACAACAGTGAGTTCGATCGGATGCCGGCCGTTGAAGGGCGGACCTGCTAACGAGATCCAACAGATCCAGTCAAGCGGAGCACGAAGAGCATGAGACGCAAGACCATGAAGCCGGTCAGGGTGTTGTAGGAGAAACAGGACGATCTAAGAGCCACGACTGGGATGACAACTACGATATGATGTTAGTTATACTTGAGGTCGCCTGTACAGTCTGTAGGCGACCAACCTAAAAAGTTCACGCCAGGAACCGCTTCCTCCTCTACACGACCATGTTCGTCTCGTAGACGCATTCGATGTGTACATAAAAGGGTATAGATTCGTAACCATGCTTTGCACGGTCTTTAGACATATCAACATGTCAAATAGGAAGGCCCCGCTACGAAGGCGAAGTCTATCAACACCTCGTAACGACTTCTCACGCTTTAAACCTCCCCTGCCCCAGCGCACTCAAATACCCATGCCTCGTCAAACCCGTAGGATCGAACCCCTGCCCCTCACTCCCCGCCGCCTCGGCCAAGGTCTCCAATCCGCCAGCTCCCTGCGCCATCCGCTCTCTCTTCCTATTGACAAGCTCCCGCACAGCGCCATCCCAACCTTCACTCTCCGTCTTGCCCGCTAGCCCTCTGCCCTCGCCAAGTGCCTCAGACAGCTGATCAAGCCCACGCAGAGCTTCAGCCCTCGTCTTCGGGACATCGCACAATTCGCACAACGTCATAGCCGCTAAAGCACCAAAATGGTGGTTCAGCGGCGTCACGGGCGTCATACGGGAATTCAGCACTGTAGCGACTTTGACGGCGTGCTCGACCATCTCCACCGGTTCAGTGGTGGGGTTGAGGCGCTTGATGAGGAGGTGGCAGTGGTGGTAGCTGAGGTGGACGAGGTTGAGGGAGCCCCAGACGCTTTCGACGGATTCGCGGAAGCGGTCGATCTCGCCTGCCAGTGTGAGGCCGAGGAGGGCTGAAGCCGGATTGGTGGGCGCCATGACATCTGTAGAGGGCCTTTTGGTTGTGGTGAGGATTGCGGCCAAGTGGCCGACGATGAAGGAGAGGCGCGCGAGATGGTATGTTGACTCTCCTAGCAGCATCTGATCTTCCGGTAGCAGAACGACTGAGTTCTCAGGAAGTTTGAGCAAGTCTGCCGTACTGCTCGCGTGCCATCTGTCAAGGATAAACAGCACCCACCACACCCGCCGAGCAAGCCGTTCCTCGCTGTCTCTGTCGCCGTCGAGAAGTGATTGCGAGGCTCCAGTCCGAATGACGTTGATCTCTAGCTGCCCAGCCACACCCGCCGCTCTGCCGAGCCACTCTGCACGGCTTGGTCCAGCTTCGCCTCGAATCGTGGCTGGGCCGTGGTTGTCGCATTCTAACGCCATGAGTAACAGCGTCTGCAGATACACCAAATTCGTAGCGTTTGTATGAGAGCTGGGGTTGTCGAAAGGATATTTCGCAAGCAACTCGGCAGCCTTCTTAATCGCTTGTGCGTAGTTTGCGTTCGGCGCCAGAGAAGTGGTTGGGAACGTGCGCATCAAGCAGTCCAGCGCAGCCAGAAAAGCATCTCGTAGTGATCCTGGACACTCGCCCAGACGCTGGCGCAGACGGTGCTTGCTGTTGGGAAGCAGAGGGAAAGTCTGGTGGATGATGCGATAGTATTCATTGATGATCGATTCATCCCAGTCGAAGTTGTTGATTGCCGGCCCAACCTCTTCCGCAGCGCGATGGTTGAGAGCTGTGTCTTCTTGCGTGGTAGCGGGCGCGCCGTGCCTCCAAAATGGCTGCTGGCCTGACTGCTGGCCCATCTTTGCCGTTTGAGGCTGGTATGGCGGAGCGTAATAGAGCTGTTGCTGAGGTGGCTGAGGCGGATACTGCCCTGGCTGTTGGTGCTGTTGATGCTGCATTGGTGTCTGAGGTTGACCGTGTGCCATCTCCGACGTGGCATGCGATCTCTTATCACCGACTCTTGGGTCTAGTATTCCCATGCCATCATGCATATTCTGCACTTGCTGCATCTCCCTCTGTACCCGGCGCACCTCCTCTCGTAGGCCGTCGTTGACTTCCGGATTACCACCAGGACCAACCTGCTTCTCCAGCGTGTTCAGACGCTCCGCCAGCTCTTTGATATAGCCTTTGCTGGGCCCGCGCTTCATGGGCTGCCTGCTGAAAGCGCACCTAGCGCCTGTCCGCACGCAGCTCGAGCACGGCTGGTTGGCCGTTTCGTCCGAGGCATCGCATCTGATCTTCTTCCTCCTACACTCGTCACATGCCCTGCTCGTCTTAGTCCTAGGGGTGTTCCGCGTAGACTGCTCTCCGCCCGCCTGTTGTACAAACGGTGACGGCGGTAGTGGAAGTCCTCCGCCGTTCTGATATTGCGGTTGCTGAGGACCCTGATGCTGCTGCTGCTGCATCACCGGCGGATACTGACCGAAGCTGCCTATCATGCTTGACAGCTCCTCCCGTAGTTGCGAATCATCTTGCATTGCGCCTTGCTGTTGCGGTCGCTCGTCAGCGTTCGCGCCGGGACCGGCATCAGGCGCATTCTGTCCTTCATGCTGATGTCGCTGCTGCTCATGCTCCGCCTGCGGATTTTGCACAGGTTGCTGAGAGTAGAATGGCAGAGAGCCGACGTTCTGCTCGCCGGATGCACCGCTGGGGGACGGGTATCGTTCGCCGGACATGCTGGGTGGTGCGGAAGGTGTTGTAGAGTTGTTAAGTTCTCAACCTTAGCACTCAATCACATTGCACCCGTAGATTCCGTTCGCATTCGAAAGTGGTGCAAGTCAAGGCGTTAAAAGAACATGACGTGAAGTCGAAGTCGAAGGCATTGAAGGCAGGTGACAGCCATCTTTGCGACAGCCTCCTCCCACTTCGCTAGCGCCATCATGCGGGAGACGATCGATGCACGCCATTTCGGCCAACGACCTCGTCGTCCAATCCAAGATCGGTGGACGAGTCGAAGTAGCTAACTGTACAGAAGTCAAGATGGTCTACAATATGGTATGGAGGCTCCAATACGAATTCGCGGTCCGGTCGGTACGGAAAAACGTGTTGACGGTGCCCTCGATTCTTGGATACAAGAGGTTATGTGTGCGGCAGTGGTATCATCGCAAGGCTACGGACAGCGATGTTCTGGCTCACAAGAAGCAAGAGATGCACGCATAAAGCACATCAGGTACTCTTCGGCGGAAACAACAACCTCCCCTCCATACCCCCGTCAACCATAACATTCATCCCATTAACATGCCCGCTCAACGTCGGACTCGCCAGCACAGCAACCTGCCTCGCCACATCCTCCGGCTTCGCGACCTTCTGCAACGGCGTCGTGGCAAGCGCTCGCTCCACGAACGCCGTGTCCTTCAACGCATTCTGCGCGAGAGGCGTGCTCACCCAGCCAGGGTTGACGCTATTGACCCGTCCGCGGGGAGCGATGGCGACGATCTCGTTCTTGAGGGTGGGTGTGAGTCCGTACATGAGGGCAGATTTGGCGGCGGAGTAGTCGCCGTGGTTCGCTTCGCCGAATTTGCCGGCGGTGGAGCCGATGAAGATGATGGTTGCTGCGTCTTTGGTGCTGTCGTCCGCACTCTTGAGTACACGAAGGTATGCGCGGCAGAGTAGAAATGGCCCGGTGAGATCGACAGCCATGGTGTTGCTCCACTGCTCCAGGTCCATGTCGACGATGTGCTTGTTGTCCTCCGGCCAGATGCCATGATTCACCACCAGCACGCTTACTGGGCCTCCGTTCTTCTCTGCCGCGTTAGAGAGTAGCTTGTCAACAGACTTCTCATCGCGGACGTCAGCTTGAAGAGCAACAATGTCGGTTGAATTGGCCAGCTCCCCGATGCGAGAGTTATAGTGGGCGGTCACGCGTGCTCCAAGTTGGCGGAATGTATGGACCGTCTCCAGGCCTATACCTCCCGCAGCGCCGGTAACGAGAACGTGTACTCCTTTGAGGCCGAAGTCCAGAGACATCTTGATAGAAAGGGAGACGAAGACGAAAGATCGTTGGTACTGTGAGAAGAGTCGTTTCCAGTCGAGGGTGTTAAACTTATGGATAGACGAGAGGATGATTCTTGTGACGAGTGATACTTCGTGACTCTGCTAGAGCTGCTTTGCATAAAGTCAGAGACCACAGAGATCGTTCTGTTCGATGGCCGCATGCTCTGTGTGGAGGGCACAGCGCTACTGCCATTTGAGGAAGGTAGAAAGCGGCTTGCCCGAGCCAATGAGGCTTCTTCTATCCAGTCTGGTATGGTTCGTACATGATTTCGTTCCCCAGTTTAAGGTTGGAACTGTCTTGGAGACATTGTCCTCAGACGGAGCTTACATAGATTTGTTCTCATACCGGAAGGGTTGAAAGCCTTCAGTAAGGATGTCCGGCTTTTCTTCCCAAAGTTCCATAATCAATTGGCCGAAGAGGCCGTTAGCCCATGTAAACCTGCCCGGGGCGTCAGCGAGTGTGTTCAAAGAAGCCGAAGAGTCTATCATACCACTGCCGTGTCCACTGCGTCTCGTCATTGCTATCCACACTTTCATGGATCAGTCCCAACCCGCTGGTGGAGCCCACGACCTCCCTGATGGCAGCGAAGATCTCCCAGTAATCATCCGTCGTGAAAGCCTGCATGATCAAAGACATCGGCCACACTGCACACGGTCTGATGTGCGGGCTGCCCACGCCACTGATGACACTTCCTTTGCAGTACCACGGATTCATCTTGCTGAGCACGAAATCGCGAGTTCGCAGATACAGTGGATCGTTCCTGTCAACATACCCCAAGAACGGCGCAGAGAGCAGCGAAGGGATGTTGGCGTCATCCATAAGATTGCGACCGCCATATCCATCGACTTCGTAGGCGTAGATCTTCTGCCCAGTGGGCGACCTCACGATACCCCACTGCTCGATCCCACCACGAATGTCGTTCGCAAGGTCTCTCATCTCACCCGCCAGGCCTTTCGGTGCGTTTGGAAGCTTGGCCATGATCGATGCGGTCGAATCCAAATAGCGGGCCATCATCATGTTTGCAGCGATTCCAAAGTCGTAGATTGCGGAGTCGTCGCTCGGTCGAAAGGGAGAACGGACCAGCCCAGTGTAATTGACTGGACTGTTGAAGCCATTGTTGCCTTGGGTGCCAGCAGCAGACATGGTATACGACTGGAAGGTGTACGCCGGAGGGATCCACTCGCCATCCGGACCGTAGGTTGGTCTTTGCATGTCTTTGGCTGCATTGAGGATGGACTGTACAGCAGGGATCCATTGGAACTTGCTGAAGAAGTCAAGGTCCTGCGTTCTGTTGTAATAATCATGGCTCAGTTGAAGGAACCCACCCCAGTCCTGCAGGAGATTAGCAATGCATCCTCGATAGCTCGTAATGGCTGGGGCAATGGCTATACAAGGCACTTTCCAGGCTGCAAAGTACATGCGCTGGATTTAGAAGTGAGAAGGAGAGCTGACTCACATCTAACTCAAAGTTGCAGGTGAACACAACATTCACATCGTAAGGCGGAGTGACCTTATACCTCGCACCATTGGTTCCAGCGTTGATACCAGCCTCTTCTGGTGGCAGGAAGGCGTTGCAGTATGGAAACTGGATGAGGTACCGAGCTTGCATGTTCAGCGTCCCTCGAAAGACAGATGCAATGTCGTCGGTCTTCTGTTTGAGAACAGCCTTGTAAGGGGCGATCTGGTTGGCAGAGTCTCGAACCCTTTCGTGCGTAACAAGGGGCCTCAGCATGTGTCTTAGAAAGTGGTTCTGGAGGCGGACATGAACTCACCACATGGCGTCAATATCGCCGGTAATCACAAAACATAGTTCCTCGTCACTGTTGTTGCTGGCCGTACCACGCCATTTAATTGCCGTGTCAAGCGTGTTCGGAAAGGTATTCTCGAACAGACGAAAGAGATCTGGGTCCGCGATCACGTCCTTGAGCTTCGTGATGGCCTTCTCAACTCCACTTGAGTTGAATGTCCGGCATTCGGGACTCGGTCGCATGTAGCTGAGCTTGTGGCCACCCGTGGAGAAGGGCTCGTGGTACTCTTGCGAGTATCGGGAGTAGCTTGGACATTCTGCAGTTGATACACCTATGAGTAGCACCAGGGGGAGAAGCCATCGGCCCAGTAATCCGGCCATTCTGAAGGCTATGACTTCACCGTCAAGGAGCGGGAGATGTCATCGACTCGCAAGCGGTCCCTCGAAGTTCATACCAAGCCAGGCCGGTCCTGGCGGAAGAAGTAGACGTCACACGCGTGCAGGAGGGAACGCGAAGCCCATCTCAAAGGACGATCCGAGCCAGAAAGGGTTTAGTCTTTAACGGCCTGGGGCGGCCCGGCAGATATGCTTAAGCTAATAAGTATAACTGCTGGCGATGTGACAACAGTTCACCAGTTCCACCTTCCCAACGCTATATATCATCGTGCGTTATCGTATTAAGACCGCTGAGTAGTTCGCAGCAGCCGATTAGACAGAGACAGCTACCTGCTGCCTCCCATGTGGTTGACCACTCGCGCTAAGGATGCCGCTATTGAGCGGCCAAGATCATCCTTCAGCCTGCGCACCCCTGTATGGATCTTAAAGCTCTTTCTTGCCCTCATTCTTTCCTCTCCTAACATATACGACGAGTGTCGGAGCCAAGGTGGCTTATCCGATTGACTATTTGCCACAATTCAATCGATCTCGCCTTGGAGGGCTTCTGTTTAATTATGAGCCTTCTACTTAGCCTACCCGCCGAGTTGCTGGACAACATCGTTGAGCTAGTCGTCGAAGATGCCCGGCTACCGCCCCTTACCATAAAGGCTGCTCACCAAACTCGGATGAGAGACGAAGACATGCCTTCCGGAAGGATCCATGGGTTCCAAAGCAGGAGCTTCGGACCACGCCATGTTCGTTACGAGAGAACGGAGACAAGAGCGAATGCATCGGGACTGCTACTTGCTTGCCGCCAGACTCACAAGCAGACCAAAGACGCCCTTGCTCGTTTGTACCCAAACGGTTTTACATACTCCCTAGATGTCATGGTGATCAATGAGACTGAACTATGGCCAACCTGGCTGCATGTTCCATCAGTTGCGAAGCGCATTTCAGAAGTCAAAGTCAACTTCCGTGTGTATGACGCCGAAGAGGACGATGAAGCTCACTGTGTCGTGCGCGAGGGTGGCGGCCATGAAAGCTTGGAATGGTGTTTCTGGTTCCTCCTCGAGTGTTTTCTTCGATGCGGGCCTGCGAATCCGCCGGTTGCGTCCCATGATGAGCCATACCGTAGCGATTCTATCTCCTGCATCGAGGACGTTTCAATCGAGTTCTCTACCGGCACTCCTCCGTCAAAGCAGTCTGCTTCTGAAGAGGATGAAATTCAACAAAAGCTCGTCGGCGCGTATCGCAAACGTCGAAATAAGATTGCCGACCACATTATCCATAAAACATACGAGCTGATGTCAATGGGTTATCACGAATCCGAATATGGCAAACTGTTATATGAGCGCATCGGCGACATGAGAGCAGGCGGCGAAGGTAGGGACACATGGGGCTTCCAACTTGGCGAATGGCTCGGGGAGATGCACCCACGGCCTGATCGCGGACAAATAGATGACACCACAACGACGTTCGGCCATCTGCCCGCGGACTGCAGATTGAGAAGTGCTTGGAACTGGAAGCATAGCACGGTGCAACGGCGCATCAGTCTGGGTTTGCACATTCCTGATCCGTTCGCTTGGCCAGGCAGTCAGCAATGGCGCCATTGGAAGAACTTGAAAGATGGCCGATCCGAAGGCAATGCCTGCGGACGCTCGTGTTATTGCGATTACGGAGGTCTCGACGAAAAGTTGATTGAGGGCACTACAAGGGGTAGAGAAACCACAATCCATGGTGGCCCACCAAACGCTGAAGAGGCTTCGGGCGAAATATGGTGGGAAGAAGCTTAGTGCCCGTGACTTTGTGCTTGTGCAATGCACTTACGTTGGGAACTTGACTGTCGTTTTGTGCGAGCAAGAAATATGGCAAGGCGCAGCATTTCACGCAAAACTGCCTCGAGAAATGCTTCACATTATCACCACGTTGCTCATGCTCATTCATCACAAGAACCCATTCACACCATCCGCCCCTCTCACAGCACAAGCAACATGCAAAGGCAGCAGACTTCCATGCTCAGTACCCAGTCTCCTCATCCTTCCAAGCAATGCCAGGCCTCTGTACATCCGCAATACTTCCCTAAGGGTCATCTCCGCCTGCCTAGCTGGTCCTTCATCAACTGCACCGCCGGGCCGGACGCGGATGTCCCAGTGCAAGCTGATAGCCATTGCTTTCAGCGGCGTAGCGGTGCGTGTGGGGGCTGCATTGCCTCTACGGAAGAGTAGGCCCTTGGCAAGAGGGTTAGGCATGGTAGGCACTGTATTGGCAGCTGTTGAGCCCGGTGTGGCGGAAGAAGATGTAAATGCTGGGGAGAGAAGCATGCCCCAGCTCTCATCCGCGGTGTCAGTGAGGTGTGCGTCTGGGTCATTCTCAGAAGCGGCAGTGGGCTCAGCCGGAGTAGGTGTGGGTGGAACATGGCCCTGACCGCTCGCGTCTGGCGATACCGTCAAGCTTCCCGGTTGTGGCGTCGATCCAGGCGTGAGAAACCCTTGTCCGGCAGTCTGACCTGTTTGCTCACTGCTCCCCGCCGGAAGCGGAGGCGTAAGATGAATTGGCGGACTGTCATCCACTGCTATGAGCGTTACATGCATGACCTGCTTCTTGACCTTGGAGATCGCAAGAGCTCTCCAGCATTTCTGAATGCTAGGCGCGATGTGGGTATCAGCAACGATGAACACCCGCCAAGTCACCTCCCTTGCAGCGATGATCTCGCAGGTCCTGTCCCAGACCTCTGCGGCAGCATCTTTGAAGGATCGGCCGCGAAGGCAGAATGTAGTGGTCATTTGGTATCGACCAGTACTATCGAGCCAACAAACTGCCAGCCATAGCTTGTCTGGACTCAGGGAATAGGCGAGGTGTAGAACAGAGCCTTCGTGCATTAGGTCGCTTGGCGGATCAGCCGTGAGCTGGAATGCTATTCTCTTGGGCGAGACAGATGACAGCTCAACCGCGGGCGCAGCCATGATGGACAGCGCAGCTCCAATGTCAGTCGAAGCTGCCGTTTTGGATGAAGGCGGACATCGGTTGTACACTTCCATTGCGAGGGAGACGTATTGCGCACTGTCCAGCACCACCAAACCATCTGGCGACGCGAGTAGCGAGATGGGTATGATTTGGAGCACGATGTCGCTGCGGGGAGCCTTCTGTGACGCTTTCGAGGTTGAGGCGCGACAATATCTGAAAAGCCGCCAATAGCAAGCACAGAGAAATTGAGTCGACCAGTCAGTCTCGAATGGGTCGACAAGAAGAATGACAACTGATTGATTAGGGTGTTCGCGCCCAGCAGGCTCGATCGCTTTGCCAATCTGTTCGCAAGCCGTTCGATAGCTGTTCATCGCAGACTCAATGGGTGGGGCGTCCGCAGTATCGCGAAACTTTAAGACTCCGTTCTCATACGACAAATAGGCAGATCCATCCTCCTCATCGCCAGGATCCGGAAGTGAAAGAGCATCCTCGGGTTCACAAATACCCAGCTTGCAACTTTCGTATGCCCTTGAGAAACTCCGCATGAAGTCTTGTGCGGAGCTCGCCAGATCCGCGTTATCTGGTAGGACGATGATGCTGGTCATGTCCTTGGCTCCATTGGCGGGTCCAAGACTCAAGGCATTCCAGAAGTCAACGGCGGGCGGTAGCATCTCCCAGGCGTCCGCACCACGCTGGACGCGCACGTACGGTGGTGGAATGGGAAAGAAATCGGGGCCAAGCTGCATGCTGCCTTCTCGATATGGCATGCGCGGCTGACTCATCTGAGGGGCTTTGCTATTGGCAGCTATGGGGCGTGGCGGTGGCTCTTTGATCAAAGCCAATTTTGCAGGGCCACAGTCTTGTGCCGAAGGGAGAATGTGGTCGAGTGCAGTCCTGACAGCGGTAGCTACGGAGGCCTCAGTAGACTTGTGATACGGGTCTGCAGCCGGGCCCATAGTCTTGACAGCAGCCTTAATTGCACCGGTCGAAGAAGATGCTTGCTCGCAGACAAGTTGTGCTACGTATATCAGCTCAGGTTTCGTGAGCGCCAGCACCTTTGCAACGTCGACTGATGCGGAGTTCCACTTCCCATTGACGCTGTTGTGGCGGACAAAGCGGCTAGTAGATGTACCTGTCGCATCACGGTGTGGCCGGCGCATGATGCTTGTTGTAAGCATCTGCATCTGCCGATCATCGACAATGTTTTCGTCGTCCATTCCGGATGCGTCGTCAAACCATCCTTGGGCTTGAGGCCCGGTGAGCTGCAGCTGTCCTTGCATGGAGGTCCTCTTCCTCTTCTTCGACTCCCACGGCAACTTTGGCGGCATGTTGTCGTCTTCACTCACGCTCGTCATGGAACCGTAGGAGTCATCTTCACTCGAAGAATACATATCCGTGTCCGCATCGTCTGGGCTGGTAGAAGGCTTAGACCGCTCTTTCTTCGATTTGGAGGGGAGGGATATGTTTGGTCCATCTGGTGACGACTTTTGGGCACGAAGCTTGTTCGGAACTGTATATCTGTCGGAAAATGTAAGACCTTCGTTGAACTGAACTGGATCGAATGTGCTGCGGTGGTGTGACCGGGAGGACAGCCCATCAGCTGACATTGCACTAGCCGGTACAGGCGGTGGGAAGAGTCTCTCTTTGATGCCAAAGGGGCTTAGAGGTTTCTCGGGAGGGTGAAGAACAGGCGCAGGCGACTGAAATGGTGGAAGAGGGCTGTCTTTTGCCGGAGGCTCTTCGTGGACCATGACTGGTGAGTCAGGCACAGTGTTGACAGTCGGAGGATCCGGTAGAGATTCCGAAGGCAACAGGTTCGGACTGCGCGGCGTAGCATCGGTGCTATTCATGACCATATCGGTAGGAGGTTGGTGAATATTGTCGTCTGCTCCAGCAGCGTGTTCCTCGACCATATCAGTGTCTTTGGTGCCTTCTCCGCCTTCAGTCTCCTCGTCTGGCTCATCGAAGTAATCAAAGTCCTCATCTCCAACTTCGTTAGTACCGAAGTCCATCTCTGTTATGTCACCGAACAGATCGTCACTGTGTGGTTTATATGTTGGCCCCTCTCTGGCGGACTCCATACTGTTGCCTCTTCCAGCATGATCAGCATCTGCAGGCAATGCTGAGTCCTCCTCCATGGCCGTCGAATCGATCTGCATGGCTGAACTCAGACTGTCGGAAGTTGGATGAACCGGCAGATGCCCAGGCACTAGCCCGTCAGGTGGAGTAGGGTAGATTCCAGCTAAGGCGGCCTGCTGGTCGACCTGGCGTTGGTTGAATGGTGGCGATGTGGCTATTGGCGTTTCTGCTATCGCAGCTGAGCTTGACGCAGTGTTGTCAATCATGGCCGTATCTTTGGCGGGGGTAGTCATGTCTCGCGTCGTCACGTCCTTAAACCACCCTTCCGCAGCGGCAAAAGGATCTCTGAATCCTGCCTGCGTGTAAGATGGGTTGTTGAACCAGTACTGCCATTCGATGTCCGACGCTGAGCTCAAGTCTGGGCGTGTCGTGGGCCAGTGCGCAAGACATAATCGTTCAGGCCAGATGAAGTGCTCGGTGTTGTTTGCACCCGACAGCTCCACGACAGACCATTTATCCTCGGGTGATATCTCGATGCATTCTGCCAACAGAACATCCGAGACACTCTGTTTCCAGTGGGCGCCTCGAATGATCTGCCTATCTGCGGTGGTTGGTAGAGGGTCCTTCGTATCACTCTGTGCAATGAGCCTTGCTTTTACGCCGCTCGGCGCTAAGAAGACTTCGCTGCCAGGTAAAGCGCCGAAGAAGTGTAGAGGGCGAAGATTGGACGGGTATTTCGTCCATGAGACATACATCGCGCCGCTCTCAGTCATCCGAGTGTGCAGCTTGATAATTGTGGCAGTGCCGTTTGACTCGCTTGCTTCCTCGACCGCAGGGCTCAGCAGCCACTCACAAGGACCGGCGTGCACCATTCCATGGCCCATGGCAAACAGGTAGGTCGTAGAGCCTTCTACTGCCTCCAGTAAGATATCCTTGACCTCCACACCATTGCTCGTGTCTAGAGGCTGTGTATCGCGGACCAGGCCCTTCTCTTGCACAGTCAATGGCAGATCCTGCAGTTCTGCCGCATGGAGGATGTCTTCATCGGTCTGTCCAAACACCCAGAGTCGATTCGGCTGAGCAGAGCAGACGATGTTGCGCCTTCTGAGCTCTCCAATAGCCCTTCCTAGCGTATCTTGCCCGAATTCCTGCTCTGGATAGGTGTAGTGCGTGTAGTACCAGTCCATGAGTCCCTCTACTACTTTGACATTCGTCGTACATGCTTTTAAGAAGTCGTTGCCGTACATGGCTTCTGATATCCGTCCGCTATGGGACGTATCGATGGTGGGAACGTCGCGGAAGGGTCGGTGGGCTCATTGGCTTCGTTCAAGAGTAGCACGAAGACTGAGACTTCAATACCGGCTGCAATGTATGTGAATATTGGCGGTGTGGTCGATATAGCACGACCTAGTGTCGTGAGAGATGAGGTCTTGGAGTCGAGGCGGGAGCAGCCGGGGCTTCATCAAGAACACTTCACTTCACCTCCTTACGGACAGACGACACCTCGACACAAATAGCGACACGGCTGTGATTAGGTCCATAGGTAGGACTCGGTCATCTTACACATCCCTCTATGTATCCAATGACAAGGTCAAGAATATAGCGTATGAATCAGCACATCAAGACATTAACATGAGCTCTTCTGGCGGCGACATTGAGCGGGATATGGATGTGGGAAGGCCTTTTGTAGGCCTGAATAGCTTAAGTACCGTTTGCATTCCCCGCTTCGAGTGCATTGCATCTTTCAACGCTTTCTGCATCATCCCGTGCCGCCTGCAACCGAGCAAATACCATCATTAGAGATACTTCCTCGTCTTCTCAACCACATACTTCGTCATGTCCTCCGGGTCCGAAACATACGGGAAGTGCATACCAGGTATGACCGAGATCGGGATTTCCAGCTCCACAGCAGTGACGATATTGTCAAAGAACCCAGCGGTGGGTGTCGAAGCGCCAATTGACCAATCCAACGGCTTCCCCTTCAGCTTCTCCTTGTCGACGGGAAACGAACATCCAAGCGAGCGGATGTAGCCTCGTGCCCACCTTGAAAAGTTATGCCAGATGCGGTTGAGAGCCTCTTCGCCCAAGCCTTCCCATGCAGCAGAATTGTCGCCGAAGTAGGTTTTGGGCATGTTGGTTGCCATGGCGTTGCTGAGTTCTTCGTCCGGGAGATCAAGCAAAGCCAGCAGCGGTGGTATCGCATAGGTTGGCACTTCATGCGCAAGTGCATTGCGGATCCGAGTTGGATAGTCGGCAACCAGAGCCAGCACTGTCGAGCCGCCTGAACTGCAGCCCCAGATGGTGGCGACGTCAATGTTCAATGCATCCATGATAGCAATGACATATGATGCCAGCTTCTGAGCTGTTATGTTCTGGTACGTCTCTGGAGGAGCTTCGCGGGATCTCGACAGCCCTGGCTATTGAACGCAGAATTAGAATCACCCCGGTCGGGTCTCACGAGTCTCACGGCGGCCGCTATGTCCAAGGCCAGGTCAAAGGCGGACCCTTAAAAGCTAAACATGCCTTCGAGGCAAATTCGGCCAGGAAACTCGCGTAGCTCTTAAGCCTGAGACACAGCGGCGACGTGTAGAGGGGTGGTTGTAGGATCGGTTACATACCATGTCAAAGGTCGTCACTTTGAACCCTTCGGCAGCAAGCAACGACATTGGCTTGTCGAACATTGTGCAGTCTCCTAGGCCATCTGGGATAAGGACGAGATCTGGCCCTGACCCTTCTTGCTCGTAGTACCAGTTGATGCCATGGTCGGACTTGATCGTGCCTGTGGTACGCATGTTGACTTGTAGTGAGAGGTAAGTGTCTAGCAATCTTGCCAAATCTCTACCAGGAGAGGTTCGAGGGCTATTATGTTGTAACCTCAGCCGCACAGGCGCGTGAGGATGTCTCCATGGCGTTGAACAGAGACCGGGAGGTGTTCCATCCGAAAGCCGCAGGAACAGCTCGGAGGAGCTCACCTCGTTGACGAAGGTGCATCCGATCTTCCCCCGGCATGTAGCCAAGGTGTTCTATGCAGTGAGATTGCCATGGCTGCCGGAAGCGGAAACTTGTTCGAGCTGCCAAAGCGGCGACGTTGAAGTGAAGAGGACCAGCCCTGGGAGACTTCCCCGCAGATATGAGTCTTGGCTCACATGCTAAGCTCTACGGCCCTCGCCGCGCGCTAGAGTGTCGATCTTCCGAGGCCGTTAGCAAAAAGTCTCGAACGGTTGCGCCAACCACACTATTTCACCTTCAACAAGATGAAGCTCACGACAGACTCGTCGGTGCCGGTGTACACCATCGCGGGTGAAGGCACGTCGCGACCGTTGCCAGAATGGCTGGCACGAAGGCGGAAGCGCAGTCTGAAGAAAGACAGCGAGTATGCAAACCGCGTGGAGCTGCTGCAGGACTTCGAGTTCGAGGAGGCCAGCCAGTGCGTGCGCGTGAGCGAAGATGGCGAGTGGGTAGTGAGTACAGGTGAGTATCATATTCCCCATACAGCGCGGTGGTGTATACCTGGGACTGATGCGCTGACAGTTGAATAGGCACATATAAACCCCAAATCCATACCCATTACCTCCCGCATCTCTCGCTCTCCTATGCCCGCCACACCAATACTATCAACCAGACGTTCCTGTTACTCTCCTCCGACTACAGCAAATCTTTACACCTACAAACCGACCGATGCCTGGAGTTTCACACTCCTGGTGGCTTGCATTACACCACACGAATACCACGATATGGCAGAGACCTTAAGTACAACCGACGGACGGCTGAGGCACTCATTCCGACAGTGGGCGTGAATGCCGACGGCAATGGAGAGGTGTTCAGGCTCAACTTGGAGGTTGGCCGGTTTATGAAGGGCTTCGAAGTAGATGTCGGTGGCGACGACTTTGAGTCTTTTGGTGGTGGCGCTCTGCAAGGCGGCATACGGACGGGCAGTGTCAATTGCGCTGCCGTAGCTGATGATTCGCACGGCCTACTCGCATTCGGTACCTCTCTGGGAACGGTCGAGCTGTGGGATTCGAGATCGCGGAATCGGGTCAGCGCTATCGGGCCTACCGCGCCAGCACCTGTGTTCGAGTCTGACATGGATATTAGACCGGAGATCACAGCACTGGAGTTCCATCCGTCTGGCCTCGATCTCGCCACTGGCAACAGCAACGGCATCGTGCACACGTACGATCTACGCTCGCCCGTGCCACTGCTTCGAAAAGACCAAGGATACGGCTCACCTATCGAAACACTACGATACCTCACGCCGTCAATCACATCATCAGCTGTGACACCGAACAAGCTTTTGAGCGCCGACCGAAAGTCGATCAAGCTCTTCGACTCTACCTCCGGTGACCTCTGGACATCAGTCGAGCCCGCGGTAGACCTCAATCACGTGGAGTGGGTGCCCGATTCAGGCATGCTGCTCACTGCCAATGAAGGGAGACAACAATACGCCTTCTTCATTCCGCAGCTTGGACCTGCGCCGAAATGGTGTGGCTTCCTGGACAACTTAGTCGAAGAAATGGCAGAAGATGGCGATGCAGACCCCAACGGTTTCAGTACTCGTTCCAAGTCTGGTGTTGGCGAGGTCTATGACAACTTCAAGTTCGTTGATCAGAAGGAACTTCGAGAGCTCAACCTGGATCACCTCATCGGCACCACGAATGTGCTGCGACCATACATGCATGGCTACTTCGTTCCGCAAGGACTATGGGAGCAGGCGAGACTGCTTGCAAACCCTGACATCATACTTCAGCAACGGCAAAAGAGTGTGCAGGAGAAGATTGACAAAGAGCGGGAGTCGCGGATTCGTGGGAATAAGAAGGTTGCAGTCAAAGTCAATAGACATCTGGCTGAAAGGCTTGCTGCGAGGGAGGAGGCAAATGAGAGAAGAAAAGCTATGCGATTGTTGAAGAAGCGAGGCGAGGACGCCGTGGACGCCGTGGACGCCGTGAACGCCGTGGACGAGGCGCCGCAAGAGGAGGACGCTGAAGATGATGCCGAGCCGCAGCAGCAAGCGAAGAGAACCGATCTCATGGCTGACGACCGCTTCAAGAAGCTGTTTGCGGACGAAGACTTTGAAATCGATGAGGCGAGTCGAGAATTCCAGATGCATAACCCTTCATCGGTACCGAATGGTGAGCTGAAGAAGCGAGGCGTCACGGCCGTGGAGGACGAGGCTATGCAGGATGTTGCGGGCTCTGACGATGATGAAAGTGGAAGTGACGAGGACGAAGATGCAGCAGCAGAAGCAGCCGCCTTGCGAGCACGCCAGCGTCCGCGCCGAGCAGAAGACAACGACGAGTCTGGCAATGGGCGCATCGGGAGCGTTTCGTACAAGAAGACGCCCGCTCAGCGGCAGCGGCAGAAGTCTGGTCCGAAGATGCAAGTCTCATCGTCGAATGCCGACTTGCGTAGGAGACAACAGGCCAAGCAATCGAGATCTTTTGGTGATCTGGCGACTTCGCTGCCTGCGCGTGGTGGACGGAACTCGGCTGAGAATGTCAGAAGTGGCGGCGTGGTGGGAGAGAAAGAGGTTACGTTCGCGCCGATGAAGAGCGGGAAGAATCTGAACATGAAGCAGCAAAGGCAGCGGGAGGTTGAGGACGGCGCGGCGGGTGGTAGGAAGGTGGCAAGAGGCAAGGAGAGGAGAAGTGCGAGTGGAAATACCTTTAGGAAGATGTGAGTTGAGGAACTCCAAGATATCCATTCTACTGATGTTCAGACCACCTCGCGGAATCTCTGTACATCACTTTCAAGTGCATACTTCTACCAAGCCTTATCGGCCGCTATAAACCACTACACCCCCAGCGAACGCCGAGCGAATGCCAAGCGCGCCACAGCGCCAGGCGGCCTCCACCTCAGGTGATGTACGCTCTTGGGTACAAAGGTAGGCTTTGCGTCGTTCCAACGTGTCGCCGGGTGGTGCATCCACCCCATCTTCTGTCGTGGAGTCATGGCCTCTCTCACGCCGGAGCAGATCAGACGATTGTTGTCGGCGGGCAGTCTTACCGTGGAACATGTCTCCATGACCCCGGAGACAAGAGCCTTCCTATCTCAACCGCACCGCATGGGACACGTCGCTCTCGAGCAGTCTACCCACCAGAGCCCCTCAGCTCAAGCTCCCCACGCAAGTTCCACGGGTCCGAAAGCACCGCAATACGTCCCTCTGCAAGCAGATCGTGAGATCAGGGTCCTCATTGTGAAGAAAGGCACCGGGAGCCAGCGTCTTCGATGTTCTCTCGAACGCCGTCCCTTGATCGGCGATCTCCCATACGAAGCACTGTCCTACACCTGGGGTGCGCCTATGCGGACCCGCTACTATGACAAGAACTTGGCAGGTAACCGGCACGAACGTAGTCCAGAGTCGTACCTGGCGGCGTTGATTGGCGGCTATGTGTGGAGTGCTTCCAACGGAAACGCCAGGCCTGATACGCAACTGGAAGATTTCGACGAGAGCGCACTTGCAGAGCCGCAGAAGGTCATGATTGATGGGGTGAAATGCGATGTCACTGGCAATCTTGCTTCAGCGCTGTTGCAGTTACGAGTACCTAGCGAAGACCGCGTGCTATGGGTGGATGCTGTAAGTGGGTATTCATGGGTAAAAGGGTTCTCCAAGACACAATCACACTGCAAGTGGCGCTCTGAGGCCTTTTCAACCCTCCCTTGCCATCGAGACATTTGCTGACCCTTTTACCCTTCGGTGCTTTAGGTCTGTATTAACCAGTCTGACATCCAAGAGAAGTCCGAACAAGTCAGTTTCATGGACACAATCTACCAGCGGTGCGAGACAGTTCGCATCTGGCTCGGACCTGCTGCGGATGGAAGTGACGTTGCCATGCAGCTCATCGAGCTTCTCTGGGCCTGGAAATGTGAATGTACCGATGGAGTATCGATGCTCACAGATTCCCCCACGCCGGAGATGCTATCCACAATCGAAGACCTGACCATACTCTTGATGCGGCCATGGTTCACGCGCCGTTGGACTGTTCAAGAGCTGGCATTCGCGAGCAAGGCGGTCGTTCATTGCGGTGCGAGGTCCGTCGAATGGCAGAAGATGGCGTATGCGATTTCATTTCTGAGAGATCACAGACTTGAGATCAATTACCTGCGGATCAAGAACTTACACATGGCTGTTTCGCCTACCTTGTATCGCAGAGGGTACCTGCAGACTCTTGCAGCGGAAACATCGCTGTTTGTCTGCGAGAAGATCATTCGAGCAAACCCTGTTCCTGGGCAGCAAGTCGAAAGGTTGGCCGATATCGAGACACTGGTCTGCGGTTTGCATGCTCTGCAAGTCTCAGCGGAGTATCCGCACGACACTATTTACGCTCTTCTTTCGCTAGCGAACGATACCACCAATGCGCCCGACCGATGGTACACCGATTACGCCAAGCCTGCATCCGACCTGTTCATCGAGTTCGTGGAATGGGCCATCGAGATGAGCGGGAGTTTGAACGTCATCTGCCGTCCATGGGCACCGAGTGGTGAAGGTCTGACGCTACCAACTTGGATCCAGCGACACCACCCCTCAGCTACACGCCACGAAGGTGGTGGAGATAGAGAGCAGGGCCGCGAGAGCCTTGTCGGACTGGGCAAGAAGACTAGGTTCAACGCATCTAAGAACATACCTGCTGCTGCCGAGATGGTGGATGTTGAGGGACTTGGCAAGACGCTTGGAGTGTATGGGTTCAAGGTTGACGAAATCGTGGAAGTATCTCCGGTGGCTCACCTAGGCTTGCCAGTCGCGTGGAAAGATCTCGTACTAAGCCAAAAGTTTACCTTGCCTGAACATACGCCAGCGATTGTCCCAGAGGAGGGAGCGGAAAATGGAGGTATCAAAAAGATGTGGCGCAAGTTCCACCGCAAGCACGATCGCGGCAGCAGGAGCATTGCCACTAATGTCGAAGAAAAGGACACACGCCAGGAGAGCTACGCCAACCTTGCCGACATCCTGGTCGCTGGTCAGGCAGGCGTCGATAGACTCACTCGTGCGCTCCGCGGACAGATGTGCGAAGCACTCTTCGCTGACACCAGCCCATACCGGCACAATGAAGAAGTCATCGATATCCTAGAAGTTCGAGGAGAAGCATCTCCCGCACCCTTGTACCCTCCTGATAGCGAGACGCCATTTCCGACACAGTATCTTCACGAGTTTCTACGTCGCATTGAGTCGTGCACTCGAAACAGAGCGCTCGCACGCACGAGCAGCGGCAAGCTGGCGCTGGTCGATCACCTGGTCGAGCCTGGAGATCACATGTGCATCCTGTTCGGATGTGATGTACCGGTTGTTTTGAGACCACGGCCTGCGTTGGATGCCGGCGTGCAGGCAGCGGCGGTGTCGCTTTTCGACTTTCGAGGGGAGGCGTATGTCCCCGGTATCATGGAAGGGCAAGCGGTGTCGGCGATGCAAGAGGCCGAACGGCATGAGGCTCCGACGACCACGAGATACCTGTTGCGCTGAAATCAGAAGGAAAACTGGAAGCTTGGTACAACCCGTGATACGCCTGGAAGCACCTTAGGTCCCAACCTGTGTCTGGTCGCCGCTTACCAAGCTCGTGTTGGGAATGGCGGGTTTGACGCCGACGCGGACGTTCGCCGAAGAGAGCTACTGGCGGCTGACCTCGAGTTTTCCGATATAATTGATGTCGTGCAGGTGATATCGGCGACTTGGCGCGAAGGACGCAGTGACGAGGATGCGAGAATGCGTCGATGCGAGACGTTCGACGTATGACGATGACAGCAAAAGTTTCCGACGAGCCACTCCAACACGCGAATCCCATCAAGCATCGATGGTGGATCAATCATGCCTGGTAACTGTACTGAATACACGTGGGTGGAATTGCTCACTTGGATCCGAATTTAATCAAACAATTCCGAGAGAGAAGAATGTCCAAAACTACGGTACTGTGCCACGAGGGCGAATACATCGGAGATGTCGAGACGGGCTGTCTCCATGTTGCCAGGTAAGTCCGACTACCTGCTGCAACCAAGTGCAGAACGCACAGGGCTGCGTATTGGTTCGGAACCTTTTGCGCTTTGACTGTCCGAGGGTGGAAGTTGTCAAGGCCTTGCACATGCGTAGTCGCCGATGTGCACTCGCCGTCTCGTTGAGGAAGAAGAGTAAAGGTCACATAGAAGTCACCGGAATGGAAGCATCCGGATCTTTACATGAAGCTGACAATATACGCTATATAAGGTTGCTGTTGAGAGCAGTCCGATCGTCTATCGTCCAAAATATACAGCATCATGGAACCAATCGTCCACCACATTCACGAGCCTGTCACCGGGACATGGCAGTACATCGTCTGCGATCCTCAGTCGAAAGTCAGCGTCATAATCGACGCAGTACTGGACTATAGCAAAGACAGTGGCATGATCCGCACTGCCTCCGCCGACCAGTTGCTTGAAGTCGTTACATCCAACGACTACATCGTCTCGCATATCCTCGAGACTCATGCACACGCCGACCATCTGACGGCCTCGAGGTATCTGCAAGAGGTACTGGCAGCACGTCAGCCAGCACACCGCCCTCTCCTCTGCATCGGCAATGGGATCAGCCAGGTTCAAGCTACGATGGGAGGCATCTACAATATCCAAGCCAGAGAGATGCAGGACAGCTTCAACCATACCTTCTCGGACGGCGAAGAGTTTTCAATTGGTAACCTCAAGGCCACCATCATGCACCTGCCCGGCCATACGCCAGACCACATAGGCTACCTCATCGGCTCGAACGTCTTCGCCGGGGACTCCATCTTCAACGCCGACGTTGGATCTGGCCGCTGTGACTTCCCCGGCGGCGATGCCGTTGCGCTGTACCGGTCAACGCAGAAACTATTGCAACTCCCGGGCCACTACAAAATCTACACCGGCCACGACTACCCTCCAAAGGATCGATGCGGCCCTGATGGTAAGGAGACGGGTGCTGTGCCATACACGACCGTTGAGGTGCAGAGCCGAGAGAACAAGCATGTCAAAACGGGGACGACGATGGAGGAGTTTGTGCGATGGCGGAGGGAGAGGGATAGCACGCTGTTGGAGCCAAAACTGTTGCGTCAGGCGATGCATGTAAATGTGCGAGGTGGTCGGCTGCCTGCAGGACCTGTTGAGGGCTTCTTGATTGAGCAGAAGCCTGCGGGTGTTCGAACGGCTGCCGCATGATGGTGGGAGGTGTACGTTTATCATATGAGATGCACAAAGATAGCACTTGGAATAGCACAGTCAAATCTGCATCGCAAGCAGCACATCTCAGTCGATGCTTTGCGAATCCAACCCAAAGCCGTGGCTTGTAGTTTCGCGAGTCACAACGTGGGGAAAGAAAAACCAATTGTGAAGCGCGGAAGGCGTGCTTTGTACATACGCTGAGTGCACGCAGCGAGCGTGCGCTGTGAACAACAGTAGCGAGCTCTTCTTCGTATCTACACCCGTTCCGTGAGGACTTGTTCTAATGCCGTCTTTGCGCCAGCGAGTGTATCCCATGTCATGCACACATGTCCCAAGCACATGCCAGGACATCAACCCACCCCCTTACCCTACCTCATGCCAGCCCCAACGCCTTCCGATTCTTATTCATAGCCTTCTTCAACTGTTTCTCGCGCTCCTCCACCTCCTTCCTCGCCACACTCAACTGCTGCTCCAGAAATGCCATGTTCGGCATCGCCACACCGGCCTGCGCAGCCGCACCATCCACCGCTTGCCCCTGGGCCATCTGTGCACCTGTCACGCCCATTCCGCCGACAATGCTACCGGAAGGCACCGCCCCAGCACTTGGCGGCGGTGTAGCCGGCGGCATGACGAACTCGTTGATATACCTACTCGCCTCATCCACCAGGAACGCGCCCTTCCTCATCGTGCTCTGGTCTTGTACCATCTGCTCCATCACGCTCACGCCTCGACCGCTAACGTTCTCGAACTCGCGCTCCACGGCTCTGAGGTCCACATCTGGGAACACAATCTCGTTCTGCGGTTTGCTGGGCTTGAATCTGTAATCCTCCGGCTTCCCGTACACCGCCCTTTCTAACTCGAGAAGCCGCTCCTCCTGTTCTTGAGGGAGAGCGCGGACATGGGTGCCGAACGGCGTGACATAGCCGCGATCCCAGATTCGGTTATCGGTGCCGCCGTAACGATGCGCGGGAACGGCGCCGGACAGCAAGGCGCGGACGTTGTCGAGTGTAAGGTTGAGCTTGCCGTCTTCTTGTCTGTACGCGGCAAAATCCTTGGCTGTGATGGGCTGGGTCGGTTTGTAGTGGGCGGAGGTCGGGGGTCGGAAGAGGGAGTCGAGGCACTTGAAGGTGTCAGGATCGCTGGTCTTGAGATCGGCGACGATCTGGGCGGCGCTCAAGGTGGGTGTGGGAGGCGGAGACGGCTCGCCAGGCGACTGCAATGGCAGTCCTTGGCTGGCTGGCACCTTCGTTGGCGTTGCTGGCTTGGAAGCCTTCGCCTCCTTCGCAGCTGGCTCCGTCTTCACCGCCACAGGTGGAGTCGAAACCTGCTGCGGTGTGACCGGCCGGCTCGCTGTGGGCGTGGACTCTCCCGTTGCAGTCGCGGCAGCCGCAGGAGCTTTGGGTTTCGGTGGCTTCGGTTCCTTCTCCTTCTTCGTTTTCTTCTTCCGACTGACGATGGCCTCCTGAGCGGGCTCTTCTGGCGCAGTTTTCGTCACTTCTTCAATATTCCCCATCACCTCCTCCACCATCTTCGCGCGCCGTTCCTTCTTCAGCTGGTTCTTCGTCTTAGCCTTGACTGGCGCGCTGCCGACCTTGCTGCTCCCAGCCGCGGGCGGCGGCGAGTTCGCCCGCGACTGCGAAGCAGACGTCATGGACAAATTGTCCGAGACGGAGACATGCTCGCTTGAAGGTGTCCCGGGCGGATGGATAGAGGCCACACTGGGCTTGCGGGAAGGCGCCTTCGCAGGAACCGGAGGTACAGCAGGTAGTGGCTCTTTTGGAGTCGTTACACCCGAGGGAGGGGTCTCGGTCTTTGGTGTAGCCACTACGCGCAAAGTCTTTGGCGCGGCTTTAACAGCTGGTGAGGCGACACTAGGAGACTCTACTTTGGAAGTGGCTGGTGAAGCTGCTACTTGCTGCTCTTTGGCTGGCCCCGGGGTCTCCGTTGCCTTCTTCGATGATGGTGCGACATTGTCATCCTTGGTGGCCGCAGAGATGTCGAGCTTGCCAGGTGGCTGCTTTCGCTTCTGCTGTTGATCGTTCTTAGGAGCTTCCGCCTTTCGTGGTGTGGCGGGCGCTGCTTGCGTACTGGACGACTGAACGGTCGCTTGACCTTTGGCAGCGGGTTGTGTGGCTTTTGATACAGGAGGCGCAGTCTTCTGCGTCTGCACGTTTGTTTGCTCCGCTGCTTTTGGCGGTGCGACCTTTGCGCGCGCTGCATTGTCAGTAGACGGCTGCTTTTCTGCATCACTTCTACCAGACCCCATCTGCGGCAAAGCAACGTCTGTCTGCGCCGCTTGCTTGTTCGAAACATCCTTGACCTCTGTTTTCGCCTCACCTTGCGCTGGCGGCTCTTCCTTGTTCGTTGCACCCGCCTTAGGAGCCTTCGTGGGCGTCTCCATGTCCTGCTTAGCCTTCACATCTATTTTGGGCGTCACCGTCGGCGTCACAGCCCGAATCGGAGTCGCAGGTCTCAACGGCACGGCGGGCATGATTTGACTACTCCCGATCCGCCTCAAACTTGCTCGACTGCTTGGACGGGACGGGACACCTTCGAGCGCGGCAGGGACAGCGGTTGCTGGCTTTGTCGCACTTGAGGCCGCCGTGGTTGACGACACAGGAGCAGCTGAAGATGATGCAGGCGTAGCCGCTGGGCTGCCTACAGCACCAGGATCCACGGCCGCACCCTTGGGCACCATGCCAAGCCCACCAAGCTCACCAACCGGCTTCGAGAGTCCTGGCGGAGCAACAGGTGTGCCTCGTCCACTTGCAAGCTCGCCTCTGGCATGTGCTTCGAATCCAGGTGGAACTGGTGGTGTCGATCTGCCGAGAGATGAAATGCTTTGTTGGCGACTTGGGCCTCCGAGTGAAGCGCTGAGGGGAGGAAAGTCGGTGTCGTCTGTGAAGCGTGAAGATCAGCATGTGCTTGACAACCAAGACGAGTGATGTGAGAGTGAAGAGGGTAGGTGATGTCCGCAGCGGTGACAGCGTGACGGCGGCGAGTCGGCTGGCGCAGCGGCAGGCCGGCAGCATGTGAAGACAGCGTGCGCTACCCATCAGTGGCAGCAGCAGCAGCAGCAGCAGCAGCAAAGGAAGAAAAGCACAACGCTACTACAAACAAGCAGACTAGTTACAGTGGCTTCATGATTTCTCACGTGCCATTGAACCAAGAGAGCAGGAAGTGAAAGAGGAAAGGAGGATGGTAAGAACTACTCTTCCGTCAATCTATCAGCCACTAAGTAAGTGATGTGAGCAGTATGAGTACGTACATCCGATGGCTTGAGTGGCGTGATGAGAGACCGTGAAGAGCAGCTCCATCCCCTCAAAAGCAAGGAACGCCATATGCCAATGCCAAAGACGCTCTGATCGTAGACGGCAGAGCTAACGGCGTGGACGGCAACCAACACTTGGGTGCCCGTCGCTCGCCAGCCAGTGCCCGTCTGATGATTCTTGCTCCCGAACACCTTGCCAAAAGGATGAAAAACCACAGTATGCAAGCCAATGAAACAATCCCGACGAACGCGACAAGAAACCATGTCCGAGTGCTGCTGCTGCTGCTGCTGCTGCTGTTCCCACCACTGCTGTTGCCGTGCTGGCTCAATCGAGCCTACCACCGTCCGCCGTATCCGTTGCCGCCGTGCATGCCGCCGTACAGGCCACCTCCACCGCCTCCGGCGCCAGCAGCTTGAGAGCCGCCGAAGCCACCGCCCTGAGCGAAGCGCGACTGCAGCAAGTGACTGGCATCGTTGGCGGGATCGACCAGCCCTGCACCGCCGGACGAAGACGAAGTCTGCGCGTGCCGATGCTTCTTGCTCTTCTTCTTGCGCTGCTTCTCCTCGCCACTAAACGAGCTGAGCGACGCATACGAAGGCGGGCCGGTGGGAAAGCTGGGGTTGCCTTGCCCGCTGGCATTGTGGAAGGAGGCGGTGGAGTGTGCTGTTGGATAGTTAGAAAAGGAACCAAACTCACGTTTAGAAGCGTCGCCTCCATCACCACGCGTGCGGAGGAGGTTGCGCATCATCTCTTCGTTGGCGTTGCGTCCGCCGACGTTCGCGCCGTACTGTAGGCCTCCGGTAGCGAAACCGTGGCCTTGTCCAAAGGTCATGCCGCCAGAAACTGGTGGAGTCCCGGTTGTCTTAAGTCCTGGTGGTGGCCCCTGTACGTTACTGGTGTAGAATTGGTTGCCATGGGGCTGATGCTGTGCACTGAAATGATTGCCTCCGGTTGGCGGCATAATGGAGGATTGCTGGTTGAGGAGCTTGGCATTGGCCACCGGTTTGACTGACGTGGATGCAGACGATTCGTTGGCGAAGGAATATCGGGATGCATTGCGCTGGTGGCCAGGAGGGTGATTCGGCTGCTGGAAAGATGAAGGCTGATTGCTGTTTAGGTACGAGCCTTGCCCTCCTTGTCCCTTCATTAGAAGCAGCTGCTGTTGCTGCTGTTGCGTCATTCCTCGGCCATCGCTCACCGGACTTGAGATGCCACCGAATTGAAACCTCTGGTCGAGCAAGCCGTCGGTCCCAGGTGGCTGGATTGCGCTTGTCGGCTGACTGAGACTCGCCCGGTCTTCCGGCTCACCTCCCAATTGCAAGCTGCCGCCAAGTCCGGCGCTGTCATCTGTGTCGAGTGTGGGAGGTTGCCGAAACGCCTGTGCTGCTTCTTCCTCCGTTCTCCTTTCCTCTTCTTCCCGCAACCTTCTTTGCCGTCTTCTTGCACCGCCGTTCTTGTCGAACAAAGGTGGGTAGCGGTCAATCGCGTCCAGGTCTGCTTGTGGTAGTGCACTAACAGAAAAGGCGAACTTCAGATCGTCGATGTGGAAGTTTTTGACTAGTGCAACGAGCGGTGACACTTCTCGGGGCCGACGCGGTTTCGGTGGCTTGGACGCAGGCTGTGCAGTAGTTTCTGGGGCAGGCGCGGGAGCTGCAGCTTGTTCTTGTGTGGGTTCGGGGGCCGTCTGCGCTGGGGTCGCATGCGCCACCGCCGGGCTGTCCATCGTTGTACTCGTCGACCGGCTCTCAGATCGAACAGGCAGAGTGTTCGGCGGTCTTGACGCCCAGCTGGCGGTGGAGGGAAGTGCTGGTCGGGCAACAGCAGGACTCTCTGGCCGGTCTCCGCTGGATTGTCGCGCCATAGGTTGGCTGGCAGATGCAGAAGCAACGGGTTGCTGGGACTGTGGAGGAGGGCGAGACGATGATTGTGAGGAGCCTGCGTTCAGCGCGGATAGACCTTCTCTGGAGTAGCTTTCGCCGGCTTCTCCTGGCTCATGCAGGAACATGCATTGTCGATTTGTGCAAGTCTCGCCCCTCAGGTATGCAGAGCAATACTTGGTAGTACCATACTGAGCACGGAGTGTCCTCTCGCCGTTCTGCGTGCCGTTGACCATAGCAATGCACGTTGCCGCATCCTCTTTGCGCTCGTACGTCACATAAACGCCGACTGATTGTGGATGGGAAATGTCCTTGGCCTTGCTGACGACGATTTTGATAATCTTTCCATATTGGCCAAAGTACTCATTCCCGCGCAAAGTGGCCAGCAGCTTGTCTTCCTGGAAGTTCGGACTGAGCCCCGTCACATAAACGAGGTTCTTCTGGACCACACGCAGGCCGGCGAGATGCTTTCGACTGAGGTTGTCTGCTTCCACTTTCTGCTTCTCCTTCTGTAAGGCGGCCTGAGTCTTCTTGTGCTTCTGCGCCTGCCGGGCCTTGTACGCGGCTTGCTCCTCGGCAGTGATGGGTTCGAGTACAATGTCCTCATCATTGTACGGTCGGCGACAGGCGGGGCATCGGCCGTTCATGTTGTTCTTGACATTGTTGTAGCAGAATCGGCATACCTGATGAAAGTGTTAGTCCAGCTGCGTACTCACTGATCATGCGCATTGTCTGAAAAATTTACTTGATAGCCACAGGGGCAAGGCCGGAATGACTTGTCGTCCAGATCGAAGTCCTGATATGCGTCAGCAAATGTCGAGCGTGATAGGTGTGGAGGTGTAGGCTTGTACCTCGACGCAGAGCGGACAGCTTTCCTCCTCGTCATCGTCGATGAACTGATCCTGCTGGGCTTTGGACATGTCGGAGACTGGTTGGAGCAGACTCGGATTGACGTGGAGCGTCGCCGGGCGGATGTAGGGAGAGAGGGGTGGGAGTCGTGGCGGAGGTGACGGAGGTGACGTGACGCGCCTCCTGCGCGGTGAAGAGAGACGTGCGCACCGGGGAGTTGGTGTTGGTGCGCCAGAGTGACGGTGGGGCGGAAGAGAGGGGGTGGTCGGATGGAGGGTGGCGGTGGTGATGGCAATGTGGCAGGAGGTGTCTTGGAGGTGGTGTGTAACCAGGGCACTCGGTTTGAGGTTGGCTGCTGGCAGAAGATGCTCGTTTGACGCTAGTGGCTTAGCTGAGTCACGTGATGGGTGGTGACACTTCGAAGCTCTACATAGAAGGCGAGGTCAAGATAGACTGTCATCTTGACCCTACACCCCAGAATGGCCGGACGACAGTCTTTAACACGACCGCTGCGGTCAGCGGCTACCATCGCTCGCAGTCAGACCGCACCGAGCAATGCGACAAGAGCGTTCACGTCGACAGCGTTACGAGGCAAAGAGATAGCTGGTCAACATCCGGATCTACCCAATCTACGACATGCACAGCGTGGCGCACAAGGCAGATTGCATGTGCCTATAGTCAATCCGGCCGGTAGGATATAGCAGTATGAAGGGGAAAGCATATCGCTAACAACGGCGACCAGACAAGTACCAGGAGAAGGCGGATAGCCTGCACCAGTACGGGCAATACCTGCTCTCATGCCTCCCCAAATACATTCAGCAGTACGGACAGGATCGATCCGCTACACACACGTGGATGCTAACGAAACGCCAGATTCTCCGTGTGGAAGGACGAGCTCACAATCTACATCCCCCCATCCGGTGTCCTCCCGACCTTCAACTTCCTCAAATACCACACCGCCGCCGAGTTCACGATGGTCGCGGACATCACCGCTGTCGACTACCCCACCCGCGACGCCCGCTTCGAGATCGTCTACAACATGCTGTCCGTCCGTCACAATGCGCGCATCAGGGTAAAGACATACGCGGATGAGGCGACACCTGTACCGAGCATTACCAGCTTGTACGATGGAGCGAACTGGTACGAGAGAGAGGTCTACGATCTCTTCGGCGTCTTCTTCGTGGGACATCCGGATCTGAGGAGGATCATGACGGATTATGGCTTTGACGGACATCCTCTGCGGAAAGACTTCCCGCTTACGGGGTACACGGAGATCAGATACGACGAGGAGAAGAAGCGCATTGTGGTCGAGCCGCTGGAGTTGACGCAGGCGTTCAGGAACTTTGAGGGTGGAACGGCCAGCTGGGAGCAGGTTGGGCCGGGCAGGGACAGGAAGCCGGAGACGGTAAGTCGCGCACCTTCAACTGCACATTTAGGGAGATGCGGAAATATCAAGCTAACAACGCGGACAGTTCAAGCTTCCTACACCGAAGCCTGAGCCACCGAAAGAGGGCGAGCAGAAGAAGTAGGGGAAGGTGTAAGCGGATGGCAGAGGTTGTATAGAATATCCTATACATACGTAAGCATACAACAACCATCAGCGCAGTCCACCATTGCTACTTCCTTCATCATTGATCTCGAGGCAAGCTCCCATCGCCTACATCTAGCTGCTTCGACAATGTTTCCAGATTCGGCTAACCTTCTGCGCGTCAACGATCGGAGCAGCCGGAGTTCGGAAAATTCTACCTATATCGACCACCACACTTCATCTCTAGCAGCCAAAGGTAATCGCAGATAACATTAATACTGGGCGGTCCAAGTCTTCAGACATCTATGTTTTCGAAGGCATTTCTATCTTCGATTCAATTGCACCTTCAACATTTTTAAGTCCGTTTTTCATCGTCTCATTTCACGAGAAGATTAAAGAATACCTTTAAACATATGTACTAAAGCAAATTCCTTCGAAACAGCCAACGAGGCTATTATCGACAGACTTCGAGCAGAACAACTTGATCGACAATGTCCACCGACCGCGATGCCTTGACCTCTCGAGAGATCCCATTCATGAATCTCTCAAATGTCTCCGACCCAAATTGTCTTACGCACCCACCACGACCATTACCCAAGACGCTACCTGCAGCCGAACGAGCAGCAGCACGCTTCGCCGTGGAAGGCAATGTTGTCAGTCAGTCTTACCAGCCGCCAACCTCCCAATAATCTCCATACTGATCCTCCCACAGTAACCGGCGGCGCCGGCACCCTCGCTCTCTCCACCGCCCGCGCCCTCCTCGAACACGGCGCCACCGGCATCGCGCTCTGGGACCTCGAAACCACCCTCCGCTCCTCCCAATCCGCCATCCACAGCCTCGCCACCTCCTTCCCCAACGCACGCATCTTCGGCGTCAGCGCCGACGTCACCTCCAAGGACTCTATTGCCGAGGGCATCACTGCGACGGTCCAGACGTTGGGTTCTGTAGACCATCTGTTCTGCTTCGCTGGTATTGTTGGATGTTTTAACGCGATGGAGATGACGGAGACGCAGTGGAGGTCTACGCTGGATGTTAACACTACGGGCGCTTTTCTGACTGCACAGGCGTGCGCGAAGCAGATGGCGATTCAGCAGCGCGGATCGCCCGGTTGCAGCATCACGCTCACAGCGTCCATCTCTGGACATAGGGTCAACTTCCCGCAACCGCAGGCGGCGTATAATGTTTCTAAAGCCGCGCTCATCAGCCTCAAATCCTCCTTAGCCGCCGAATGGGCCGTTCATGGCATCAGAGTCAACAGCATCAGCCCTGGCTACATGGACACGGTCCTCAACGCCGGCGAAGGCAGGATCGCGGAGATGAGGCAGTCGTGGGCTGATCGGAATCCTATGGGCCGGATGGGGGCCGTAGGGGAGCTGGATGGGATTTGTGTTTTATTGGCATCGAGAGCCGGGAGTTATATGAATGGGGCAGACTTTGTGGTTGACGGAGGGGCCTGTTGCTTCTGAGTGGAGTCAAATAAAGGACACCGGCTAGCAATGAGTTTTGAACTTGGACAAGATGATTCAGAGATTTACAGGGAGATAAAAGATAGGTGTTGTCGTCTGCGGCTATGTAAAATCACTGGGTCCGCATTATCACAGCTTTTGCGCTGGAGTAGCATACAATGGCCACAGTTTCTGTAGTCAAAAAAACAACAACAACGACCATTACCGCCGCGAGCAGTCTTTCAACCAGTGTTTCACTTACTTCTACCACATCACTGCTTCTCATGTCGTGACAGCGTCTGGCGTACCTGAGCCCACAGGTACATGTAGGCAAAGCTATTCTGAGCTCCCATAGCTACTAGGTCGTACCACACACGAAGACTACCATCCCCTCCGCCGTTGTAGGCGAATTCGAAGTTTGCGAATCCTTGAGGCAGATTTACGTGCAACTGTGGTGGTGGCGTTTGGAAGCGGATGACAGCGAGTCAAAAACATCACGGGCTCTTGATTCATCACGTCTTCCACATCGATGATCAAACCGAAAATGACTGACCTGCTTTGGACTAGAAGAGGAACAAACTAGCCCCTTGATACCGTGAGAGAGGGGGCTTTCGGTGTTGTTGCTGGCCTAGCTCTGGCGAGAAACTTAGCATGTACAATTTCGAAGATGGGTACGGGGTACTTCTCAGTGCATGATCCTCATACTATACGCCTCGACCTCGCCACCTTCATGAGCATGCCTTGGCCTCCATCTTTGCAATGTCGGAAGCTTGCGCTCCCTGCCCGTCCGATTGATCAACTCGTGATACCTTCCTGTAGCGCATACTGCGACGCGCACCACCTTGAAGAACACCGATGCTGCCAAGCACTGAACCAAATATGCCATGCCATGCCATGCCATGCCGTCCCGCTCAATACTCCTCCCCTCCGCCGCTGCCGCCGCCGTACTTCCACGTCTTCCGCGCCTGATCCTTCTGCATCGGTTTACCTGATCCCGTGAATCCGACCCTCGCGTTCGGCAGATCCGGCGTGCGGAACTGACTCTCTTTGCCCAACTTTGACGACCCGAACCCCGTCTTCTTCGGCCCCGCCTTCTGGAAGTCCTGCCAGTTGCTCTTACCTTTCTCGAGCACCTTGTTGCCCTTCAGCTTCTTCGGCTCCGGCGCCATCCTCGTGGGCCCATCGCTGACCTTGCTCGGCTCACGCTTCTGTACGAGGGTCGGGTCAACTGATGGCGCTGCCGAGATGACACTCCCGTTCTGCGCTGGCTTTGGCGACGCTGGTGGCTGTACCGTTGGCGTGGAGACTGCTGGAGAGCCGTCAGCTTTGCGCTTCTTGCTGTTATCAATGAAGGCGCGAATCTCGTGCTTGCGCTTCGTCTCCGTGTTGCCGTAGCCTTTGAAGGTGACTTTGTATACTGGGTCGGTCGAGCTGCCGGTCTTGCTGACGATGGTCGCTTGGTACCACTGCTTGTCTTCTGCCCACTTGGCCATGACGGTGTCTTTGACGTTAAAGGTGGTCTGCTGCGCTTCGTCTGGCGGCGGAGGCGGGGCGTCCGGGGACTGTTTGCGGAACTTGGGATGCTTGCTCATGTCGTACTTTGGTGTGACTGCTGCATCGTCGCTCGGTGGTGGGGGAGGGGGTGCTGCCCTCTGTTCGACCTTCTTCGCTGCGATCTGGGCTTTGAGGTCGGCGATGGCTTCTTCCAGGACGGGGACGGTCTCGAGGGCGTCTTCTGAAGTCGGATCCAGCGCCAGCATTTCGTTGCATGTCTTGAGGTCGTCATATTGGCTGGCGAGCTCTGCCTCGAACTCGGCGAGTGTGCTCATCCTGGGCTTAGTTTGGCCTTCGCTGGGTGGACGGGGTGGTGTATATGCGTTGCGAGTTAATGTGTGTCGCTGTTCCGCTCGCAGAGTTCACCTCACTGTGTGGGAAGTTGCTTCAAGACTGCGAAGTCGCAGGTCATTGCGGAGGGAATGACTAATTCTAGCACGTGACTATCGACTTTATGTTGACCTCACCTAGCGAACAGCATGAATATACGGTGCTCAGCACATAGTTGCTTCGAACGTCTTTTCCTTTCGAGTTCTTCGTCGAGTAGCCGAGGCGGTGACTCCATATCAAACACATCTAGATGGACCATACAAATGGTCTAGAACACCAGGAGGAAAGGACTCGGACTTTTCACCGCTCCAGCCCCGACGCTTGCTGAGAAATCAACGTCGACCACACGATCGCGAGAGGCTTCCACAGGAGTCTCACAACACTGACATCCTGGCAAGGCTCTCCTGCGAGCCAGTCAATTGCTCCAATTGCTCTTCGCCCCCTCAATCCGCGCACTCCCACTGCTCCCAGGCACGGCGAGGTGGAGGCGGAGCCAATCTCACAGTGCAGGAGCTGGACCCTTCGCAGAGACTGCAATAGGCCAAGGTGTCAGACCAGAGTTTCGCTACCATTACGTCGTTGTTGTTCTTCAACCTCAACTGAACATCTTCCTCTCTGCTTGTTCCCCAGAAATTCACCAACGACGAGAGTAGACCGGAGGAGTGCTCAAGGGCGTAGCCAAAGGTGAGCTACCTTGTCCAATCTGTACCCCGCCGCAGCACTCGCACGCAAGAAGTCAGCCGCCCACGATCGCTTTCTAGCCGCACCCTTTTCTCACTTCATCAATCGCGCACTTCACATTTCCATCATTAACATTCGCGCTCGCAATGGTATTGTACCCCACCGCTGACGAGATCCGACAGCGACAAGAGAAGGTCGCATCAGCCAGAGCCTCCCTTCAGTCTATGGCCGGTCAGCAAGGCCAATCCTCCCAACAACGCGATCGATATCTCTCGCCGAACCAACAGGATCTTCTCCTCGCCGCACTGACCTCCCAAGCGGGCAAGAACACGCAGACTTCCGAACAGGTTGGGGACGAACGATTTGGAAATCCAGCAAAATCCGAGCCAGCCGCAACGATGACCAACACCAATGGCAACGGGCTCTACATGAGCCCGCAGCAAGCCGAGCTTGACAGCTTCAACGCGGACTACACTCCAGACCTCGACTACCTCGACGGCGACAATTTCGACTTTGAAGATGCCGATCTTGGTGGAGAGATGATTGGCGCTCTCCCAAGCGAGCTTCACGAGAAGAGGAAGATGTCGGAAGACGACGGAGATGAAGAGGAAGGTGACGCCAAGCGACAAGAGACCCAGGAAGGAGAGAAGAGCGCAAAGAAGCCTGGTCGGAAGCCTCTAACGAACGAGCCGACGACTGTAAGGATAGTCACTCAGAAGACACTTGACATGTACTAACTCATCTCACAGAAAAGAAAGGCCCAAAATCGAGCCGCTCAACGTGCATTCCGCGAGCGCAAGGAGAAGCACCTCAAAGACCTCGAGACCACGGTCACTGACCTCACCAAAGCGAAGGAAGCTGATAAGCATGAGAACGGCCTGCTCAAAGCTCAAATTGAGCGTCTTCAAATCGAGCTGCGAGAATACCGGAAGCGCCTGACATTGAATGGCGGATCCGGCGCCAACCGTTCTCCTCCGCTCTCCGGTACTGGCGCTCCAGGAAGGACCAACAGCGGGTCTCCAAATTATGGTGGTAGCGCTTTCAGCTTTGACTTTCCCAAGTTTGGCGCTCTCCCGGGCAGCCAGATCTTTGGCAACCAGAGCTACAACAACTCGAGCGGTAGTCTTGCACAGCGTGATAGTGTCACGCCGCCAATTACTCAGTCTCCTAGCAACAATGGAAGCTTCAGCGGCCCTTCAAACCGTCAGCAGTCGCAAGCACAGTCCCAATCGCAGTCGAGATCTGGCAGCACGGGTCGTAGCATGAGCCCACGGAGCGCATCTGCCTCCAACCATGCCAGTCCTTCGTCGCAGCCCGGAAACATCAATCCCGCCTTTACTACTTACAGCACCAACAACAACATGCACGGATTTGCCAGCACTCTTCCTCAGATGAACGGCAATGGGAACGATCCGTTTGGCGACCTTTTCAGCCCAAGCATTTTGAAGACGTCGAGTGTTGACAGCAATGGCAATTACTTCAACAACACTCCACAGACGAATGGATCAGCCAAGGTGGACAACTCTGGCGGTGGTGAGACGATAGCCGGCCTCAACCGAGTCTTCCAATTCAACAGCAACGGCAGCACGAGCGATAGTGCTTCGCCAAGCGCAAGCTCTGCAAGTCAGTGGAACGCCAACGCCAACAGCTCCTGCGACACTTCGCCTGAGCCATCCCACGATAGCCCCGCCAACAAATCCAAGGGCGCAGACACGTTCTACGACCAGAACGACGTGTCCAAGAATGGGTCTGGACAGCTCAACACCAATCAATCCTTCAACAACCAGCAGTTTGGTGACGGCGCCTACAATATGCCATCACTCGACACCTTTGATCCAGTGCTCTTTGGCGGCTACAGAGAGGACCAAGATCCTCTCCTCAACGGCGGTGATTTCACTGGAGGCTTCTTCGACGAAGCACTGAACCCCGCTCCTTTCGATTTGGGATCTCCCAGTAACCTCTTCGGCATTCTGCAGTCCCCGCAGCAGACGAACTCATCGCTCAATGCTCCCAGCGGCGCCGCGAATGCGCCAACACCCAGTAGGAACCTCATGGCTGAGATGGACAAGGCGAGGGACGGTGGAGATGATGACTACGGGCTTCCCGGCTGTGCGGGCAGTAGTCCTGCTCCCAGCAAGGCGACCGACAGTGGCAAGCTCATTAGCTGCAACAACATTTGGTAAGTTCAGACACTCCTACAGCCCGTGTATTACGCATTGCTAATAAACTGCAGGAACCAACTCCAATCCAACCCCGACTTTCAAGAAGGCAAATTCGACCTCGACGGCCTGTGCTCCGAACTGCGCGCCAAAGCCCGCTGCTCCGAGTCAGGCGTCATGGTCGACCAGCAGCATGTGGACGCCGCTCTGCGCAAGCTGGGCAAGAAGGATGATAAGACCGGCCAGAGCTTTGAGGCTCCAGCAGGGCTCATGTTTGAGCAGGAGAGCTGGGATAACGTGCTGAAGAGGCTTGGTGGTAGCGGCTAGATCGCAGTCACGGGGAGTATCGTGGACGGGGGTGTGCTATACGGGCGGTGTTGATGCTCCATACGGCGTCAAGGAAGAGGACTGCTCCGTGTTTGGGTTGGCGTTCGACGGAACAATTACGAAGGCAATTCTACGAGGACATCTGCGCGAAAGCTGGCTAGTTGAGTCTGTAAGCTATACAAGACCGCGATGACACAACTCCCTGCTTTTGTGACTCCAAGTCGCGGAGTCCATTCGTGCCTTGTTCAAGTAGACGTCCACGTGCTTTCGAAACTCGACGTTCAGACTGTGGCCCGTCGTTGGGCGTCGATACCGGACAGCCATTCTCTTGACCTACCTTCCTCGAGCTCTTTTGTCAACACTTAACCTTGACCACTTACTTCAATATGGCTCAGCCACCAAGAGAAAACCACGTCCGAGTAGGCGTCGGCGTCTTCGTCTTCAAAGACCATAATGATGCTCATTTCGTCCTGGGAAAGCGGAAGGCCAGTCTTGGTGCAGGTATCACATCATCATCTGCCAATCTCGAGCATCGGCAGCTCCAGCTAACACCAGTCCCAGGCACATACTCCCTGCCAGGCGGGCATCTGGAGTTCGGTGAGACGTTTGAGCAGTGCGCCGTGCGCGAGGTGAAGGAGGAAACGGGGCTGGAGATCGGGGAGGTGAGGTATCTGACTACGGTAGAGACGACGTGGGAGGAGGAGGGGAAGCAGTATGTCACTATCTTCATGGCTGGGTGTGCGAAGGCGGGGCACGATGGGGGTGAGGCGGTACCGCAGGTCGGTTCAGTTGATACCTTATGCAGTCGGAACGAGGGACAGCAGGCTGACATAGGGTCAAGGTTTTGGAGCCCGATAAGTGTGGGGGTTGGGAATGGAAGACGATCGAGGAGACGATATCGATCGGGCAAAGGGATCTGTTCAAGCCAATCTGGAGTCTGTGGGAACAACGGCCGACGATGATAACTGCACTAGAAGGGGGGTATGAAACTGCTGCTGGCCCTGACAGCTGAGATCCAGTCTATCATCTAATCGCATCAATCGGACGCCATGAGCACCCATAAGCTGGAGTGCTTCCGATCGGATGCACCTCCACGTCAGTTACTTTCGTACATGCTCCATGGTGTGCAAGACCATCGCCCAGAAATATACAATAGTCTCCCTCGGACGAGGGCTGTGCATGTTGGCACACCAGGCACATGTCTGCCTTGAGATCCTGTGGGCGTGAATGTGGTGGAGTCTTGGTGGACCAGATTCTTCGATTCATTATAGCCTCATTAAGAAGGGAAGAACAAATCAGCATCCGTCTGGAGATGTAGTGGAAATGTACTGCGTTAAAGGATTGGTGGTAATGTTGTACCTTAGCTGTTGTTGTAAATGGTCCAAAGGCGATCTGCCGCTCCTTCCTATTAGGGCGGTCTGCGGGGCTAGCATTGGAGAAGTACATAGATCCCGAGGTGCAGCTTGATGCAGATGACGAGCGGACTTGAGCTTGTTTGAGGCTGCTGTCGCTGCTGTCTCCGACTACGCTCGACGACGTCCACGATCCCTTAGTTCTTTCTCCATTCACGTGTGCACAGCTATGGCAGCCATCCGCGTCGCTCCCACGCGAGCCCAACGAGCCGTCAAACTCCTCCGCACCATCAACTCCGGCACGAGCTCATGTCCGTGCCACTCCAACCCGGCACACCACCACCATGGCCCCGTCAACCCCTTCGCTGGGCGTAAGCGGTCGCTGGCCACGCCCGTGGACATGAGCCAGCAGAAAGAGTACGCGTTCGAGATGGCGGCGTCGTCGATCAGGTTTGGACCTGGTGTGACGAAGGAGGTGGGGATGGACTTTAAGAACATGGGTGCGAAGAAGGTCATGGTTGTTACGGACGGGACGGTGCAGAAGCTGGATGCTATGAAGCAGGTGCAAGAAGGATTGGAGCGTGAGGGTATCCCGTATGAGGTCTACAGCAAGTCAAGGGTGGAACCCAAGGACTATTCGTATGTCTCCAAACTCCGGATCATTTGCAAGGTCTAACAGTCACGCAGCATTCGAGAAGCAATCGACTTTGCGAAGCCATACCAACCAGACGCTTTTCTGGCAGTAGGAGGCGGAAGTGTGATTGATACGGCAAAGCTAATGAACCTCTACACCACATTCCCCGAAGCTGAATTCCTCGACTTCGTAAACGCTCCGTTAGGCAAAGGCAAGCCCATCACCGCAAAGCTGAAGCCTCTCATCGCCGTCCCTACCACCGCTGGCACTGGCTCTGAAACCACCGGAACCGCCATCTTCGACCTCGTCGATAAGAAGGCTAAGACCGGCATCGCGCATCGTAACCTCAAGCCCACGCTCGGTATCTGCGACCCCATCAACACCCGCACAATGCCTTCCGCCGTCCACGCCTCCTCCGGTCTCGACGTACTCTGCCACAGCTTAGAATCCTGGACCGCTATCCCCTACAACGAGCGAGTTCCACGTCCAACCAACCCAATCAACCGACCAGCCTACCAAGGCGCCAACCCCATCTCCGACATCTTCTCCCTCCAAGCCCTGCGCGATACGATCAAGTACCTCCCACGCGCGGTCAAGGATCCCGATGACTGGGAAGCTCAGAGCAAGATGCTGCTCGCCGCTACTCTCGCCGGCGTCGGTTTCGGCAACGCAGGCGTGCATCTCTGCCACGGCATGTCCTATCCCATATCCTCGCAGAACCCGGGCTACCAGCACTCGGGCTACTTGGTCGACTCACCCATCATCCCGCACGGTGTCTCTGTCGCCGTGACCGCACCAGCCGTCTTCCGCTTCACGGGCGCCTCGAATCCGGAACGCCATTTGCAAGCTGCAGAGTGCTTCGGCGTGGACATCAGCAACGTCAAGAAGGAATCGGCCGGTGAAGTGCTGAGTGAGGCGCTTGCAAACTTCTTGGTCGGGCTCGGAGACCAGCCGAGAGGACTGAAGGCACTGGGCTTCAACAACGGCCACGTGAATGGTTTGGTGGAGGGCACGATTCCGCAGGCGAGAGTGTTGATGTTGGCGCCGAATCTGGATACGAGCGGTGGGCAGGAGGAGAGGGAGCAGTTGACGGGGTTGTTTGAGGAGGCTATGGAGTATTAAGCATCGTGGAGGTGTGCACAAAATGTATTGCAAGCTGAATTTGCAAATTATGTATCGGCTGTTCATTGGACACACATGACGCTGGTCACTGGACATTCAATATCAGACACCCAGCGTAGGGGTGAGCATTCACAGTGCTGCTGTACCTGTTGAAAAGGTGCACATTCAGAGCTGATCGACCGCAATTTCTACGAGCGTCAATAGTCACGAACGTCGGAGAGGCACGTCGAAAGCACATTTCGTTCCAGGGGATTCATCAGTCTCAGAGACTACCTAATTCATATCGACATGTTCCCCATTAATCTATCTCATCGCTGGCCGTTCAGGCGTCCACATGCACCAGTCCTTTCCGCCCCAACACCCAAGCAAATGCAGCCACATCCCTTCCCAGCGCGCAGCCAGGGGAAACACTCATACTCCGATAGAACCATGCTTCTCTTCCTTCCACACACACAAACCACCCCAAAGCGAGCAGCAAGAACGCTAAGAAAGATGGAAAGCGCCCTGGCCCTCCCTGATCGCGACACCGAGCTTGTTCTTCATGATGTCAAAGGTGCTGTAGTCCGGCATCTTGAGGTAGTTGACGCAAGTCATGACGCTGGGCAAGTAGTCGTCCGACGTGTATGGCGGCTCGCTGGGCTTGCAGACGACGGTGAACATTGGCGTGAGCGATTTGAAGCCTAGAAACACAGGGTCAGCATGGATGCAATGGGAAATGAGGGTGGGAGATTGAGGCTCACCTCCAATCGGCAGCTTCGGACTGCCCGTAACGAACTGCAAGAAGTCGCGCTTCTGCGCTGGCTCGAGCTCCGACATGACTTGCAGCAGGTTGCGGACGCTCTTGCTGTCGAGGTTGTAGCCGTGGTCAGCCTTGATAGAGTCCATCAGCGTCTCCAAGGACCAGTCTTCTTCGACACGGCCGAAGAGCATGACGAGCTCGTCAGGCGTGAAGGCCCTAAGCGCCGTGTATGGGAAGACTTGCGAGAAGCCAGCGCGGAAAGCGTCGACTTGACGCTGAACACCGGCGCCCAGAGTGAAGTTGATGACCCGCTTGATGTAGTCTTCGACGTTGTCGAGCGTGACGTCCATCTGCTGACCTCCCGGGCAGAGCTCGATGTTGTTGTAGCCGGGTAGCGTGGAGTCCAGGCCCATGTCCTCGATGCGAGCATCATTGATGCGGATCTGCGAGATCTTCATGGTCTTCTGAGCATCGCTGAGGGTGGCGGTGTCCTCGATGCGCTGCTTGGCCGTGACGTATTTCTTCAGCACCTTGAGCGAGCGCGCCAGGTCCTGGTCGACAGCAGCGACAGCGCCGAGAGAAGGTGTCACAGCAGACTGCCCATCACCAACGCGGAAGAAGTTCGGGTTGAAGGACACATCAATGATGCGGGAGTCGAGCATAGAGCGAGCGACAAACTTGCCCAGCATCTTGAAGAGGTGCAACACCTTCTGCCCGCTCTCGCTCTTCGAGACAGCCTCGTCCATAGGAGCCGGGAAGAGTCCGCGGCGACCGAAGGCAAACTCCTTGACGCCGTCAGACTCATTCTCACGCCACATCTTGGTCTTCTTCTTGGAGAACTCCTTCGAGACCGTGGAGTAGAATTCCAAAGTTGGTCCAAGTCCAGTGCCGACCTCTTCAAAGTACTCAACTTCCAGTATGCTTGGTGATTGGCCATAGAGCTCCATGACCTTCATAGCAGACTCCAAGATGCGATTGCGAGAGATGCGAACCTTCTGGCGCTGAGCGCGGCCAAGGAACGGCCGCTCATCGCGATGGCGCCTGCTGTCGTTCGTGCTCTGCTCGTTCTGCCAGCGAGACATAGAGCGTGAGTAGCCAAACGATGTCGACTGCAAGAAAAGGTGGCGGGTTTCGAAGGGGAAGAGGAAAGGGTACAGGCGAGCCAGATCCTCAGACCAGTTCGGCAGGCACTGGCTGGCGACGATGAGAGGCTCTTCCAGCTGCCTGTTCAGCTTGGCAGTGAGCTTGGTGTTGACGAATTGGGAGAGCGGCTCAGAGTTGAGAGTGACCGTGGTCTTGTGCTCTGCCAAAACATCCTCGAGGTTGTTGTTCAGCTCGTGGAGGATGCTCATCAAACGCAGGATGTTCGAAGTGATCGGATGCTTGTCGAGCGAAGGTGGGAGGCCGGACTCAGAGAGTGCTTGCTCTGGTGCTGGGCTCAACGAGCTACGCTCAGCAGGAGGCGGGCCTTGTACACGCTTGAACTTGATGGTGTGTGTCGAGTGCCAGATGCTCCGCCCCGCAAACTCCTCACCATTGGCATTGTTGAAGTGGCAAGCTCGGTAGATGGTCGTCTCGCTCGTGATCGGCTGATCGTTGACGCTGAATTCGATGTGCCAGTCCTGCGGTGTTTGCAACGCGGCAGCGTACGAGGCGGGGCGCGAGGATGATGTTGGTGTCGATAGCATCTCCCGTGCCGCCAAAAGCCGTGCCGTGGCTGACATACGCTCACGCGCGGTGGGTGTTGCGGCTGGGGTATTGCCAGAAGGCGTGCCGACGCGTGCTCCGTCTTCAGTACGAGCAGTGACCTTGCCACTGTTCCCTGCTTCGATGTTGACAGCCGTTGGATCAGGAAGGTCTTGCTCCAAGCCACCTTCTTCGAGATCACCGATGAGAGCATCCATCTCAGCCTCAACGTCCTCGTCTTCTTCATCCGTGAGAGTGGTCTCATCAGCGCACTCGAGCGCCTCTTGCGAGTCTTCTGGCTCTTGAGTCACCGCTGGCGTCTCTTCGACGGGCGGCGCAGCGGGTGCAGTCTGGCCAGAGCGCTTCCTGGACGACCTGCGCAGACTACTGGGCTCTTCGGGCTTCGCGTTCTCACCTGGAGTAGCGGTGTCCGTCTTCGAGCCCTTAGACTTGGACTGCTTCTTCGACGCACTTCTAGTGGGCAGCGAGCTTCCAAGGCTTGGAACCGATGGTGGCGGCGGGCCACCGGGACCGCCTCGGCCTGACATGGCAGCTGCGTATGCGGCCATCGAGCCTGGAAAGTCGCGGGAGCGGGCTCCACGCGGGCGGTCTGACATGCTGAGACGCGGACGCAAGTAGTCATCCAAAGCCTTGAACGTCGCAATGGCATGAATCGCGACCATGATATTCCGGTAAGGACGGGCAATGCCAGAGTCATCGTCCGCGACCAGCTTGAGGCGAAGCTGCTTCGCAAGCATTGACGCTGCGCTGTTCCTGTTGCTTTCGAAGGCGTTGTGGCCCACGGTGACGACCTCAAAGTGCTCGGAGCGACTGAGTAAGTCCTGTAGCTTCAGAATGAGCACACTGAAAGCTGTCGATGGAGACTTGGCATCACCAGTCGCCAAGTTTGTGGTGTTCAGCGTGGTCATGAACACTTCCAGAAAGTCAGAGCGAGCTATGGTCGCACACTGCTCATTGCTGGCGTTGAAAACATCCAGCAAGGCGTCCACGATCCCAGAGCCCATCAATTCGTAGCTCGTAATGCTCTCCAGCGCATTACCGTCGAAGTACTTCACCAGACGTCGGAATAATGCAATCCCGTCGGGGTGGTGAACACCATCATAGCATGCACGAAGATCGGAGGCAAGGCCGACGAGATCCTCCAGAACCAACGTAGCTTTGGCCTTCAGCTCCTCGTTGCCGCCGGTGCCGTGAGCTTCGACGAATTGCTTTGCACGCATCGTGATGATATCCTGCATATCCAAGATGCGATGACCTTGCTGTGGGGAGGGCAGCTCGGAATCGTCAGATCGATCGTCACCATCACCATCACCTTCTCGGTCCTCGTCATCTTCACCACCTTCATCATCGTCCTCTTCTCGACGGGCAGCATCTTCGTCGGCATCCTGCTCGCCCTCTTCATCAGATTCATGCGGAACGATGTCGACGTCGATGGTCTCGGGCTCCTCATCGGCCATCTCCTCATCATGCTGCTCCAGCACTTCGACATCAGCCACCGTCGGAGCAGTCATGTCAGGCTTCGGCATGTCCGCCGTCGAAGCATCTGACTTAAGTTCCCGCTCCGCAAGCTTGTTGATCTCAGCCATGACACCCTCACGGTAGAACTGCGGCCGGTAGATGGCTTCCAGCCTCTTCAGGAGGAGCTCGGCAGCTTGGAGAGCGAATGTCACGAGGCTGTGATTCTCCTGCTGCGTTAGGATGGCCGCCAGGTGTGAGGCGTATGTGACGCCTTGTAAGGACTCTTCCAGGATCTCGGTCTCAAAGTTCGAAAGCATCTTAAGCTGAGCCGTCAACACCTTCTGCCGCACACTGAGATTCACAGTGCTAGTGTATGCATGCATGAGCGTGGGAAAAAGGATGATGGCAAAGCGCTTGACCTCCTGGGGACACTTCTTGAGCAACTCGACCCGCTTGTCGTTCGGCGACGTCTTAGATCGCGTCGACATCGAGACGTTGTCGGATACAGCGTAGCCTGCATCGTGGAGCTCATCCAGGAAGGTCAAGCCATCTCTGGAAACGGTGGGAAGGAGCTCGCAGATGACGTTTAGAGTCTCGAAGATCTGCTCGCGGGGTGTACGGATAACGGCCTGCATGATGATGTTCTTGTCGATTTGCGAGGCTGCGTTGTCAGTGCTAGCCGGTGCCGAGACTCCGGTGAGGATCTGGTAGAGCGTGTCCACGACGTTCATCTTCAGCAGCTCGACTGACAGACGTGGGCTGGCGCGCGATGTGATCGAGAGCGACCGCAAGAACTGAGTATGGATGTTCGAGCCAATCAAGTTGGTAGAGCCAGGTAGCAGCAGACGTAGGACGGCCTTGAGCAACTCTGGGCTGACAAGTTCTTCCAGCTTCGACTCGTTGTACTTGAAGCTGTCGATGACCCGGCACACGCAGAGCGAGGCCTGCTCGACCACCTTCTGGTCACTGCTTGCAAGTGTGTTGAGCAGGATCGGCATGACATCGCGGACTGTTGGAAAGGACTCTTCAGGTATGTTCCGGCAGCAATTCGCCGCTGTGGTCACGGCTGTCCTCTGAGTGCTGGTGGCGAAAAAGTCGAGGTATGTCAGACACGCGGTGAGACCACCCTCGCGAACGATGGATGATGGGAACTCAACAGAGATCTTCTCCAGAGTACTAAGCGCCTGCTCAGCAAGGTCGATGAAGTGGATCTCGAGCAGCTTTTGGCACAGCACCGGTACTGCGTTTCCGTAGACGACACTGGTGGTGGACGCAGGTAACGCCTCCATCATGTTGGCAATGCAGCGGCATGCGAGAAGCATGATTTCGGGATTCTCCTCGCCGGTGAAGTCGTTTGGCTGCATCAAAGTAACGAGCTCCTTGACGTACTGGTCAGGAGCGAAATGGCCAGCGAGGTTGTCTTCGTTAGAGACGAGTAGAAGCTCCGAGAGCTCGGTGAGGGCGATGAGCTGAACCGATGAGTCTTTGCTGCGGAGCTGCTCCAGCAGACCTCGCAGACGTGAGCTTGTACCGGCCATCATGCCGCTCAGAGCTCGTAGACTGCTGGACAGGCCACCAGGACCTCCACCCAAGCGGCCAAGGTAGCCACTCATGAACGGATCATCCCTCTCCATCGCGTCCAACTCGTCTTCTGTGAAGCGTCGTGGTGGGTCATCGGTACCATCAGCACCACCGCCAGTGTCTGGGTTCTCCTCCTCATCCTCGGGCTCGTCATCCTGTGGCTCGCCCGCCTTCTCGTCAACATCCGTCATCTGCACATCCTGGCCCTTCTTCGCGCTCTTCTTCGTCTTCTTGGAGCTTGACGCTGCCGCTGGTGCTGCTTGTGAAGGGTCTGGTAATACGTTAGCATTCGTACTCGCTTCTTGCGCCCCGCCAAGCGCACCTTCTTTGCTGCTCTTCCTTCTGCTCGACTTGCGGCGTGAAGAGTCACGTGGCGCCTGCTGTGGTGACGTCTCTCCAGATGTGCCCGAGGATGGTCTAGAAGAGTCAGCAGCTGAGGAGGAGCCTTGCTCAGCCAGGTGGGCGTGTGCGTACCCGCCACTTGACATAGCCGCTGCGGTGCTCTTCCTGCCGCCCTTCTTCTTTGCCTCGCGTGCTGGCTGGTCGGGCGTCTGCACCTCCTCGTCCCCACGTGCTCTCTTACTGCTGCGGGTTTCGCGTTGCGTGGGCGGGGAGGCTTCTGTTGGTGCCTTGCGTTTTCTGCTGGTGGTGGGTGCGGGCGGAGGGTCGGTGGTGGATGGAGGTGAGGTTTGGTCGTTGGATAGAGATTGCCTTGCGGCGGAGGCGCGCGTGAGTCTTTCAGACATGGATGGTCAGCAAGAATGTCGTGGCTGCTGATTTGTTGAGGTTGTGTGAGGTGGGTGTGTGTGTGTCAAGGTGGTAAGAAGTTGAAGACTCCGCAAGCATGGACTTTCGGAGGTGACTGCCGCTGCTCACTCAAAATTGCAAGGCATCGGCGGGGTCTCAAGCGGAGGCGGGAATATGGCACAGAGGGGGTAGGGTCGTGGAGCTTGATTGAAGATTGGATCGTACCTGCTGCTTTCTGAGGTGTCGTGCGTTCTGAATCCACCGCTATACATGGCCCATCCTTAAGCGAGCCGGTGACGGGAGCGGCCTTCTCGTGCGATTCAAGTGAAGAGTGGGAGAAGAAAGTGGTGAATTGGAGGCTCCCAAGTCACTGATGAAGTGCTCGTAGCAGGCCGTCTCTGCTCGGAGGAACACGTCGGAGGCAGAAGGGCAAGGATGTCCATGGCCAATCACCACTCTCGCTCGCGCCTTCCTTATCCAGCCAGACATTGGTTGCAGGTGAATGCAGGCAGGACATGAACCAGGAGTTTGCAATCTCGAGGTGCTCTACATTACAAGTACAGTATTGCTATCTACTTGCATATCATGACTTCAACACCCGTAGCAGAACTTCCTCCCCGTTCAGTCCTTCCACTCCGTCCTCCCCAATCTCACAACATCCGCCTGTCCAAGCAGTCGGAACTTCTCCTCCTGCTTGCCCTCCATACAGTCCAAGCCAGCCCTGACCGCAGCCTTTGCGACGACATCCGCATCCTGCGCCCAGAAGTCCTTCAGCCGGTTGCCACTGATGGCTCCTGCGCCTGCGGCAATCTTTCGGAACACCATCTCGCCGAACCGGCTCTCGTTCCTGTTCCCTACAAGCAGCCCTGGCCTGAGGACGACGAGATGATCAAAGTCGAGCGCTTTGACGGCTTCTTCGAGCTCACCTTTCCTGTTTGCAAATTCAGTCCACGAGGTGCCTTTCAAAGATCATTCTTGCGTACATCTTCGGATACCCAAGCGAGGATGAGGCGCTTGCACCGGTGGACGATATCAGCACATAATGCTTCGTGCCAGCTTCCTTGGCTGCCTTTGCCAGCTCAAGATTAAGATCGTAATCGATCTTGCGTTGATTTTCGAACCCGCCGGCTGCTCCTCTGGTGGTGCCCAGAGCTGAGATGAATAGTTCGGCACCTGATGGGAATTGAGATGGCCATGATGAGGTATCCTTCGAGACAAGTGGCTTGAGCTTCTCGCTGATGGGTAGGTCTTTCCGTGAGTATGCGTAGATGGTGTTGAAGTGCGGGTGTTTGGAGAGCACGGTGTAGATGTTAGATCCCTACCGTATGTTTAGTGCTTGTAGGCTGTGGCCATGTCCAAGTAGAGTCATCTCACCACCAAGCCCGTGCTGCCTACGAGACAGACTGTTGCCATGTTTAGGAGCCTTTGCGGTGCACAGGGACCGGGCCCTTCGAAGCAGCCGAGATTCCCTCGAATTCCACGAAATAACCTTAGACTTGGGAGTCAGGACAACTGGCACCGATAAGTCTGGATGTCGAATGGGAGGATTGTGTGCATGTATTTGTAGGAAGAAAGGTGAACGGGCGTTGGAGAGAGATGCATTGTACGTACGGGGCAGCTGCCGGCCGATGCGGCCCTGGTCCTTCCTTCTTACGGCCCTATCAAGATAACCACCTTCCGGACGACATGTGCATTAGCGATAATCGACCTTGATGAGCGGTGGACTTCGAAGACAGATGTGGCCTGAGACTTGAAGCAAGCGACCTTTTGCCACCTGCGCTCGTCTGCTCGTCCACAACACTGCCAGAACTTTCAGCGATCGTACTGGACATATCCACCACAATCCCACCAACACTCTGCCCGCTGGAGTCGTCGCGTGAGACATTTCTCATAACGCGGATCGCACTGTCCTCCTGGCGCATCATGCTGAATACCAGAGCCCTCGGAGAGGTCTTCAAAAAGCACAGCGATGACCGCCTCTACAAGCGCTGGTATCTGATGACCCCAAACGGTACCCTCCTCGCTTACAGGCAGCCGGCAGACATTTCAGACTTGCGTATGAACACCGCAAAGGCCGCTATCGTCTGGCAGGAACACCAAACTCCGCAGCGGTCTGAGTCCGCTACTGAGGATGACACTACCAAGGCCTCAATGCCCACCCTCTTGCGAACACTGACCGTGGAGGCGGAGTCTGGAAACACCATCATTCGCAAGATCCAGCCACAAATGCTTCTTGTTCTCGAAGGCGGCGTGCCGCCACGAAAGCGCACCTTTGAGCCTCGAGTCACACCCGAAGGACCAGGCGATGCGCCATATCCAACAGGCGCTGCTCAGCAGGCGGATTCCACACTTAATTCCTCTGCATCCTCAGTGGCAGAAAGCACGAAAAGCAGTGTCGTGCCTGGAGGCGTACTGGGCCTGCAGAGACGAAAGCTAGATGTGCTCGCCGCCATGATCGCGCAGAGTTTCGAGCAGACAGCATTTCGCATGCCTGATGAAGGGTCTACGAAGTACTTCTAGCCAACATCAAATGCGCTGCCCTACGCCTCAGGCGACCCAGGTGCTCTTCTTCAACCAGTGGCTCCACGTCTTTAGCCTGTGGGGCGTGGAGAGCAAACGCGGGGCTGGGGTTGAGCTGGCTGCATGTCGTGGTCTCTTGCTTTGCTGGACCTGTCATTGCTTGTGCGAAATACTTTTTCGCACACAGTAATATGTTGACAGACTGCTAGAAGACGATATCCTACCGCGGTTATTGCCACATCACGATCAGACCTACGCCGTGCTTGGAGCACCGTCCTACCCTACAGTGGCCGCTTATACACAGCACTAGGCCCTCACAATGGCTGAGACTAACGGGCATACCTCGAGACCTAGGGTCCTGATACCGGAGAAGGTTTCTCCGGATGGTCTTCGTCTGCTGCAGGAGACACTCGACGTTGACGAGAAGAAAGGTCTCACGCCGGATGAACTGAAAGACATCATTGGCGAGTATGACGCTCTCATCGTCCGCTCGGAGACCAAGGTGAACGCCCAACTGCTCGCCGCTGGCAAGAGACTCAAAGTTGTTGCTCGGGCAGGCGTGGGTGTGGACAATGTCGACCTGGAAGCGGCCACGAAGCTTGGCGTGATCGTGGTTAACTCACCACAAGGTAACATCAATGCTGCAGCTGAACATACCATTGCTCTCCTTATGGCTGTTGCTCGGAATGTTGGAAGCGCCTCTGTCAGTATCAAGAGCGGCAAGTGGGAGCGCAGCAAGCTCGTGGGAGTTGAGGTCAAAGGCAAGACGCTTTGCGTGCTCGGACTCGGCAAGGGTGTGTACCTTCCCTCTTTCTTTACACATGACCTCCCCGCTCACGATGCATAGTCGGCCTCACGGTTGCTCGAGCGGCCGGCGGATTAGGCATGAACCTCATGGCCTTCGATCCATACGCCAATCCTTCGCTTGCCGCATCAGCCAACGTTGAGCTGGTGTCGAGCATGGACGAATTGTTGGAGCAAGCAGACTTCTTGACGATCCATACGCCAATGATCGCCTCGACGAAGGGTATCATCGGCGCCTCAGAACTCTCGAAGATGAAGAAAACTGCACGAATCTTGAACGTTGCACGTGGCGGCATCGTCGATGAAAAGTCCCTTCTGGAAGCAATCGAGGCTGGGACTATCGCTGGAGCAGGTCTCGATGTCTTCACCGCAGAGCCACCGCAGCCAGGCGACACGGCGTCGAAGCTAATTGAGCATCCCAGCGTGGTCGCAACACCCCATCTCGGTGCCTCCACTGTAGAGGCACAGGAAAATGTCTCCATCGATGTCTGCACACAGGTCATTTCCATCCTCTCCGGTCAGCTGCCACGCTCCGCGGTCAACGCTCCCATTATCCTTCCGGAAGAGTACCGTACGCTTCAGCCATTTGTCACCCTGTTAGAGAAGATGGGTAGCCTGTACACCCAGCACTTCGGGCAGAACAACTCAACACAACGCTTGCGGACCACCTTCGAGCTGGTATATGAAGGCACGCTTGCTTCGACCAATAACACGAAACCTCTCTTCGCCTCTCTCGTGAAAGGCCTTGTCTCACCGGTGACCAGCACAGACAGCCTCAACATCAACATCGTCAACGCCGAGCTCGTGGCAAAAGAACGCGGCATCCTCATATCCGAGTCCAAGAGCCGCGAGAACCTGGAACAGGAAGGCTATTCTGCCTCCGTCACGCTCAAAGTGAGGCTGGACCCCCGCTCGCCCTCTGCTTCTCGCCGTGGCAATCCCATCGAAGGCGAACAGTCATCACAACGCAAGACGAAGATCCAAGACCAGATCATCACGGGTTTTGTGGTCAACAATCAGCCATATATCTCTCGTCTAGGCCGCTTCTCATGCCAATTCGTGCCCACCGGAACCTTACTGATCTGTAGAAACTACGACGAGCCTGGCAAGATCGGCGTAGTCGGCGAAAGACTGGGCAAGGCTGGTGTGAACATCCGCTTCATGAGTGTGGCGCCGATCGAACAAAACGGCAATAATGGTGGCGGGCTTACAGTCGACGGGCACGAAGCGAAGGAGAATGAAGCTCTAATGATTCTGGGCGTGGATAAGCCCGTGGATGAGGAGGTGAGGAAGAGTCTGATTGCTGGGGATGGCGTGGTGGAGGCCAGTGTGGTGTTGCTGTGAGCACTTGGAGCTTGATGCTTTTCTTTTGGTCTGAGGTTCAACCTCTTCGGGCATGGCGGGCTGGCGGTGGGAGGGGTAATGGTATGGTTCCGGAACTGCTCAACCAGACACTTTTTAGTAGAACTTAAAACTCGCCACAAGGGCTTCGACGAAACTGCAGTCACGAGCTCCGACTTGTCGTCTCCGTGCAAGCCAATGGCCTGGCGCTTTTGCTTTTGGAACCTCGTCACTTTCATCGAACCCCCCCAGGCTCCCTCATGCAGGTCGTCCACATTCTTCCTTCGTGGCGTTGCTGACTATTGCTCGTCGCTGCCCGTGAGAGCATGAACTACGTCGGACCTATTATGTTGCTGTTGGGCTGGTAACTTTGGCAACAACTCACCGTCAGATGCATCCTGACCTTGTCGAGAGAGCCTCTGGAGTCACCATCCATGATTAGATTCCGTACGCTGAACGATCCAGTACTCGCCTCGTGAGCGCTGACACTAAGGTTGCTAGCAACGACGTAGACTCGTAGATTCCACTATGCCGTTCGTAGGTTGTGCCCCGAGGATGGTGGCGACTCTTTTTGGTTGTTAGGACACATCGGTGCAGAAGAGATAGGTTGTTGGATGTGGGTGCACTACGGTCACCAGTATGCTCGAGTCAGAGCGGCGGATTGCCAGGGAGTCGAGCGAGGTTTCAAGAGGGAACTCGTGTACGAGTACTGGTTCCAGAGGAAAGGCGGAAATTGAGGGTGCGGCAGCCATGAAAAGGCTGAAGATAATACAAGCCAAAGAGACGCATCTTGAGTAGAAGAGCATTATGGGGACTGCTGGAGGGCCGTCGTCCCTGCGGTTGTTGGACTTTTGCTGATGTTGTTCTCGTGCCGCCGCATTCTTGCAATGATACAGGAAATGTGCCACTTACGCTTGGGTTGAGCCTTGGGATACGGGTGCTTAAACATGCCTTGGAGATCAGTCCACATGGCGATCTGCGCTATATTGTCAAGCAAGCGGTGCCCATCTTGCTTCGACCCTAATGCTTGACCATTGGCCTTCTGCTACGGTGACGACGGCGGGATACCGTCCGGCAAATGCCGTCTTGGAGTACAGTGTTGGGTCCCGTCTCCCTCTTGCCATGGGCGGAGGGACGAGGTATAGCAAAGTAGGAGCGAGGTGGCAGGCGAGGTGACGTTGAAGGAGTGGGGGCTTTCTCGGAGCGAGCCCGGTCTTCATCGCACCCATTATCAGTCAGCGTTGTTTAGTCAACACCACCACCATATCATACCACTGCCGCTACACTCTCATTCGAAGACGTTACACTCGACTCGCCAGACTAGATCTAGACCTTCTTCCAGCACACGGCCAGTCACACGAACCGTCGGCATCCCGAAGACCAGTGGAAGTTGCCTTCGCTGCTCGCGTGCCGATTGCGGCGGACGCCCGGCAATAAATTGATAGATATCACGCCAGACTCTGCAAGGCGACAAGCTTCTTCCTATCGCCAACATACTTGCCTTCAACCACCTCCCCTCGCCCCGCTCCCCTCCCTTCCGCCTCCCGCTCTCTCACCTCCGCCGCTCGCCCGTCGTAACACCAGGACTCACCCTTCTCGCTCGGAGCGGGCAACCGCTCACCACGGCCACCAAACATATCACCACCGCCGTGAAGCTGGACGACCACCCGACTGTTCTTCGCAACCTCATCCGCCCTCTCAACAAACCCTACATCCGACCACCGCCCCACATGGCCGACGACATGTCCCCCGACATGACCCTCGACGACTACGAATTCCCCACCTCCCGTTTGCGCCGGCGCATTCAGTCCGAAGACCGCACACCCCTCGTCCTGATTGCATGCGGCTCCTTTTCACCTCTCACCTTCCTTCATCTCCGCATGTTCGAGATGGCGGCAGACTATGCGCGATTCAACAGCTCGTTTGAAGTCGTCGGCGCCTACCTTAGTTGTGTCGGCGATGCGTACAAGAAGACTGGGCTGGTCAAGGCGGAGCACCGGATCAACATGTGCTCGTTGGCGGTGCAGCAGAGTAGCTGGATCAGCGTGGATCCATGGGAGGCGCTGCACTCGGAGTACCTTGAGACGGCGAAGGTGCTGGACCATTTCGAGGAGGAGATTAATGGGAAGCTGGGCGGAGTGGAGACGCCGGTGGGCAAGAAGAAGTGTCGGATCTGTTTGCTTGCAGGTGCGGACCTGATTCAGACGATGAGTACGCCGGGGGTGTGGGCGCAGGCGGATATTGATTATATCTTGAGGAACTTTGGAGCATTCATCGTTGAGGTGAGTGCGCGTGACCGCATTACCCACGAGGACCTGATGGTTGCTAACTACTTCTTCAACAGCGCACGGGCACAGACATCGACGAGGCTCTGTCAACCCTTCAGCCATGGAAGGACAACATCTGGGTCATCCAGCAGCTGGTGCAGAACGACATCTCATCCACCAAGATCCGCCTTTTCTTACGGCGAGACATGTCGATCCGCTATCTCGTCCCCGAGCCCGTTGTGGCATACATTGAGGAGAACGGGCTGTATGACGACGACGGCGCAGGCAGTACGGGAAGCGATGGCAAGGGCAAGGGCAAAAGCACGAATGCGCCGGGAGAGAGTGGAGGCGTGGCGTCGTCGTCGGCGGCCTAGAGAGGACCACGTGGCGTATAGGATAGATGGGAGGCAGCGATGCGCATTTGCTGAACATGGTGGCTGGTACGGTTGCTGTTGCATACATTACTGGGAGGCGGGATGCGTTGAATAGATCATCTCGACCACGCACCGGAGAGCGAGTGAATGCTCGATGAATGAATGACTATTATGAAGCCATATTGACCGTTTTTGGTGCTGCCATTCCTTTATACCGATGGAAACCACAAGCACTTGACGTCCCTCATATTCTGGCAGAATTAGGCAGGAGGGGTGAAATGGAGGGGCAGCGACGTCATGAGCAGCCATTGAACAGTGTTGTAGACCTCACCATCATCACTTCTCCCAAACAACCAATGCTTCGAGCCATTGAAAGAAGTGCGCTTACATCCAATCATATCAACGTTGCCAAAAGCTCCTTCGCCACGACAGCAACAGCGAGCAAGATGACCGACACGAGCAAGTACAAGTTCAACCACTCGATGCTGCGGTATGACCCTCTTCTCCTGCAACCACCAATGTCCTCCCACCAATACTAATTATACCACAGAGTCAAAGACCCGCAAGCATCGGTCAAGTTCTACGAGCACCTGGGCATGCAGCTCATCGAGCAGAAGAAGTTCCCCGACAACAAATTCGACCTTTACTTCCTCGCCTACGCCGGCCAGAACTCCGCCTCGGGCTCCAACCACTGGACCGACCGCGAGGGAATCATTGAGCTCACGCACAACTACGGCTCCGAGAACGATCCCAACTACAAAGTCGCCAACGGTAACAAGGAGCCCGGGAAGGGGTTCGGACATACGTGCATCTCGGTCGATAATATCCAGGCGGCGTGTAAGCGCATCAGCGATGCTGGGTATAGGTTTCAGAAGAGGTTGGAGGATGGACGTATGCATCATATTGCCTTTGCGCTCGACCCGGACGACTACTGGGTTGAGATTATCAGCCAGAAGAACGTGGAGCAGACCAAGGACGTAACAGAGACGGACCCGGGTTGCTATCGTATGAACCACACCATGATCCGCGTCAAGGACAAGGACGTCTCGATCAAGTTCTATGAGGACGTCATGGGTATGCAGCTCATGCGCACGAACGAAAACAAGGACGCGGGTTTCACACTGTACTTTATGGCGTACGGACCGCACCCCGGCGAAGCGACAGCGAATGGCATCAACCCCGGTGCCAGCAGAGAAGGCTTCTTAGAGCTGACGTGGAACCATGGGACGGAGAAGCAGGAGGGCAAGGTGTATCATGATGGGAACAGCGAGCCGCAGGGTTTCGGCCACATCTGTGTCAGTGTGGATGATCTGGACAAGGCGTGCGAGAGGTTTGAGCAGAAGGGTGTAAGTTGGAAGAAGAGGTTGACGGATGGGAGGATGAAGAATGTGGCGTTTGTGCTGGGTGAGTTCAGACTTGAAAGATGCGAGTTGTGGTGTTGTACTGACCGTGTGATGCAGATCCTGATGGATATTGGATCGAAGTGATCCAGAACGAGAAATTCAAGGCGCCTCCTGGCAACTACTAGACGCTTTGCATGAAGTTGTCAGGAGTGCCAGTAGCTGCTTTGACAGCTGTGGGAATGGCGAAGGAAGTACAGTGCACAGTAGCATATACAATGCATTATCATCTAGTGTCGGTACTTGATACAGTATCAAAACAAGTTTCTCCACGACCTTGTGCAGAGGGGCCGCAGTGCCATCAACCTGTTGGCCATCTTCTCCAAGTCTCGTTCCGCGTGACACCTGTAGGACGCTTCGCCCAGACCTCTGATCATGCTCGAGAACCACTGATTGTGCCCTTCGCTGCAATGGTTCGACGCTTGCATCCCCCCAGCCCGACACAAAGCCCTAGAATCTGTGATGCCTCTCGGAATGTTACGCGGCACAGCGGCATCATGCCGGCAAACTCGAACACACGGAGTTGAGCTCCAAGAACCACCAAACTCGGCGGAGGCAGTCTTCGGTAAGTATTCCGCCAAGGTCGCTTCGCCGCTTCAAACCCAATCCGCTGCCTTGTCGTCCTTGATGAGCGTCACATGCATCTGCGTATCAACCATTGTATCCTTCCCGAACACATCATTGAAGTGATGCACGCAGGCCTGTCTGGCGTCGTTGTGGCCGGGCTGCGTCGAAATGCCGTCCATCTTCGCGTGTCCGATATCATGGAAAGTTGCATCGGCAACCCAGAGCGGCGGCATCCGGGTGTGGTGAGCGTAGAGATACGACATGGCGATGTCTTCGCAACCAGTCCGCAGGTCGGGATACTTCTCCGGCAGCTTGCGAGCGTCCACGTAGTCCCGGAAGTCCTGCATCAACAGCGTGTCCGCCCACCACAGGTCCATCCAGTCCACGTGGATGAAGGCGGACTTCGTCAGCACCATACTGTACCCTTGCGGGCTCGGAGACATGCGATAGTGGCCATCTGCACTGACACGGCGCCGCACGTATCCTACCATGCGACTCCGAGGATAGCGGTGAGTCTGCCAGGCTTGGAAGCCGTACTCCACGTCGCGCGGGATGATGACCATGTCGTCGTCGAGCGCGAGGACGGCGGCGGTCGTGATGGCTGGCGTGCGGCGGAAGCGCTCATTCTTGGAGTTGCGGGCGCGCCTCTCGAGAACGACCGGCACGGGATACTTGGCGATGGAGCGGTTGAGCGATGCAGGAGCGTCTTCCTCGTTGTTCCAGATGAGGATGATTTTCCTGAGGGAGGGGATCTTGCCCGTGGCGTAGTTGTCTAGGTATTCGGGAAGCGCCTCTGTGCGATGGTAGGTCGGCGACACGATGCTGTTACAATCATTAGCTGGAAAGCATTGATTCCAGAAGCGAAATGAGGACTTGCGTGAATCCATCTTCGTACTGCCGGAGCGGCCCCAGCACGCGTTCAAGATCATCTTCACGTGTACGATTCAGAGGTGTCGATTGCGTGATGGGGCGCGATGTCTGAGTTCTGCTGCCAGGGAGATTGACGGCGTCGTTGATGAAGATGATGTAGATCAAAGCGAGTCCGATGAAACTGGCCGTGGCGTAAGTCCACGCTCGCCGTCCCAACATCGCTGTGGCGGAAGAAAGCAGGGCTGGCAAACGAGTGTATGTGAGCCAGATCTCGGGGATGGATTGACGTGTTGATGCACCAGAAATGCAGAAGGAAGACTGCAGTGGCCGCGAAAGGAGAGAGACGGCTTGAATGGATCAAATCAATTGGTCGAACCTTCTTGCCAGGCTGTTGATCCATCTCGGGTTGTCCAACCGACCTGCCTCTTTCGGCCAAGGCAAGGATCCATCTCCTCGGGCGATATCGCCGCAGCGATTGCTACTCTCATCTTCATCCTTCCTTGAGTGTGACATCCATCAAGTCAGCAGGCAGGCGATCCAGCACAGGATGGCCATGTTGTATGATGATGGCGGGAAGCCGTCAGACGGCCATGTGCACGAAAGGTATCGTGGCACATCCAACGATGCTCATGACATGTCGGTCCTGGGCAAGAAGCAAGTGTTGAGGGTCAGTCCCATCCGAGTCTGAGATCTGGATAGAGTGCTAAGACTTCAAGTAGCGCAACTTCAACTTCTTGACAATGCTCGGCTTTGCCTCCACTTGCATCGCCAGCTGGGAAGGCATCTTGACGTACGAAGGCTCGCCGCAATGGTATTCGGTGGACTGACTATGACAGCTATCTGAGCTTCGTCTTGACAGATGGCGGCACAGCGCTGCTCTTCTGGGGCTTCATCGCTTGCGCCATTGGACAGACTGCCGTCTATGCCTCCCTAGCTGGTAAATCCCATCGAGAGACCCTGTCGAGGAAGAGCATCCTATGCTGACTGCCATGCAGAGATGGCTTCGATGTAGGTGACCTGCGGATGGTTTAATGTACTGACTCCTGACTTTTATTACGAGCTCACCGACCGCTGGCGGACAATACCATGTACGCTCGACTGGAAACTGCATTGGTTCTTGTATACTGACTGATATCTATAGTGGGTGTCAGAATTTGCTCCCCGACGATACCAGAAGTTGCTGAGCTACTTGTCCGGATGGCTCACGGCAATCGGATGGCAGATGTACCTCGCAAGCGTCTGCTTCTTGGTCGGCACGGTATGGAGGGACGCCGCGCTTCTACTCGGACCTTTTAGTAACCGCAACAGATCGTCCAGGGTCTCATTGCTCTGAACACACCGGACTACATCTACGAGAGATGGCATGGCACTCTGCTGAGTATCGCCGTCACTTTCTTCTGCATACCCTTCGTTACCTTTTTCGCCAGCCGATTGCCTTGGGTCGAAGCTGGACTGCTAGTGATCCATATCGTCGGCTTTTTCGCCATAGTAGGAACGCTCTGGGGCACCACAACGCCATCGAATGCCAGAGCGGTGCTGCTACAATTCTACAACGGCGGCAACTGGCCGACCACTGGCCTAAGCTCAATGATAGGCCTCATTGCCCCAATGGCAGTATTGGTGGGCTACGATTGCAGTGTCCACATGAGTGAAGAAACCCAAGACGCATCTTCTACGCTGCCAAAGGCCATTATGGGCTCTGTTCTTCTCAACGTCACCCTGGTCTTCATTATGGTTGTAACCATCTGCTTTTGTCTCGGCAGCCCTGAGGCGGCATTGGGTGGAGTGACGGGGTACCCATTCATTCAGGTAAGTGAGGTTGCAAGAGAAGCATGCAAACATGTTCTGGCTAGTGTTGTTCTACCTTACTCACATACTGCAGATGTTTTACAATGCTACGGGTTCGTACGCCGCAGCCAACACATTGACAGCCATTCCAACCATCATGCTCGCCGGATGCGCCTTCTCAGAAGTGGCAGCTTCGAGTCGGCAGCTTTGGAGTTTTGCTCGCGATAAGGTGGCCTTTCGAGAAGCTGTCGAAGTCATGGCAAGTACTGACTGTGATGTAGGGCGTACCAGGATACAGTTGGCTATCCCTTGTATCACCGCGCTGGAACATCCCACTCCCCGCCGTCATTGTATCACTGGTCATCTCCGCGCTGATCAGTCTCATCAACATCGGCTCTTCAGTGGCTCTGCAAGCCATCACGTCTTTTGGAGCGCTCGCAACGCTCCTGTCGTACTACTTGACCATTGCGACCTTTGTCGGCTTCAGGATGCGCAGCAGCAAGCTCCCAGAACGGAGGTGGTCGCTTGGAAGGTTTGGCATGGTATGTTTGATCAAGATGCCCGCAATTGTCGCCGCGCAGCTAATCGTCTTGACCGGCAAGCTGGTGAACGTCTTTGGTCTTGCGTTTCTCTCGCCTCTTATCTTCTTCATCATGTGGCCTCTCACTCGACCCGTCACTGCCTCGACTATGTAAGTGCCAACGGAAGGAATGTTCATGGGTGTCCGTATGCTAATCCACACAGGAACTGGTCTCCGGTGATGCTCGGGGGTGTTCTCGCGATCGCAATGCTATTTTACGTGTTCAAGGGGCGGCACGAATACACTGGTCCGGTTGTAGATGTGAAGCGGCCTGAGTTGGGGGTGTCACATCCTCAATAGGCCAGTCTTGCACCGCGGTGGTGAGATGACATACGACTTTTTGAGATAGATTCACGCCTACAACCGACCACACGTATTTTGCTTGTTGTTCCAGCACGGCTCACGGACGAGCATACTTGAAAGCGGTCCCTGCAACGGAGCATGAAGGAAGATCTCACGGCGAGCACACTGTGTCGGTTGGTATCATTACAAACATTCACTTGACCATTACAACGCTAATGTCTCTGCGAGAACGTCCTCCTCAGTAGCCTGGAGCATGTTCACAAATTCTAATGCGGATTCAATCATCTGCGCCCTCCACCGTCAACGAACATCCGCACTGACATCTGGATCCACTACGCTTCCTTCTCACTGGCCGGCAACAAAGTCAAAGTGGCCTTGTCTTCCTTCTCAAGTGCGGCGTTGTGACGATCAAGAGCGGCTTGCAAGGCCTCTTCCGTCTCTTTGGATTCACTAGACGAGGCAGCTTCCTGCTCGCTCGTCTGCGGTGCATCATAGGTCTGGGCGTCGCTCGATGGCTCGGCATTATTCGCACTTTCTTGCTTTGGTTCTTCTTGGAAAGTGTCCTTCATGTCTTGCGTCGTGGAAGCCTCATCGGTCGTAGAGGCAGGAGCAGCTCCTTCTTGCGTGGTCTCCTTATCTGTGCTTTGTTCCGGAGTATCTTTCTGTTGCTCGTCGCTCTGCGATCCAATAACCGCTGCTGCTGTACCACCTCCAACGGCTGCACCAGCTGCCGCGCCAACAGCCAGGCCTTGCGATTCATCCGACTTGCTTTCCTCCGGATCAGACGTCTTTGCTGCACCTTCATTCACCTCGTCGTTCGCTGTGTCCTTGTCCGTAGCCTCAGCATCAGCTACCTCCTTCTCGGTGGCTTGCTCACCAATCTCGGTCTTCGACTCCCCCGTCTCGTCGGTGGCAGCATCGGCCTTGACCTCCTCAGATTCGCCGGTAGCTTGCTTCGACTGCTCCAAGGTCTCCTGTCCCATTGGTGCAACCTGTGCGGAATCAATGTTCTCGTCCTGCGCTTCCTTGGGTTCGCCAGAGGGCTCCTTCTCCTTCTGTTGGCTGTCGTCAGCATGCTCGTCACCTTTGACCTCCGATGTGTCATTGATATCGTTGTCGCTACCTGGCTTGACGTCTCCAGAGTCGCTGGCGGCTTGCTCCTGGGAGGCTTCAGCGCTTGCATGTTCCATTGGCGCGATCTGTGCGTCACCAATGTTCTTGTCTTGAGTATCCTCAGACTCGTCAGATGGTTTCGACTCTTGACCTTCGGGGCTGCTGCCCTCGCTGTCCTTCACGGTGTCTTTGCTCGGTTCAGTATCTGTTGATGCGGCCTTCTCGTCCCCGGTCTTGGTCGCCCTGAATTCTTCAGTCGGCTCAGATGTTTTGGGCGCATCTTCTTGGGCGCCAACCAACGTATCTGCTGGCTTCTCTTCGGCCTTGGAAGAATCCTCCTCCAGCGAAGTTTCCTTCTCGGTAGTGTCGGCAGCCTCTGAGCCTTGGCCTTCCGCGTCCTTGTCCACGCCAGTAATACCGGCATCCTCTTGGCCGGGACGTACAGCCTGCGAGTTCTCCATGCTCTCGTCCTGATCTTTCTCTGGCAAGTCTGATCGCTCTTGTTCGCCATCATCCTTGCCGCTCCCAACGCCGCCCTTCATGGCAGTTTCGGCGTTGTCGCTTTCGTTCTGCTGTACATCCCCTCCATCCGCAGTAGAGTCGCCTTCGGCCTCGGGTTCCTCCTTTTCACCCTCCAGACCAGCACCAGGCCTCACGCCTTGAGAAGAATCCATGTTGTCATCTTGTTCTGTCCGCGGCTGATCCGAACGTTGCTGCTCGCCGTCATCCTGGCTGCCTCCTTTACCCTCTGAAGACTTGATAGCGGGTGCCGTGGCGCTCTCACCAACGTCTTGACTTACTGGCTCTCCCGCGGCGCCGGTCTGGCTCAGTTCGGTCGTCTCGGGCTTGCAAGCTTCCTCTGCCTCACCACTTTGGCCACCAGCGACAGTCGCAGGGACCGCTGGTGTCTCCGCTATCTGGTCAGAAGAGTCTTTGTTTGTATCCTCTGCCTGGCTGGGGACACTGCCACTCGTCGTCGCACCGACATCGTCTGTGGGCTGTTCTACAGACTCGTCCTTGCTGACATTGGTCTGTTCGGCGGCTTTGTCCTGTCCATCTACCGTCTGCTGCTCTGCTGGCGTTGGCTGCTCATCACCACTAATAGTAGGTTGCGAATCAACAGCGGAATCTGGCAAGGTGCTCTCCTTCGGCTGCTCAGCGTCTTGATTGCTCATGTCTTGCGTACCAATGGCGCTGAGAGCAGAGTCATCCTTCTGCTCGGACCCTACTTCCGGCCTCTGGGGCTCGAACTGGCTCACGAGATCAGGATTCGTGGGCTGCGACTCAGTCACAGTCTCTTCCTGCTTGCCTGTGCTGTCCTGGGCTGGTTGGTAATTCATGTAGGTTCCAGAGTTCGGCTCGGAATCTTGTGGCTCTGCTGCGACGGGCTGTTGTTGTTCTCCGAACTGTTCAGACAATGGCCGTCCAACATCAGGCTCTGGTAGCTCTCCATTGGTCTCTTTTGGCGGCGAGATGTCTTCCGTTGCGGCAGGGGTACCTTCGACTTGTGGCTGCTGAGAGGGCTCCTCCGCTGGCGCACTCTCGGAGCCAGAGGGGTGTCGAACCTCGTCAATTTTGGCTTTGGCCTTCTTGAGGAGAGATGACATGTTGGGTGGATGGACTGGGGTTTGGGGAAATAGAAGTTCGACAGTTCTTGCGATTGAGATATGTCTCGGATAAATGTTTTGATAATATGTCACGGAATGGAAAGACGTGCTGGCTTGAAGACACCTACCCCGAGGTGGCACAGATGACAGTATAAAAGCACGCGTCCTGACCTGTGCTCTCCCACCTTCTTGCATGTCGAGTCACGTTGGTATCGCGAGCGGGAGCACAGAACGCTTTCGAGAGCCTCGACCAAAGCTAGCATGCCCGCCATCGCGATGAGCACCTTGGACAACCTATCGCTACCGCTGGAGGCGCGCAGAGACAGCGGTGTGAGGAAAATTCGCAGGCAGCGCAGAGTTGGGGATGAGATGACCTGCCACGGGAAGGCAGGTGGTGGTAATGCATACGCTTTTCCGAGCCAATCGAATAGAGTGGTGGTGGCCAGACTGTTCCTTTGGAAGAGGGGTGATGTACAGTGCATCAAGTCGAGCAGGCAGGCGTGGGAGTTTTTGAACGATTCTGACGATGTGGCCGATGACTGCGCCACTAATTTCCCTGCTTGCGAGCACGTCGGCGTGGAGTGCATGACCTCGGGAGAGCATGAGGTGTCATCCGTCGCGGAGAGGCTCGCTTGTGCTTTGCATCGATACATTGACCTGCGAATGCAAAGAGGCAACGTTTGGATAGCCTGGCGGAGGCTTGAGCATTGAACAAGACCTTCGAGACCATGGTTGATCCGATGTCTTCTGTGCTGTACTGCCTACCATCGTCCTACGGACCACGCACCTTCTTCCATACGCACAGGGTATGCATGGAACAACGTTGTACGCCTAGGACTTTTCTTGTGGCTACCCAACACGCTCATCGCAGAACCAGTCTGCCAATGTGGAACTCCCCAGAGCACCACCCATGACAACGACCGTGGTGCTCACTTATCTATCCCTAACAAGCCACCTGTAGCATAGCACATGCAGCTTTGAGCGTTCTGATGCAGGAGAAAACGCAGGTCGCATCTCGTATCTCGCTTTGCCGCCGTCGCTCCTCGTCACTTCCTTCTTTCGCTCACCACTATCATCCCCACTACCATGGAAGCCCCTTGCGAGCTCGAGCGCGAGCAATACACTCACCAAACTAAAGGAACATCGTCCCAGGCTGCCGGTCTCCGCCCTTCAGAGCAGGACAGAAACGATCTACAAGTGCGTGGTGTCAAGCCTGCCTTCAACCGCACCTTTCGAGCGCCAGGCAGCATAGCATATACCGTCAACTCGATTATTTCACCCGAATACTTCATCATATCACTGGCATACCTTCTCTACAATGGAGGCCGGGCCCTGTTGACCTTTGTCTTACTGGCTCCTTTGCCGGGGTTGGTCTGCCTGTACTGGTCACTTGGAGAGATGATGTCCATGTAAGTTGCTGCCCGACCCAGGTGAGCCTGCTGTCCGCTCATGCGGCTCGAGTAGGGCTCCCACAGCCGGCGGTCAGTATCGATTTGTTGCCGAGAATGCACCAAAAAGCGTAGCGAAACAGCTGAGCTATGTGGTCGGCTGGCTCGGAGTACTGGGCTGGCAGTCATTCCTTACGGCGGTATGCTTCGGGACCGGAACCGTCATCCAAGGATTGATTGTGCTGCACAACCCGTCCTAACCTGCGCCTGCATGGCATGGTGTACTGCTCACCGTCATGGTTGTCACCCCTCTCGCTAGCCATCAACGTCCTGCTGTTGCGAAGACTCCCGTATCTCGAGGCCGTGGTGCTCGTCGTCCGCCTCGCCTCGATCATCCTCGCATTTGTCGCTCTTGGTTCGCTCCCCAGAGCAAGCACACACGCGGTAGTCAGCCAGCTGGGCGCGCGAGGGTGGTCGAACCCTGGTATGAACATCCTCTGGGAGCGCCTAATTGCTACCTGGCAATCTCTGGGCTCGACTGCCTGTGGCATCTTAGTAAAACTTGACAGACTGGCCTTGTGCTCGTCCACGCTGATCCTTTTGCAGGCGAGGAGGTTGTGAACGCATCGGAGAAGCTGCCGGTGGCACTATGGCGCTCCGTCGGCATCAGCTGGATCTTCGCCCTCATCACCACTGTTTTACTCGCAGTCTACATACCGGACATTTCTCGTATATCAGACTCTCCCACGGGGTATCCATTCATTGAAGTCTTCCACGAAGCATTCGGTCTCGTGCACGCACCCGGAGCACGTACGCTTACAACGGTGCTTGTGGCCATGTTCCTCGTCACCTCTGTCACAGCAACTGCCAATCAAGTCACTGCGTCCAGCAGGCAGCTATTCGGGTTCGCAAGAGATGGCGGCGTACCTTTCGCATCCGTTGTGACCGCAATAATCTATTTCGACGGAACTCCGGTCCCGGTCTGGTCCATCGCAGCGGTGTGCTTGATCGTGAGCGCATTGGCTTGCATTTATCTGGCGAGTCCTACGGCTTTGAACGCCTTCAATTCCCTCGCCGGGGTAGCTCTGGCAGCTTCCTACATGACCTGCATTGGCGTCAGGCTCTGGTCGCGATTGACAAACTACGAGATGCCTTACGCGAAGCCTACGAAATGGTCTCTGGATCGGACTCCAGGAATGATTGTCAATGTCGTCGCCCTTATTTATGCTACCTTCAACTTCGTCTTCATGTTGTAAGTCGAGCAGTCTCATATGGAGTGGTAGCTGACTTGGGTACAGCTTCCCTCTGGCTCCTGGCTTTGACAAAGACCTCTTCAACTGGGCTATCGTCGTGTTTGGGCTGGTCTTTGTTCTTGCAGCTGGGTTCTATGCGTTCGAAAGGCGGCACCATGAGCCTTCGCGTCATGCGTACAATTGATTAATTTCATCCGTCAACAGCAAACCTGGAGAGTACGGGGGTGCAGCGGGCTCGACAGCCGCATCAGAAGTCGCTGCAGCCGGGCCACTGTCTGGGTCTCAATTTTTCTACGCAGTGCAGACACGGCGCCAAACAGAGCGGTTGTGGTGCTCCAAAATCGACCCAGTCTTTGAAATCCTGGGGGAGGCGGTGGGGTTGTGTCTGTGGGCTGCGTGCGCACGTATCAAACGGCCGAGGCACGACTTCCTCTTCCAATCCCACAACTAATCAACAGTTGACACAATCGGACGTGCGCATACTCCATGAACATGTTCACGACGGCAATATGTTGGGGCCGTTTCCCAGCTTCGATAAATTGCAACGGCCAGTTGAGGAGTCTACATCTGAGCTGCTACACCATTGCATCTCTTCTGATCCGACAAGCTCACCTGCACGTCCTTCTTGCTCACGATGCCCATCGAATCTCCCTGGCCGCCTGTGTCCGTCCCCGAAGTTGACGTATGGTCGTTCTTCCTCGAGCATCCCAACCGCCAGTATCCAGATGATCACGGTGCGTCAGAATCTATTAGGAAATGATACACCCCAGCCTGACAGACATGTAGTACTATACATCGACGTGGCTGCAGCACAAACACTTACATATCGACAACTTCGCTCTTCCGCCGAACAATGGGGAAGCGGACTGCAGGAGCAGTGGGGATGGCAGAAGGGCGATACTCTGGCCACGATGACACCGAACACTTTCGAATGTGTGCCTGTCACCTTCGGCACTTTACTGGTAGGAGGCGTCGTTAGCCCTTGCAACTTCCAGTACACGGTAGACGAGCTGGTGTCTCACTTGAAGTCATCGGGTGCGAAAGGGTTAATCACCAACGTTGCCTGTGTCGATGTGGCCCTCGAAGCAGCATCGCAAATCGGCTTCCCACTGGATCGAATTCTGCTGGTAGGGGGTACGGATCCCAAGAATACCACAGCATACTACTCGAGCCTCCAAGGGAGTATCACGGCGAGTCCGAAGAAGGTCACTATCGGTCCAAAAGAGGACCTCGCTTTTCTAGTCTACTCCTCAGGAACAACAGGCTTGCCAAAAGGCGTCATGCTGACACACTTTAACGTGGTCGCAAACCTGGTCCAGTACACGCAGGTCAGATTGCCACGCCATTGGAAGACGGATAGAAGTGTAGGCTTCTTACCGATGTACCATATCTACGGTGTGTGCTTTGATATCCCACTTCAACGCAAATCGCTCATTCATCTCCACCTACAGGTATCGCTGTCCTCATGCTCTACCCGCTTCATGACGGCACAACAACCTACATTATGACCTCCTTCGACCTCCCGACCTTCTGCCGCACTGTCCAAGACTCCAACATCACATTCGCATACATCGTGCCACCTGTCGCCCTCGCTCTGCGAAGAGTCCCATCGTCGATCGATTCGACCTCTCCTCTCTGCGTGAGATGCATTCTTCTGCCGCCCCTGCGCCGAAGGAAATCATACAGGCACTATACCAGCGCCTGAAGACTCCACTTCGCCAGGGTTATGGAATGTCCGAGGCTGCGCCAGGGGTGGCCGGCCAGCGCACTGAAGATTGGAACAAGCCGATTGGTTGTAGTGGGCACTTGTGGCCGAGTATTTCTGCCAAACTTGTCGTCGATGGGAAGGAAGTCAAGAATGGCGAAGAGGGAGAAGTATGCCTCAAGGGACCTAACGTCTTCAACGGCTACTACAACAATCCTGCCGCGACTGCTGCGAGCTTCGATGCGGACGGCTGGTATCGTACGGGTGATATTGGCTTTGTTGATGAAGCTGGGAACATCAGCATCACCGATCGCGTCAAGGAGCTCATCAAGTACAATGGGTTCCAAGTCGCCCCAGCGCAGCTCGAAGGTCTGCTTTTAGGGCATCCGGCGGTCACAGATGTAGCCGTCGTCGGTGTGTTCAGCGATGCGCGTGCGACCGAGCTACCCAGGGCATATGTCGTCGTTGCTGCTGGGTACAGGGGGGATGACAAGCTGGAAGAAGCGCTGCACCAGTGGTTCAATGAGCTTGTGAGCCCGCACAAGAGGCTTAGGGGTGGCATTCGGTTTGTCGAGGCGGTGCCGAAGAGTAACGCAGGGAAGATTCTGAGGAGGGTGTTGATTGAGCAGGCGAGGAAAGAGGAGATGGGGGCGGGCGTAAAGGCGAGGTTGTAGACCTCAGCTGTCGACTTTGGTGTGCTCAAGTTCAATTTCACGAATCTTCAGTCTTGTCGTAGTCTATTGGCAGATATCCTCATCCATATTCTCAACAAAATTAGCGAAGAGGAGCGAAACAATTACAGAAGACGTTCAATCTACAGCTTCGTAAACAGTCCTTCCTTCATCGCCCTGACATCCAACTCCTGCGTCCATGTACTCCGCGGCTGTGTATGCAAAAACCAATACGTATGCGCCAGCTCCCTGGGCTGGACGAGATAGGCATCGACCTCCGCCACCTTTTCGCTCTCTCCATTGCGTTCCCACTGTCTCTTCACCACGCCGCCAATCAGCTTGCCATCCACCGGCCCATCGATGATAATGTTGACTGCATGGATGCCCTTGGCCTGGTACTCCCGCGTGATGACCTGGCACAAACTGCGCAATCCGAATTTTCCAGGAGAGAACGAACTGAGACCGGGCATCCCACGCAGGGCACCGGTTGCGCTGGTGAACAAGATGGTGCCTTTTCCAGCGGCCAACATATCTGGTATGACGAGTTTACTACACCAAAACGCCCCGAAAAGGTTGATCTTTGTGAAGTTCTCAAACTCCTCGCTCGTGGTGTCAATCAGCGCTTTTCCATTGACGCGACGCGCACCGGCATTGTACACGAGCACGTTGACGGGACCGAGCTCGGATCTGATGCGTTTGAATGCTGAGATTACAGAGTCTTCGATGCGAAGGTCGGTGAAGTAGATATGTGCTGTTCCGGCGCCGACATCAGTGTTGATGGTCTGCGCCATGTCCCGCAGTTTGTCTTCAGTGCGGGCGAGGAGGGCGACGACGAAGTGCTCGGTCGCAAAGCGGTGGGCAACGGCTTCGCCAATCCCTGGGCCTGCGCCCACAACCGCGATGACGGGCTTGTTGGATGGATTTTGTGACATTGTTGATGGACTTGGGTGACGAGACAGGTTGTTGGGGGTGTGACTTGTTGGTGTCGAAGATGAGGTATCTGTGGAAAATGATGCCTACGTATGTTTCGGCGATGTGGTACAACGCCTCCTTTGGCCGCACACAATAACCTAGGTTTTTTGTATTATTAGTGATCAGTCACGGATATAGGTGGGCCAATGTTCCTGGGAGAGGATTAGGATTGGAAGACCTGAGGGTTTGTGTTCCAAGAAAGATGAGACCACTCTTCACTTGGATGTCGACCTCGGTTGCTGAAAGTTCTTCGAACCAAGCGACATAATCAGCTACAGTTGGAGGCAACGTAAGTCCTAACCGCTTAAGTCAGACTCATCATCGGAAGAGTCTCTTACAAGCTATTTTGATGGCGGCTAACGGTGTGATGAGACCTATCCCGATCGAACACATCTCGAGGCCGCATACAGAGATGCGCTGCAAGCTTCCACACGCCTCTTAGAGGATGTACATCGAGTCCAGACTCATGTCGCCCTCCTTGCCGTTCGTGGTTGCTCCCTCAGCAATGAGCTTTGCCTTCTTCACATTCCTCCTGCGGAGCAGATACCAGCACGCAGCGTACAGGAAGCCAGCGACCACTGTCAAGCCCGCGGAGACTGCATTGCCTTGGACGTAGCGCGGCCCTTGCTGGCTGGGGTACAGCTGCGAGGAGACGACGTTCGAGATGTTGGCAAAAGAGTATGCCAGCGGCATTCCTATGGCCCGCTTGTCGTCTGGCGCGAGATTGCTGGTGATCCACGCCACAGCAAGCGTTGAGATTGGATACAGTCCTGTCCCGGCGTTAAACCACATCACCAGCGAAGTCCAGGTGCAGAATTGACTTACCAAGGACCAAAACATACATCCCGGCGTAGCCGGCATTGGGATTCTTCGAGCCGACACAGATGAGGTATCCGACCGCGACGGGAACACAACAGCCGACGATGAACGCTCCACGCTTCTTGAGCCTGTCGGAAAAGTAGCATTGAGTGATCAAAGACACGGCGCCCAAGATGTACACCGGGATCGTCTGTCGGGTAGTGTCAGCGGTGTCCCGAATACTGCGGGCGGGATGACTTACCATGTAGTTCACCTTCAGCGCTTCGAAGCCGAGCCCCAGAATGATGGTCGGCAAGAACACACCGAAACCGTTGATGGCCACGGAAGAAGTGAAGAACGCCAGACCCAGCATATACACGTAAGGGTCCTTCAAGGTAAGCCTGATCCACTTGCGATCAAACTTTTGCTGCCCTCTGTGCAAGAAGTCGCGCCCCTTTTTCAGCTTCATTGTCTCCTTCTCTTCAGCCGTCAGGAACCAAGCGTTCTCGGGAGCCTTGGGTAGGAACATCCATCCGATGCCACCGATGAAGATGGTAACGCAGAACTCTACGATGAAGAGCCACCTGCGAAAGGAAGAGCAAATGGATAAGCAAGTGTCTCAGGCTTTGTAGCGGTTTGTTCAATGGTCTCTTACCTCCAAGCAGCCAGACCAAGCCTGTCGCCCATCGACTGCACAGCAAAAGCAAAAAGCCCTCCGAAAGCTCCGGAGATGCATTGTGCCAGGTTGGTACTCATCACACGCTTTCCAACCTCCGCTCGTGGGTAGATGGTGGAGAAGAGGAAAGCGAAACCTTGTGCAAGACCGGCTTCTGCGGTGTTGAGTAGCATGCGGACAGCAATGGCTTGGCCGTACGTATTGATGAAAGCAGTCCCGATGGTGCAAGCACTCCATGCGAGAAACGCAGTACCAAGTGCTGCTCGGGCACCAAATCGTCGGACCGCCAGCACCCAGGGGAGTTCGAAGAGGATGGTGCATACGCTCGACAGCGTGTTGATGGTGCCGAATTGATTGCCATGCAAGTTGAGGTCTTCGTCGAGACCAAAGACTCTGGCGTTTCCCAACTGTCGGATGAGGGTCAGATTGCGTTCTTCTCTCCATACAAGGATTTTGCTTACGTTGTTTCGATCCAGACTGGCGAGCACAATGAAGATGACTGACACTGGGAAGACGTAGATGTCGAACTTCCTCAGAGCAGCTCTCTCCTTCTCTGGATCGACGTAGATGTCGCTGACCATCTCTCCCGCAGCAAGATCAACTCCTGCAGCAAGGTCGATGACTGGTGTCTTCGCATCATGGTCGACGGAAGCAGACTTGTTCTCCATCTTCACTCGTTGTGCTTGGAACGAGGATTGTGTGGCGGTGGATGAATAGAGTTGATCGTTATTTCGAGACTACTCCCAGATAATCTATTCATGAGCTGTCCACGTCGTGTTATATGCACTTTTCGAATCCACCAAATCTCGTCGAGACGTCTACCGTGCTCGTCCATCACTGCTGAATCGTGGTTCACGATAGCAACATCTTGCGATAAGGTTGCCGACTTGCTTGCTCCGTTCGGACAAAGCCGGGCTTGCCTGTGCAAGTGTACCTATATCCATACAGTCTGGACGTGGTAGATTGCGGTGAACAAGTCCCGAAGCGATAAGGGTGGTCTTTTACACATACGATCACGTGCGCACCGAGGACAGTCCTTTGACGATTCTTGAACTGCCGCTCATTGGACGGATGTCGTTTTCGGCTTTCTCCGATCATCGTCGGGGAGATAAGTCCACTGTGCTTTTGAAACTCCTACATCCACCTCCGAAACCATCAACGGCATGTTGCGAATTGCCTGCTTCCTCGAGCCAGCGGAGCCTTGTGTGTCTCGACACAACATCCCCTGCTGCTCACCGGGAGGACGCCGATGAACTCGCCGTTGCGAACAGGCCCGAGGCTGGCAAAGGGCGTGAGTGCCTGTCAAAGGTCAGTTGGAGCACCCAGTCTGTAGCTGGGCTGAATGTGGCTGAACATATCTCAACAAGGTGTCGCCGGAGGAAGCAGAAAGTAAGGGTTTCGCCGGCCGCCCCCTGTTTGGGGCCTACCCAACAGACGATGGGCTAATGATGAGCTGCAGTGTGACATGAAGCAGCCCAAGTGCTCCAACTGCGACGGTGCTGGCGTTCAATGCCTGACCTTCCATGCTTCCAAGCAGGCTGAGGTCGGTGTTTACTGCCCAAGCATCGCATGTAGGACCTGCTAAGATGCGGTCAGGTCCCTCGTAACTACGTCTCTGACCTCGAGAAGCAAGTTGAAGCCTTGACCCAGCAGGTACGTCGTCTTGAGAGGCAAAGCAGACCTACACCGCTCAACGGTGAGGCCTCGAATTCACCAGCGTTGTCCCATTCCAGCACTCGCTTGTCTGGCATTTCGCCGCTTCTCCCTGCTCCTTCGGCCTCAGATGGTAGCTCAGGTCAAGTCCGGGATCTCGTGAAGAGTGTCAAGGATGTCGTTGTTGAGCCTTCGAGACAGCCGCGATTCGTGGGGCAGAGCAGCGGTATCACTCTTGCGAAGATGGTTATGGCTGCGGTTCGTGTGGATGCCACGACTCCTTCGTCAGCGAACGAACGACATCAGGACAACGCTCCTGCTTCCATATCAGCGATCGAGCGGCAGGCTTCGCTGCCACCACGACATGCCGCAGATCATCTTGTCGATGTGTATTTCCAATACCGCACACCACATCTTCCGATCCTCGAGCGAGCACCGGTCAAAGAAGCGCTTGGGAACGCCTACCAAGCGGCCAGCAGTACTCGGACCTTGGACCATGCTGTGAAGAAAGATGTGTTCACGACGTATATGGTACTGGCTATAGCGCTTTTCGACGTCCCTGTCCCTTCTGGTGGCCGACCCAGCCAGAGCGAGGGGTGCTTTCAGTCCGCTGTAGGTCTGGCTGAGCATGTGATTTCCTACTCTCCTAGTGATTTGGAGACGCTCCGTGCAGTGCTTTTGCTGGCACAATATGTCGCATTGTGCCCTTCTCGGGGAAGCTTCTGGCATTTGACAGGCTTCGCTTTGCGATTATGCATCGACGTAGGCCTACATTGGGAGACCGAAGAGCAATCAATGCAGACGGACGCGGCTGTACTCCACGAGCGGCGGTCACTCTGGTACTGTACCTACCAATTTGACCGCATGCTATGCATCTTGCTTGGCCGCCCGTTTGGAATCCTAGACGAGAGCACCCGTGTGCCGCTGCCAGGCCCGTACACAGCGTGTCTCAGTCATGATGCGCATGATGCCCACTGCTACGAATCTTACAATTCGCTTTTCAAGATGTCCAAGCTGGAGTCTGAGATCAAGCACGTGTTGCACAACCAGACCTGGGAACCAAAGCTGGCCTACCCGCGGGTGGACTACTCAGCATGGCTGGAAGACATCCAACCACGCCTGCAACACTGGTACGAAACCATCCCAGAGCCCCAAAAAGCGCATCCATCTACCATATTTGCCCACCGTGCCTACTGGGATGCAGTGTATAGCAATGCAATACTACTGCTCCATCGGCCGCATTCAATAGCTCAGCACCCATCGACGGAGTCTCTCTTCATGACTTTTGATGCCTCTACTAAGCTGATCACTAGCATCAAATCTCTCCAGCGGGAGGGCAAGATCGACATCCATTGGAAGGCAGTTCACGAGCTTTTCATGGCTGGATTGGGGATCGTATACGTTTTGTGGCTGTCAGAGGAACTCCGGAGACAGAGAACCGCCAGCAGCAGCATTTCGACTCTCAACTCCTGCGCATCTACCCTCTCGGCGCTGTCGGAAAGCTTTGCGGGCGCTGCAGGCTGTCGCGATGCATTCGAGACACTCTCCGCGGCGACAATCGATTGGCTGCTCACCCATGACGCCGAGCAGGAAAGACAAACCCGGTTGGCGCTCGAGAGGCAAGTCGAAGATCTATTGCAACAGCTGCGGCCACCTCGTGAAGGAATGGCAATGCCTACTGCTGAAGACGATGCAAGTTACATGTCAAACATGCTATCCATGGACAACTTTGCCTTTAGCGAGATGCTCAGCTCTACTGCACAGTGGCCCAGCTTTGAGAACATGGAATACGTTGACATGAATCACCACTCTGTGAATGAGATGGGATTTGGTACGGACTGGTGGCAGTGAGGACTGTGGCGTTTGCTATCTGACTGCAGATTGTCCCACTCATTCTGTGACCGGAGAGATCACCCCACTCAGCCATCGCAAGGCAGCGTTTTGTGCATCACCGTCTCATACGGCAAAGGCGAGTCGACCAGGCGAGCATCGGCTAAGCCCCTCTGCCATCTCTCGTACCCGCCACGTGGCACCGTCGTGGACGTCCACATCCCGTTCTTCCGGAAGCTGTTCGTCACACCAACAGCGACATCGACCGGTACATTTGGGAACAGTTCGGCAAGCTCGTCTCGGAACGATTCAGCATTATGCGCAAGCACCCATTCGATGCCCTTTTCGACCGCGAGGCAGAAGCGTCTCTTCGCATCCAGGAATTCCGGCGTGATCGTCTTTGTCTCCCGGTAATACACGCTCCACGGAATGTCGCCTTGAGCAACCATCTCCATGCCGATGACCACATCAGGATTGGCAGCTGTCATCGCCAGAGCGGACAACAAGTCAGTGCAAAAGTAGTCACCACATCCGCCAAGAAAAAGTTCTCCCAGCATTTTGCCTTCCAGGTCTTGGATGTAGTCCACAGATCGTTCATCAATCTTGTTCTCTCGCAGCAGCATCTTGAAGAACAAACCGACGCTCGCTCCACCTCCAGACTTCATCAGGACCGTCTTTCCCGCGACATCGGACAGCTTGAATGGCTTACGCTGGCGGCGTCTGAGAAGTGCGAGCGGACAGCGGTTTGCGATCTGCGCAAAGACGGTGTATTCCTGCACACGGTCGCGGTACATCGAAGGAACCCAGATGCCGCCCAGGGCCATGTCGGCTGAACCTCTAGCAAGGTTGTCCAATACCAGGTCCCACGGCTTCGGAATGTTGACTGTCACGTCCAATCCTTGCTCGCGGAAGAAGCCATGTCGGAGAGCGATGTATTCGGGGAGATAGTTGATGTTGTAGCCGGTGGCCGTGAGGTGGAATGGTTGGAGCGGGCTCAGCGACATGTTGAAATTGCGGGAGATGGAGCTGATGTGGTTTTCGAGGTTGAATAAAGAGCATGCACTTTAGAGAATTTGTGGTGAACCATGATACAGGTTTATATGATTTGCGACCGGACAACTACGCGGGCATGATGTTTCGGGTGCCGAAGGGTAGTAGAGAGATAGACGTAGGTGTACCTCCGTCGGCTTTCTCCGACTCGCGACCGACGCACGTTACGACCTTAAATGCTCGCGACGAACGTACCTTGCGACCGACGTACCTTGCGACTATAGTAGACAAAAGCTACATTTTAAGATACTAACAATAGTAGTATATTATATATTAGCTATACCTACTAGCTAAAAGCAAATAGAGATTTTTATTAGGGTTAGGGTTAGGGGGTTCCATTGCTTGTTTACGTACTAGCTAATATATACTTGAAAGTTACCTGGATGCGCCCGATAGCCCAACGAAGGGTCTAAGATAAGCCTACTAAATATAGGATCTTACCGTCTAACTCCCGGCCTATACTCTATACGGCGATAACCGAATACTTCCCTAGATATATAGCCCTTAGTGTAATCTTAAATAGGTACCCTATCCTATAGCTAGAAAGGACGGGCTATACTAGGTTAGGTGCTACTCTAGTAGAGCCTAGATAAGCCCTACTATCGTAGCCTAGAGGTAGCTAGAGGGTATATTAATCCTCCGGTTACTACTAGAGACTCTATATCCGTAGTCTTAACCCGTTATCTTACGTTACGGGAAGAGTTTAGTCCTATCTTATCTACCGATATTAGTAGTCGGTATCCTCTATATACCCGGTCGCTCTTAGCCTTTACTACCCTTATAACGGCGGTTTAGTATATTCCGGTATAGTTAGTAGGTCTATTAACC